ACATGCAGAAAGACGCCATCGACATGTTGAACGAAGCAGCTGCGTTAGAAGAGAAGAGGCAACGAGGTGGAAGATGATCACGAGAACGGACTCGCTCGACAATGCTGTAATTACAAGCATACTTCTGTTATTTGTTGCTGAGGTGAGGCTACCACAATTTGTATAAAGTGTGAGCTGGTAATTTTCTTCACTTGGAAAAAGAAAATGTGAACTAGTTTTACATTTAACTTGATTGTCTTGAGTCAATTGAAGGGCTTGTAAATTCAATCAATTTAAGTCATAATATGACCTCTCCCTCTCTCGAACGAGATTGTGTATACACGAAAAGAGCTCGCTTTCTACATCCTTCCTCGGTGTTTTGTGCCCTCTCTCTCTCTCTCTCTCTTCATTTCATTTCAGCTTGATTGTGATTTTTGAAACAGAGAGAAGCAGCAGCAAACAGTAAAAGCAGAGCAACAGGAACAGGGTACCGAAATGAGATACACTTGGTGTAGTACACCTGATATTTTGGACATTGCTAACAAAATGGTTCCATTTCCATGTCTGCCCCTGTACAGAAAGGGGAGACATGACAGCCTGATTCAAGGACATAACAGTCACTTATTGCTGTTAAATGGGTGTTCATATTAGGTTCTTGCATCCTATGCTTATGAGTTTATTTAGTTTCTTGCGAAATACACCTTTTATACCACACAAATTTTTACGAATCATAAACTCAACAACAAAATTTAGATCTTATGAAACTATGTATAACTAATTTCTTTACACAAGATTACGCAAATCTAGACTTTTCAACTTTAGGTACAACTTGCCTCTAGCCGAAAGCTTATCCGATGGTGATACGACAACGTGACGTATGGGATACAAAGTATAAAAAAGAAAAGGCATGCATACTTGTCAAAAAGTAATCGGGATAGGTACTTGAGCAACAAAAAGTAAATATTGTTCAACAAGTATCGAAATTTTGCAATTTCCCATCTTAGATTATACATTTTCATCCAAATCTGGATGAACAACCTTCCGAAACAAACAAACAACTAATTCGAAAAGATGATTGTCAATCCGAACATAACTGATTGTTTGGATGATTTCCACCCCTAAAAAATGTGATGTGAATGTTTTTTCTCTTTTAGAAACCACCTCAACCTACACGAAAATGTGAGATAAGACACATTCGTGCGGTTAGGCAACTAGAAGATATGATTGTATGAGCTGAATGGGAGACAAGGGTTGGACAATGGACATGGCACAGATATTTGCTGTCTTCTCAACACTAAGGTAAGATTCCCTTTTTGTCCTCTCACCCAACTGTATAATATCCAACCAGTTCTTAACATTTTCAAATCAAGTTTTAAGCAATCATCAGATTTCTCACTGCAAATTCATAATCTGCATCTGGGAAAGAGGTCAAAGTTATGCAACATGTGTTAAATTTAACACATTGTTATTGAGTGATTTTGGACGAACAACGAGCTGGCTGATCAAGTAGCGCACGTCGAAGATTGGAGGTGAGTCGATAATGCAGCTGAGCAAGCCTTGGAGATTACTTGCACACAAAGAGTGATGGGATATTCGGGTATTGTCTATCAAAATATACTTTATTTCGAGTGTTCATTACAAGCTACTTCATTTGGTGAGAATATGTCTCTATTGGACTTAATAGACTATCTTTTCTATCAACTCGTAGCCACATAGATTATTTTTAATTTAAAAAATCTTATGATTAATGTCATCTATGAATATAGGAATATTTAATTATTATTATATAATACTAAAGTTTTTTTTTTATAAAAAAAAAAGTTATAAATTAAACTCCTCAACTAATTTGTTTCTCCTCTTGAAGCTTTAAATTAGAGGGTGATTTAAGATTGGTCAACTCCCATTAATATGATGAGAGCTGTAAAGATTCTAATTGTCTCTATAATCATAATCAACAGCCATTCGTTCACATGGTAAAGTCCCGTAATAACGTTGTAATTAATTTAGTTTTGTTCAAAAGTTTCTTTTCTAGTATCGATTAGAGGTCCAAGTGGGATTTGAAAATACTGCAAAGAGCATGGACAAATGCATGTGCTTTAATTGAGTAAAATTAATTAATTCGGACATAGTTCATGAGTTTGAATCTCCACCTTCATATGTTGTATTAAAAAAAATAATTAATAATTAACATGAAACTAGGAGACGACGTAATAATCTTYGAGAGCCAAAACAAGCACAACTCAACAGTAATTGACATATATCTTCAACTAAGAGGTCGTGAGTTCGATTTCTCACTCCCACGTGTTGTACTAAAAAAAATCTCTAAGAATATAAAAATATTTCGAAAAAATATCATTTGGGTCGTCCATGAGTTTTTGTCTATAGATCGGTCACCAATTTGGTCCTTATGTTTCAAAATCATGCTCTTTTGGTCCTTAAGTTTTCGGAATAGATTTAAATGGTTTCTCAAATAACGTCTCTAATTAGACATCTCGTGGAAWAGACGATTATGCTGGTGTGACAAATCCAAGTTGAGAAAATATCATTCGTTATATGGATATTAATCATGCGAGGCGTTAGGCCACGTGATTGACATGATAGAATACAACATGGAATATTACATTGCATTGCTAATCCACGCAACCATGGACCATTATTGGCCATCTTAATAACTTAGCAGCATAATCATAAAAAGTAAATTCCTAATACATCCAYAGGAAGAAAATATCGCGTTGGAGCTTCCACATACATGATCACTTACGTGATGTCCCTTATAAAACACGATCTTAAACCTATCGTACGCTAGTMTCTTATAATTTCTCAGTTTTTTTCCCTTTTTTTTTCACATTTTGCCTTTACTAAGTACACATGTGCTGAAAATCAAATTTTTTGAAGGAAAATAGAACTCCAAACACACCGACAACTTCGCATCGCTCCAACTTCAATACTCAATTGCATACCTGTTCTAGTGGCTCATCGTACTCCATTTCTCTGCTCCATTGAATAATGTTCTATTCTAGTTGTTGCTGAACATTCATCCCTTCAATCAAATTTGCCTCACTTTTCAATTCTTGTTGAATTCAGTAACAAAAGTTTACTATTTTTTTGATCCATTTTCAATTCTTGTTGAACAGCTGCAACTTGAGCCAAAACCACCTTTAAATTGGAGCGGCCCCTCATGCGCCCTTTATCCTTATTATGGAAGTGAAGTTAATTGCTACAATAATAGTGCCAACTGCCTAAGGACTCGTGTCATCTATTGATTAGCCAAATAATTATAAAATAAGCTCTTGGAAGTTGGTCTTTTCACATTGACAAGAGTAGCACCCAAGTTTTCTTATATATAGATTAATTACCCCTTCACCTACTACAAAGTATATAGATACCGAAATCATATGTTTTGTCGAGTCTAATATGGTACGCTCCTCGCTCTAGCTTACTATACATATTGCATGAATTATAGTTCTTATTATCCACATTGTTGCAATTGATTTAGTACTTGTCTGAAAACAAACATATTTTGGATCACTTTTATGTAAAAAAAAAAGAAAAGAAAGAAGACACATTTAAATCATTCACTAAATCAAATAGAACTCTTTTATTTGACCCATAATACTATGTTTGTTCATCTACCTCCAAAACGTTTATTCTTTTTATTGATCTCAATTTTTGTTTATTTTAATTCATCTACTTTCAAAAAATTTATTTTGATTCATTCATTTTCATCTCATTTTATTCTATGTAATTTTAATATGACACGTTACTTATTAAGTTTCTTAAAATGTAATAATAAATTATTTGAGTTAAAAGTTTCTATTATGTATAATATAATATTTGTGTTAAAATTTTATAAATAGGAACTAAATTAGTCAATTTTTAAACATACAGGCATAAAAGATTGACGTTTTGAAAGTGTAAGGACTAAAATAAACAAAACTGAAAATACAAATACCAAAATGATCGCCAAGTAAATGGTCGATGGAATAAAATATTATTTACATATATATATATATATAGTATTTGGGTATATGTGGTATATTTATATTTATGATGAAATATATATCTGTCAACATCAGTGGTGTATTTATATACATCTAGGGATTGACCAAATGTAAACAGAAAATTAGCTGTACATTATGTTATTAAAAAAAAGATATGCAATTTGATTTTTGCTCATTAATATAACACGCTTTGATGAGTTGTTTGGCTACAAACATATCATAAGAACCATACAAACTTATCTATATAATTAATAAGAGGGAGAGAAAAAAAAACTCTATATATCAAATTAAATAAAGATTATATTATTCAACTTCGAATATCGTGTCCATTTCAATTTCTGAATTATAAAAAACTTGATTACATAAATATTTTGAAAATTGTTATTAATTTAATCATTTCTTTTCTCAAGTACAAAGATATTGGTGGGACAAAAATTTAAACCCAACCGACGATCGAAAATATATATTTTAATTAATTAAACTATGCCGATTGATGAAATGATAATTAGATTATCTATTTTAACATTAAAAGACATTTAAAAAAACCTACTTATTTTTTTCTTTCTTTTATTTATTAATAGGTATGCTATTATTTTAATTATCAACTTTTCTTTTATAAATATTTTTAAATATGAATGAGTTTTTCATATTTTGTATGTTATTATTAGTTGAATTGTTAGGGTTATATATATTTAATCTATATATTTAAAAAAATTAATAGGTTTTTGTATTTTTAAAATTGTATATGTCTATATATTATATTTTGAAACAATTTTAATAATATCTATTTTTATTACAGCAATTTTAATAGGATCTAAAACTTTTAATTTTGTGTCCGATAATAAAATCTTCATCATTAAATTCAATAATTTAACACTTATGCATAACTTGTGATCACACTATTTAAAGGTTAATTTTTTTTATATAGTTTTTTGGCATTTGTTGACATTATATAATCATCAGACTTATATATAGTAACCATAGGAATTAGATATAAAATTAAAAGTTTTAGAAGCCTATTAAAATATTTTAAAAGTATAGAGATTATCAACTTTGGAAGTTTATGAACATATTTGAAATTTAAGCCTAAATAGATTAGGTATAATAATTTTGAAAGTTTAGAAAGTTAAATTTTACCAATAATAAGTTAAAATACTATTTTGGTCCCTATACTTTCAACTTTCGTTCATTTTGATCTAATTTTGGTTTATCTCAATTAATTTCCTCTGTACTTTTAAAAAGATCGTTTTGGTTCTCTCTTTATTTTTTTTATCGTAATTTCAACACAACCGTGCATTTAATATATCGCTTGAGATGTAGGTATAACTTTATATTAAAGGATTTTTGAAGGTAGAGGAACTAAAATTAAAATTAAAAATAGTATTTTAATTTTTAACTAATATAATTAGAGAGAGAAAAACTATATATATATATATATATAGAAAGCACCAGCCATTGACAAATATATTAAATATTTGGAGAAACAGTATGAAGGAGGTTCCCCCACACGTGTGCATGTGGAAAGCTACTCTCTTGTCCCTATACTCACAGCTCACCCTTCATCTCCAACTGTACAAAATCTCACACTTTTATTTTTTATTTTTTTTTCTCCTTTTAGATGATCGATGTCTTTTTAAATTTTGAAAAAAAAAATAATTATTATTATTTTGTAACATTAATATATTTATGCTTGTTTTTCTTTGTTTCTGTCTGTAGACAACGAAGCAGAACTGCAGCGCAGCCAATTTTCCTCTTTCTTTTTTTGTGAGTAATGAAATGAATTCTTAAATTATTTAAATTTCTAGTTGGAAACTTCATTTTTGGATGTCTCTGTGTAGAATAAGACAAAATGGAAATGGCGAAGATGGATGGATATATACTCGTGTCTTGAAGATGAGATTTCAATATAAAATTAGTAATTAATGTTTATTAGGGTTATGAGTTGGAGACGTGGGTGGGCAGGAGACAGTCCTTAAACATTGCTGAATTTTGTGTTTTTGGATCCAAATCTCAATCCTAATCACGTTTATACCTCACTTGTTCATGTTCTTTCTTTTTTTCTCTCAAATGGATCAGATTCTATTGTCTCCTTTCGACCCATTTCGTATAAATTAAATTATGCCTAAATATTTGTATACAAATTCTTTCCTACTACCATGTGTTGTTTATAATTAGTTTTAATTTTACCTTATACATTTTGTAATCTTTCAAATTTATCTCTCCAATGTTTTAGTTTGTGCAAAAAATTTCCTAACAGACAATAAAAGATTAGAGGGTGAAATTCAAACTTTCAAATATGTTTAGAGGCATTTTGTATTTTCAATTATTCTCCTAAGGTTTTAAAAGTTTCCATTATAAATGATAAACTATATGCACGTTAGAGGAAAATTTCACTGCATAGTTTCAATTTAACTTTAACTTTGAAAGAACAAACTTATTTCGTTTTCTAAAAAATACAATGTTCGTGCAACTTTTACATTACATGGGAGGTGAGTTATTTGATTTGAATTACGTTATTTTTGTAAAATTTTCAAACTTTTTAGATATATTTTTAAAATACAAATTTATTTTATGCTATTTAGGTAGAGGCCTCCTATGAATAAAAGGGTATTTCTATTTCTTTAACCAAAAAAATAAAAGATAAAAGCTTAAACGTAAAATTGAAACTTCTAAAGAAAAGCTTAATATAAGCTATGTATAGTGTACTGACTATATTTTGTATATAACAGTACTTCTTTATTGACTTAACAACAAGAAATTTAATGTTGTCCACCATTTTGCTTTTGACAGATAGAAGATAAAAATGTAGAAAACGAGAGATTTTATTATTTCTTTTTAAAATGAAGAACAGCATATCAATTTTTCTACTACCGAGTCGAGTAAGTATTTTTTTTTACATTCCTATAACTTGAGAGGTATTCACGGCCACTTAATACTAGAATCGACATTGCAAGACTCAAAACTAGAAGGGGTATCTCCATTCGACCACAAGCCCACCAGATGAATCAACATAAATTTATTATTATTATTATTATTATTATTATTATTATTATTATTATTATTTTATATGTAATTTACCCAACTCTATAATAAAAATGGATCAGAGATTCGGGTTGTCTCCTTTTGAACCCATTTGGTATATAAAGTAATTAATAAATCACAGACAGATGATATATAAAGATACAAACCAAGGAATAGAAGCAGAAAAAAGATTTTCAAAAAAAAAAAAAAAAAAAATCCCAACTTTCTCTCCATCATCATCATCTCGTTGTTGTTGTAATCGTTTAATGGTAATGGGAGGGTGGTCGAATCAGAATTACCACGCGCGGTCCAAGAGCTTGCCGACGAGGCCGCACCCACTGGTTTCGGAATGCGACGAGCATCTGTGGCGGCTCAAGGCGTTGGAGTCATCGGCGTGCAGCTGGTCGCCGCCGGGTATGAGCCAGAGGCTGGCCGGGCTGCAGGATTTGCAGGACTGCGTGAGCAAGCTGCTGCTGCTGCGGCGGACGCGGGAGGCCTTCGCGGCGCACCGCCGGGAGAAGTGGGTGGACGACGTCTTCGATGGCTCGCTTAGGCTTCTCGACATGTGCAGCGCCGCCAAGGACGCCATTATTCATACCAAAGAGTGCGTCCGGGAGCTTCGGTCCATGCTCCGGAGACGCTCCTGGGGCTCTGCAAACGCCGTCGCCAATGAGGTCTCTTCAATTACCATCTAATTTCTTTTTCAGTTTGGTTTTTACCATTTAGATTTAGTTTCAAACCGTGGAGAGATTGAATTAAATCTACCCAATCTATCAATATGGAACCTCTAAAAACATGCAAGTTTCGACCTTTTTAGTAGTAATTGTCCTTCCCGATCACCTGTTGGCGTCAACGGTCCACTTCCCTTGAATGAGAGTTGATCTTCTCAATCCACGAAAATGTCCTTTTCCTTGTTTAGTGGCATCTCTCTGAGAGCATTTGAAATTTTTATTCATTCAATATTTCTGGTTAGGGATCATCATATGTTTACTGTGGACTCAAACGTTGATAATCGTGCCTACTTATCAACTGCTACTAGGATTATAACAATCTCTGGAATCAAAATCTTAGCTTTTGTTGGATGACTACCATGTGGGGGTTTGATATAACACAAAAATCCATGTTATTTGCAGTAGGATCCATCTTTTTGTTCACTCTAGGAAGAGTCACTGGAATAGTCCTAGTAAATTTAGGATTAGACACTGATTTTGAGTTTGATAGTTTATTCGTTTTTAACACGGCAAAAATCACTTTTTTTAAGTTGAGTTGTGACTTGTTATTTTAAGGCAGACCCATGACTTTTTGGGAAAAAACTAAAGGGAATTGAATGGGTTTTACTGATCAGGTGGAGAAATACATAGCCTCAAGAAAAGTGGTGAAGAGAGCAATCCAAAAGGCAGTGAGCAGCGTGAAGGGGAGTAGTGGTGGGGGGAAACCCAGTTCCATTAAAGACCCAGAAACCATGGCTTTGATAGGATTATTATTCGACGTGGAAGCCGCCAGCCTCAACGTCTTCGAAGCCCTTCTCTGCTACGCGTCCGGGAAGAAGGGCAGGGCCAAGCCCACCGGCTGGGCGCTCGTCTCCAAGCTCATGCGCGCCACAAAGGCGCACCCGCCGTCGTCCACGGATCAGGACGCGCCGGATCATCAATCCGGAGAAGCCAACGAGTTCGCCGCCGTGGACGCGGCGGTGGACGCGGCGGCGACCAGACTCTCCGACGCCGGCGCGGAGGGCATGGGGGAGCAGCTGGGGAAACTGGAGGCGTGCGTTCAGGATTTGGAAGGAGGGTTGGAGGGTTTGTTCAGGAGATTGATTAGAAACAGGGTTTCGCTTCTCAATATTCTCAATAATTAACATTTTATTATTGTTAATTATTCATTAAACTATTTTGTAGATCCATTATTGATAAATGTGTGTATTATGATGCCATTTATGGAAGGTAATTTGTAGATTAATATCTTTTGCTTTCTTTTGAACTTGTTTTTTTAGTTCAACAAGGCATATGGGAGTAAGGATTCAAATCTTCTTTTCAACTGGTTTGAGATCCATTAATTATGTAGTATAAAATTGAAAAATCAAAAGCTCATGAGATAATTCAGTATTATATTTTAAAGGAAAATTACTTGTTTGGTCTTTGATTTTAGTTTTTTGATTTTGAGTTTGATTGGAGCATACACTATTTAGCCTATAAACCTTAAATTAAATTATTTACCCTATAAAAATTAAATTTAGTAATTTTTTTAAAAAAAATTCAATTATACTATTGAATTTTAGATTATGTTTATTATTTACCCTATAAACCTTTAATATTATGTCCATTTTAATTTGTCAAATTTTAAAGAATTTTATTTTATTTCTTTGTGTGTGTCAAAAACACTAAAAATATGAAATACGACTTTGTTTTCATTAAATCTCTTGGTCGTTCATATTGCTGTTTTCATATTCCAACTAAACGCACCTTAAAACATCCATAAATGGAACTTTTTTCTTTGCCAAACACAAAAGTTCTTTTTTAAAAAATACTTAAATCTTTACTCATATCAGTATTTGTGAAATTTTCAACAAGTGGGAGACAGAAAGGAAAAAATATATATTTTTTAATTAAAAAAAGGTTAAATTTTTATCGGTTGCCATGACAATGATAACTTGCTAAATTTTAAAAGTGTTTTAATTAACCTAGAAAGTGACCGTTCAATTGATGAAGTTCAATAAATTTGAAGTTCGTATCTTCTATTTCTTTATTTCATTTAAAAAGAAATTGTTTAATAATGATTTGGAATTGGTGGCATCTATCTGTCACACGACCCCTCTAAAATATCCTATGAAGATTGGTCTCAAACTTTTTCAAAACATGGATTGAGCCTAAATCCAAAATCTTAGGCCCGTTTTATACGAACTCCAAAAAAGAAAGGGAAAAAAAAAAAACCCCATTTCATACGACATTAATTTTAATTTTGTTCTTAATATTTTAAGTATTCTCAATTTCATCCTTGTGTATTTCTGTTAAAATTCATTAACAATTTGATGACATAGCATTAAAATATTATTAAATAACAATATTAATAAATGAAGGAAAAAGTTGAAATTTTCTCCAAATAAGAGAGACATTAGAGAGAAATTAATTAATTAGCACAAAGAAAAATTACAAATTTGGAACAAATCCACCACTGCCAAAGATTCCACCGTGGGCCCTATGGAGAAAGACTACAAACTTTGAAAGGTTCCATCATGGGCCTTCCAAGAGGAACAAAAGAGTGGAAAATGTGTGGTTGGTGGAAAGAAGGGGGAGAAACCACTTTTATCAAACACAACATCTTTCTATCGAGAAATGTAGATACGGTCTTACATAAGATATTTAAAACACTTTCAGTTAGAAAAAAAGAGAGATGAGAGAAAATTCTATGTACAACTGGAGTTTGATTTTCGACTGTGGTGGTGCTCTTAATTAAACAATACTTTTCGCGATGAATGAACTTCACAGTTAAATTTTTGACGGATGATGGAAGAGATTGGAGTCAAGTTCACTAGAAATTAAGTATATTGCTAGGGGTGGTGATCAAATTGAGAAACCAAGGACTGTTGAATTGGTTCCAAAACTGGTCTTGAGTCCAATCCATGGTGGCTTTTGGAACTTGCAGATCGGTCAGCATTTCAAACCCTTTCGGAATCTGTAAACTCGTCGACGATGACCCTCCGCTCACGACCGCCACCGCCTTCGCTGCTGCCTTTGAATTTACTTCCTCCTCTTCATCTTCCTCTCCATAACTGCTCTCTTTCTTCATCACCACGTCCTCGGAATTTAGCCTTGGAATTTGACTGCAAAAGGAATCCTCCTCGCCAGCTTGTTCCTGATCCTCCGCCATTAACGCAGCTGTAGCATTCATCTGCAAGTTCCTAGTTTCTTCCTCCACTGCCCTTTGCTCCAGCACCTTCAATGAAGTTGCTTTTCTGTATATCTTGCATAGCACTATGTCCTGAAAAATCAAATCACAATCTTTAGAAATCAAAATTCAAAAATCTTAAACAAATGGATTATTTTTAAATTACCATAAATTAAAAAAAAAAATTCCATATTCTCATACTTCTTTATCTACGAGTATGGACTAATTTTACCGGACAATTATCTAATCCTACTATTTATTTGTCAAAACAAACTCTAAAATTTTAAATTTTAGATGAGTGCCAACCATACAAATACTCTTTAATTAATTTTTTTATTATCCCACCGACGCTAAAGTCAACAATTAGTACTCCTTGTCAATATCAGAGCCGAGAAGCGTAATAAATGAAATTTTTGTTAGCACAATAAATAAGAGTGTAGGATTTAATTAAACTCGTGACTTCTTGATCGCATACCGATATAATTTATTGTTGAGTTAAACTAACACTGATAATAAATCATTTTTTTTAGAGTTGGAATGGAATAAGAATGAGCCATCAATTATTCTACGTACCATGGGGAGAGAGGAATTATGGGGGAGACGGTACTCGTTCATGACCCAATCAGTCTTGGTGCCTCTGGGGGCTCTTCCCTTGTAGAAAACGAGGGTCTTTCTGAGGCCAATGAGGCGCTTGGGGTCCGACAAGCTGAGAATTCTGCGGTCGGAGCCGGTGGCTTTCCAGTAGCCGATTCCGGTGGTCCGGTTGGGCCTTCCGCCGCCGTGCTTCCTGTCTGATCTGGGCACCAAAAAGTACCACTCCCTCTCTCCGTTATTCTTGGCCAAATCTGTAATTTTGTTGAATGAATTAAAATGGTGGAAAGGGAAGAAATTACCCAAAAGACAGGACAGAATTAAGGTACCAGGTAAATCCCATGGGTCGTGTTGGTAAATGTTGAGGAAGCCAATGACGTCGAAGGCGTGGGAGTGGCGGCGTTTGAGGTAGAATTCAAGAAGCTCTTCTTCTGTGGGGTGGAATCGGAACCCAGGGAGGTGCCCCAGCTGATGATGGGATTCGGCCTTCGTCTTCGCCATCCAAATTATTATTCTCTCAATCTTATGCTGATTACTTTATTATTTCTCCACCAAATGCTTCAATTTGCTGCTTTATATATATATATATATATTGGATTCTGTGTTTGTTGGTTTGGTAGCAAGGACGACAAAGACTCGGTCATTGAAAGAGAGAGCTCCAAGTTTTTTTTTTTCTCTTTTTTTTTTCCTAGCAAAATTAATTAAAATGAAGCCACCACAGGACAAGAGGGAAAGATTTTAGTACTATTTCGTGATGTTTACTCTTATATTTCTTTGGTTCGTGCTATGAATTTTCTTTTCTTTTTATAAATAATGAAAAATATTTAGTTTCTTAATTTGTCCTCCCTACTATTAAATATTTGACAAGTGAGAAAGATAAATTAAAAAAAAAATTAATGGTGGTGAGGATAAGATTTGGTTCTCTCCATTTTAGGGAGTCAAGTATTTTTCATAAATAATTGTTATATTCTTCATCTTTCTTATAAACATGATCGATAAATRTATAATATTTAAATACTTACAGTAAATAGGATGGATATTATTGGAAATTTGGGTGAGCTGATGTGGCAATGTGAATCTACAGAGGAGCCTCAACCATTCAAGCAAGGTGAAAACCAAGCACCAGTGTTGTCGAATTTGGGTAGGCGAACCTAGGTAGTCGAGATCCATACTTTGCAATGAGAGGATATTCTATCAAATTTTCTGGCAATCGAATCATCCTTTCGTTGAATGTCAATGGATATTCCACCGAGCGAAGACTACCCAGATTGGAAACTAAGTTGAATTAATCTCAATGTGACATGTGTTCTTTCCTCCTAGCTCAGTGGACTCGAATTAATCTCAATGTAACACAAATTTTCTGACAATCGAATCGTCCTTTCATTGAATATCAATGGATATTCCACCGAGCATATACTACCCGATCTAGGAACCGAGCTGAATTAATCTCAATGCAACGTGGGACTTTCCTCCTAGCTCAACGAACTCGAATTTCAATCCAAATCCACATCTTGTTGCAAGGCGGGTCTATATGTATCACTCTCGATTTTATCTCATAACAAGTAGTTGTTTCCTATTACCACTATTAAAAAACTAATAACTAAAGAAAGATTATATACCCGTAAAAGAAGATAGATAATAGAATAAATAACACCAAATTAGAGCATGAGAGGGTATGAACTCCCAACCTAAAAAAAATAGTAAATCACAATTAATTACCATGAATCATGCTTATGTTGGCATGATTGATTAACAATTAAAATAGTATCAAACATATTCCATCGGGTGATATTGAAAATTTTTAAGAGAGAGAAGAAGAAAGAGAGAAGGAGGAAGAGATTTTTCTTATTCATAAAATAATATAAGATACTAGTTTGGTGGGTCTTCCCTTTTGGGTGATTAATTATTTAAAATTAAAGTATATTTTATGACTAAAAACATGAATGTTTGTGTATAGAGGTAAGGTAAGGGTGGGTTTGTAATTTGTACGAGGAGGAAAAAAAAGAGAGAGAGATCCTGAAAATAAAATAACAGATTCGTTTTTTTCTTTTTTCCGTTTTTTCTTAACGCGTTGATATATAATTTTAAAAAAACTAAAAAACGAAAAACTAATTATCTAATTTTAAAAAGAGCACGCGTTCAAAATTTATACTTCAAAGACAAATAAAAGTATTGAGAGAATAATGTAGTGTCTACCAATAAGATTCTTTGTTAAATTTTAATTTTCATATTAAATCTCTTACATCAATTTAATAAATACTTCGTTAATATTCTCTAACTTAATTATTTTATTAGTATCTTATTTATTATAACTTTAGATTGTTTCACATTAATATATATTTAGAGGTTGGTTCTATATTCCTTCTTTTTATTATGATGTAAATAATTGGCTCAATATATTGAGTTCATTCATCTCTAATATTTTTCTTCATTTTTTTTATCTTAACACGTGTGTGTGTATATATAAATAAAGATGATGATATATTTTTTTTCTAGAAAAAAAAGAGGGAGATCAACTATAATGAAACTTACCAAACACATTAGTTAAAGTTATTTAAAAATTGCATTTGCAAAAGCGTCATGCTTTCGTGGCACTGATCTAGTTGTCCATAACTGAATTCTTTTACTATTAAAATTTGTCAAATTTCGGCCTTTTACCAAGCCAATTTTATTTTTTTCAAATTAACAATATAAAGAAATAAACTAAATTATATATTAATAGACATATTTAAAAATATCTAAGTTTGTAATCTTAATTTTTTTTAATCAAAAGTAACGTTAGTCTCCCTTAATTGTGAGTAAAAAGATTTGAAATATCTAAGTTAGTAAAATATTTAGGCTAAAATATGAGCATAGTTCAGTTAACTTGAGCATAATTCAATAGACATCTATTTACGATAAAAAAATTATAAATTCAAATTCTCACCCACATATATTAAAATAAACTAAAAAAGATGTTTATGATATTGAAAACAGTAACTTTTTTAGTACAACATGTGGGAGTGAAAGATCGAACTCACAACCTTTTAATGGTAGATATATGTAAATTATCGTTAAACTAAGCTTATTTTGACTCTAGCTACATGTACTACTCTTCAACTATATCATCAATAATTAAAAATGATACATAGTCAATTTAAACATAATTTAGTGAATAAGACACTTATTTATACATAGTCAATTTAAACATAATTTAGTAAATAAGACACTTATTACCATTTTAAAGATGGACCGTGTTTCTATCTCCTATTTCAAAGTACAACAAATATCTTATTTTTTATTCACATATCAAATGCCACGTGTCGTTATTCTTAGTGGTGAATTGGCAGTGACAACTAATAATATAATATTACAAAGTGGGTGGACCCACACGGTTTAGAGATAGGGAGTCATCATAGTGTTGACAATGGGAAGCCATGTCCTTTGTTAAGACTTGATTGTTTGGACTTTTACTTGGAATTCCAATTTGTGGAAATTCCACCTAATTTTCCGCCACATAATTTCATCCTTTTACTTTTTCAGCCCAAAATAATAATAATAATAATAATAATTAAAAAATCCTAAATTCTCGAAGGACAATGAAACAACTATTATCTTCTCACCTCACACACCTTTTCGTATTAAATTATAAATTTAGTTTTAAGATGGTATCTATTTAATTCTTAAACTTAAAATCTACAATTTATATTATTAATATCTTAATATATTTATTAAATAATTTTTTAAAGGAGTTAAAATATTATTTTACGCATTCATAAACTAAAATAAATAAAAGTTGAAAATATAAAGACTAAAATAAACATTTTAAAAATACATTAACTAAGATAGATTAAGAGGAGGTGACTGCTTTGACTCAAACATAAATAGTTGAGCACAAACAATTGATATTGTTTAATAAAAGGGAACTAAATTAAAAATATGGAATATTGTATATGTATTGACTACTTTTTTTTTTTTCCAAATGATTTTGTTTTTAACTCTAGTTCTAGCTTTCATTAGAAAACGGTCTCATTTTTTTCTTTTTCTTTTTCTTTTTTCCTGATTTCATACTACAACTCAAAAATCTTCTTTCTTTCTTTTTGGAATACTTTTTAAACGAAAACTCTCTAATACAAGTCGGATTTAAAGAAAAAAATCATACTTTTCATAGAATAGGGTGGAGAATCAATTCAAACGGAAAAATAAAAGTAAAAGCAAAGATTCAATTAGGTTGAAACAAATTTTCAAAATTCAATCACAACTCCCTTTTCTAAATAGTTTGTTCTAGAGTTTCTCTTTATTGGAGGCTATTTATTACCTGTCACGTGTTGATACGAGATTGTCAACTACCACGATGATCAAGGAAATCAAATTAAGAGATTCATGTGAAGCAAGTTAAGCATCCTGGCATTTGAAGTCGAATCGAGCTATATCTTGTCTACCAGTCAACCCATACTAGGTATGAGCAATCTTGAAGAGCATCCACAGGCGCAAAGATGACTGACATGCTCTCCTACAAGATACCATGATTTTAGGTGATCTGAAGTTCTTGTCGGGAGCTCGACTCTTTAAATGGAGATCCCTCCTCTCACGTAAGGTACACGAAACAATATTCTCTCTCGAGTATTGATTTGATAAGTGTACTGACTTAAGCGTCGGAGTTCTAACTCTGTTTTTACAGATCTTTCATACGTTGATGTATCAAGTCCGAACTTCGCGAATTCGAATTTGATCATTTTCGTAATGAAACACCCTGGTTTGTGAAAAGAAAAAGAAAATATTAGAGACTTAATTCTTAATTTTCACACGTTAATAAGATAACAAATATTTTTCATTTGATTCACATGAATATAAAGAGAAAAGTGGAAGAAATAAAGAAGAAACCGCATATTTTACAATTGCGCGATCCCCAAAAGTCTATAAAGAAAGTGATAGAAAGAGACGTTGTTTGTTTCCCAAGAAAATGACGTGCGAAAAAATTATTTATTATTATTATTATTTTTTAGTATTCGAATTCTTAACCTTTTAATCCAGATTAATTAATTGCTATTAAACTAAGTTTGGTAGAATTATTAGTATTATTATTAGAATAATAATTAATATAATAATAATATTCCGCATGCAACAGGTATTTTCACATAAAACCAAAAAGCAGAGATTGATTTTTCGAAATTGCGTCAAGGGGCCCACTTTATCGACGACTTCGGAGTCTTCTTTCTACCCAATTTATTTATGCCACTCTATTTTTTTTTTCTTTTTTTTTTTAAGGAAAATTTAGACACGAGTGCTAAACAGCTGTAAAAATATAACCATTAACTTCCATTGAAGCTTGCGTATCCAACGGTGCCAAGGTTTGAAATGTTTTCGATTTTTTGAAAATGTTATTTCGGTGAAAATTTAAAGAAAAATTATGAAAAATATGAAAAAAGATGGAAATTAATGTTTGAGTTAATTTATGATTCTTTAATTATAAAATAATTATGCGGAACTTATTGTTTTTACTAACCATATTTATAGAATTAAGTAAGATTTGTTTGGTTACATAATTAGAGATATCAAATCTAAATAATTGTAAAAAAAAGTATAGTAATTTCAAGTATTAAAATTGTATACCTAAATAAATACCACATAGTACATCAAACTTTAACAACTTCATATTTGGTTGTCCACACATGACATCATCTGTTGGTTAATTATTTGAAGTTAAATGTAGATGCAGCTGGTAATCGCTCATCTACAAGTTTGGGAGCCATTTTTCGAGACTCAAATTGCCCTATTCGACTGGCTTCTTCGACATACCTTCCCACTCCATTCATGCTTATGCTTGCTAAGCTTTGGGCAATTCTTGAAGATTTGCGACAAGCTCAATCCATGGGATTCACTCACCTCCAAGTTGAATCAGACTCTCTCAACTCGATTAGACTCATTCATTGAGAGATCTCAACTTTTGGGGACGAACTTGGTTGGTTGATGGATATAAAGAATTTAGCCCTACATTTCTCCTCCGTTACCTTCAACCATGCCTGTCAATTGAACAATAAACCAGCAYATATGTTAATCAAGAATGGCCTCCTTCAAGCAACCACGTGTATATGGTCTACTAATTTTTTTCCCTTTGTAACTTCAAAGTCTTAACGAGGAAGATACTCTCTTAAATGTAGCCCATGCAACGTTTTCTTAATTTAATGGAGTGCTTTTTTATCCGTAAAAAAATGATATATGCCATGAGGCAGAGAGAGTGAGTAAATGGAGCTTGACCTTTCTTAGATATCTTGGAGAAATGAAATTTAACCCCTCATTGAGATGCCAGACCATCACTGAGATGTTGAACCTGTTGGGGAATCTGACATATGTGACTGTCAAGGGATATTTCAAAATGTCCCTAGACCTTTTAAACATTGATCTTCACCTTATAATATTTTAGATGGGACACAATAATTTTGTAAACTAAATTAAAAAAAATGTTTTTTTACCCATCATAATGAGTGAACAATCCAAACATAACCGAATCGATAAGGATTTATTGTCATCTCAAATGTCACGGATGGTTCCATCAACAATGTTAATGTTCCCATGTGCCTGAAATTATTAAAATTTTAAATTTAGGTAAAATATGTATTTTAGTTCCACCCCTTGTTCTTTGAAAAGTTTCAATTTATTCCATAATGTTTTAACAGTTCTAAATTATACATTTTCGTGAATTTTAAAATTAGCTTATGAGAAGCATACATGAATTTGTTGATCTAAAATTATAGAAAAAAAGGTAAAATTTTATGTAATTACTTAGAGATTCGGAAAGAAATTAGAAATTTTCATCTCTTTTAAGGTGAATTAATTATACTGTACTCTAAAGTTTTGCTAACTCATTGATCCAGTATCATACTATGCAAGCATATTATCCATCAATTTTAACATTCATGGATGAAAATGGTATAATTGAAAAAGGTTGAAACATTAGGTTAAATTGATACTTTTTATACATAATAATAATAATAATAATAAAATTCACTGAAACGTTAAATAATAAAATACATATTAATAAATAATAGTTCTCAAAATAAACACATAGACTATTCGTGAAAGAAAACTAATTATTCAAATCTGTTTCTATATGAATTTTTGTTCTTGAGCGTAGAACATTATTTTGTAAACAACGTCTCGTAAACTATTTTTTAAAAGATAATTTAGAAAGAAAAATATGTTTGGATAATTATTTTATTTACCTTGAATATGTTAATTTTAGAATAGATCAGTGCAAACAATATATTAAATATGTGCCAATTAAAATAATTTTTTGTCATAGGTTTTAATAACAATTATATAACTAAACTAGAGAACTATTTTGAAAATAGTCTGTCAAATGAATTAATTTTTCTTTCTTAAAAGTACTTTACATAAAAGCACTAACTTATTGCGTTATATTTAGTGGGAAAGGAAATATTAGATAAAAAGTTATAATTAACAAAACACAAACTTAATTTTAAAAAAAAAAAACCATATTCTACAAACTCTCATATGTAAGAATAATTAAAAATGCTAATCTATAGAAATCAACCAAAAAAAATTAATCCATTCAACTAAGCACAAATTTTTTTACTAAAGAAAGAAAAAAACAACAACAAATAATCTTTTATCAATTGTTTCATATTTTTCTCTGTTGGTAAAATATTTATAAAACTCTTAAATAGGCTAACCTAAAGTTAAGTTATATATTTTCAATCAAAATATTAATGTTCAAATCTACACTCTGCATATTTGTTGAACTTGAAAGAAAGAATAAAAAAGAAAAAGAAAGAAAAAAAATCTATATATATATATATATATTTTTTAGACTTCTGAACACAAGAGGGCTTCTCCCAGACCTGTTCCCAAGAAACGATATAATTGTTGAAAACTTTTGGCCCAAATTTAAAAATGCAGATGCAGCCCACTAAACACAACATAGGTCCAAGAAAAAAAGGTGTCATTTTCTTTTAATGAATATGATCTACCTGCATAATAATTACAATTCAATCTTATATATATGTATTAAAAATCATTTATAGTCCTAAATTTTGTTCATTTAACCTATATAAATATAAAAGATAATAAATAATATTTGTCACTTAGCTTAATTTATCAGACACTTATTTTCAACCAAAAAGTATTAAAAAAAATAAACCTATGCATAACTCAACTGGTTAAGACATGTATAGGTTATATCTAACTAAAAGGTTGTAAGTTGGACTTCTATCTATCATGCCAAAAAAAAAAACTATTTATAAGCCAAATACTATTTATTATTATTATTTGTTATTTTTTTTATTTTTTATTTTGGAAACAAAAAAAGAGTCCTAGTGCATGCAAAAGAACCAGAAAATGTAGGGTAAGGACCCCCAGTTAGAGTCATAGTGCCCAAAAATGAGGACCTCCCTTCGTAAACTTTTCCCCATTTTGGGGATTTAGCCATGAACATAATAAAGCCATATATAGCTGTTTTTGGCATTAATTCTTGAACCACCCATTGCCATTGCCATTGCACCCAATACCCATTAGGCAAAAAAGCTGCATGCTTTTTCACCAGCTTTAGGGTTCACAAAAAAAATAAAATAAAATAAAAAAGTTCATTACATTTCTCTGTCCTCTTATAGTAATTAGAATCAATTTTAAAAAAATTTATTTTTACGATCTTATCTCTACTTTCGTCTCTTGACGATTAAGAAGTTGTCATTGAGTATTCCTTAATCACGTAAGAAAGAGTTTCGTATGCTTGTAATTTGAATCTTCATGGACTACATATAACTTACATTAGATGTATTTGATTGGTTCGGAAGGGAGCATCGCCCATGAAACTATGAGAAGCCAAATGGATGAGGGGTCTTTTTTTTGTGTGTGTGTTTTTGCTTTTTATCATGAACATCATATCTCAGCCATTAAAGCTTTGTGCTTAAATTAAATAGGCTTTTTCAGAAGGCATCAGTGAACACAGACCAATAGCTACAGTTCACAATCTCTGTTCTCTGCAAATATAAAGCTTTTTCAGTACTCAATAAACACTTTCACCTTTTTTTTTGCCAAAACAAGTTATATTCACTTTTCCCACTTTCTTATCATTGTCATGCCTCATCCATTATTGAATTTTTCAATGTCTTTCCAAACTATTTTATTATATATATATATATAATCATTCTTCCCATACTTCTAGCTCTTAGGGTCTCTTTGTAGAATACTTGATCAAAGTGTAAGTTATTGACCCACAAGTCAGTAGTTCTGACGAATCCAACACGATCATGGAGAAGAACAAGAATTGGAGATCGGATGCGAGTGAAATTCCCATCAATGGTTGACATGTTCAATCGACTTCCTGAGTAGAAAATAGAAGAGGAAAGAGGCTCTTGCAAACTGTCATAACGAGTGAACGAGGGATAAGTTTCGAGATATATATATAGTTTGAATGTAATTTTTGAGAATCATAAGTATGAGAGTTGAGATTGAAACTTTCTTTTAATAAAGAAAACTATCCAAGCCGGCTAAAATATGCTCCAATTTAATTTTGGATTTTGAACTTTTATTAATTCTCTATTTTTTCCTAAACTTTTTAGTTTTGTTTTTTAATCTTTTTTAGAAGATAATTTTAGTAGTTGATGAATGTAAAATGCTATAATTATTTCTTAACTGTCCCTTTCATTTTCCTTGAACCTATATAGTTGACCCTAGTTTTGGTTTTTCCAAAGCTAATCTTATCTTTAATACTAAATCTTAATTGGACTGTAATCATAATTTCATAAAACAAGGCAGCAATCAGAAAGTCTGTCACTCCTCGCAACTACTATAATGTAGTCACTTTAAATTGCATAATTACTTTTTCAATTCTACTAAAAAAAAAGTTTCATATCAATTACAAAATTAACGGGTCAAAATATAACTCAATTGATTAAAACATATATTATCGGTCAAAAGAGGTTGAAATTCCCACTCTCCAAATATCGTTGGATTCAAAATTAACCTCAAATTTGTCTTCCACTTCTTAAAAAAATGATATTTATACTTGAAATTCAAATCAAACCAGGTTGAATAATAGCATAGAAATTCAACTTGCATCATGAACTCAATATCTGATTTAAACGCTAAAGTCTACACAAAATAAAGATATAACATAAATTAAAAGTTAAAATAGCTGAAGTAGTCAAATATTAATATATATATATATATATATATATATATATATATAGATTTAGATGGTAGAATCTAAAAAGAAAAGACGAGAGGTTTTGTTTTTTAGGACCCATTTGGCAACGTGTTATTATTTTTTATTGTTTGTTTTTTAAAAATCCAAGCATTTAACAAATATTTATGTTTTTTATTTCTCAATTTTAAGCATTCTATACAGACATTTTAAAAAGAACAAAAATACGTTTCTTTGTTCTTATTCCCTTTTTCCAATTTATTTCAACCTAAATAAAAATATTGTTTTATCATTTATTATATTTATGGATATTGGGATGATGTAATTCTATTTTGTTCTTATTAAAAAATAAAAATAAAAAACGAAAACATACCGCTTAAACAACTCCTCTTTCCCTTTGTACATAATTGAAGCTTGAAATACAAGATGCTGAAGTAATACCCAATTTGAGATGTTGAAAAGGGTGGGTATTTCTTTGTTCTTAGAAGAGGGTAGAGCACAGCCATGATAAAAAATCACAAAGCTTAGAGAAAAAAGGAAGAGGAAGGTCCCACTTTTTGGTCAATCTTATCTCTGATGTTTTGTCCACTAAATACCATTTTGCGCCATCCAATTATGGAACGGTTGGTATAACATGATGACCCAAATTCCCAGCTTCAAATCAAAAACTCCACTTCCTTTTCAAGTTCTTTCTTTCTTTCTTTCACTGAATCTTTCTCCCCTTTCTTTTCAATGTTTCCCTTTACAGGGCGATCTCAGCCTGGAAAGTTTTGGGTTCGAACCCCACTTGTTTCTGCTGCTGCGGCTGCGGCTGCGGCTGCTCAATTTCCCATCTCGCCTTGCTCATCACTTCGTCGCGTATGGGCACGTACTCCTGAAACAAAACCAACTACAGTCTCAGGTCGACGAAATGCAGTCTATTCTCTGCTTCCGATTCTTAATCGGATGGTTTTGAAACACACCCACTAACTGTTCGACGAAATGTCTGAATGAATGAATGACTGACCTCTAGTTTCTGAACCAGGTCCTTGGCGTTGGGTGCGGACACTATGATGTTGCGTTGTGATGGTTTTATGAACCCATCGTCCACTGCTTGGTCGATGAAAGTGAGGAGATAGTTGTAGTAGCCGTCCACGTTCAGCAAGCCAACCTGAGATAGAGGAACATTAAAGGTGGGGTCAAAAAAGAAGGTAAAAACTCCATGAGTCATTAAATAATGAGGTGATTTTTTGCTTGACTTTACTGGTTTGTCGTGGATGCCCAGTTGAGCCCAAGTGATGACTTCTAACAGTTCTTCCATAGTTCCATACCCACCTGAAAATCAGTGCAGTGAGAGGAAAATGAAACCCACTATGATGGGTTTTTACAAGGGGGAACAAAAGGAAAAGTGAAAAAGTGTGTGGGGATTGTGTTTCTGAATGGGAAAGGTTAAAGGGATGGATGGGACCTGGTAGGGCTATAAAGCAATCTGAATGGCGGGCCATTTCTGCCTTCCTTTGGTGCATGTTATCTACTGATCTTACCTCCCCAACTGTTTCACCAGTTATCTGTAATTTCTCCTCCCCCCGCAAAAATGATCATTTGATCATTTTTTAGAGCGATAAAGAAGAAGAATCAAGTTAAGCTCTAGCTACAACTTTGAATCAGCCGAAGGAAAATTCAACAACAAATTACAGTATTGACATATGTTTCTTTCTGACCTCTTTGTTCATTAATGTCCTGGGAATGATCCTGCAAACCAGACCAAAAACAAAAAATATGACCATTGTAAAATTAAACTTTGAAACCTCTAAAATGTTCAGAATAGAAGTCAAGTTCTTTCGATAATCACCCAATAACTCTGCCTCCACCACGATGAACAGCTTGTGAAACTAGACCCATTAGCCCAATGCTCCCACCACCATAAACAAGCCCCAACCTTCGTGAAACCTTCACAGAGAAGAGATATATACATATAGAGAGATGAAGAGAGAGTGGAGGAAGAGAAATATACCAAGAGGCTTTTGAAAAGGAATAATATTAAAAAGGAGAGAGAGATTTTCAAAGCAATACCAGCTCCTGCGCTAAATCAATGGCTGCATCTCTATAGCAGTCTCTCTTTCCTGTGCTGCTCCCACAAAACACACAAACCCTTTTGAACCTGGACTTAACTATCTTCCCTTCCATTTCACTGCTCTGGTTTCTGCCAAGAGGAGCTACATGATCAGTTATATACATGTGGATATATCAAAACATGTACACATACAAGGGAGGGCTTCTTATTCACTCTGATATAGGGCACTCGTATGATAGGGAACAGCCGCTTTATATTAACGCCACATTATGTACAAAAAGTCAGTAAAGTCTCTGAAAAAGAGTTAAAAGAGTTAAAGGAGATAAAGAGAAGAAAGCAAAGAAAAAAGTCTTACCATTTTTTGAAATGCAGGTTTTTGATCTAAACACATGCTGTAACAATTGTCCTTCACTGTTACCTTTTTCAATTACATTATACGTAAAAAAGTAGAAAAACAAAGGATAAGAGCAAAAGAAAGGGCAAAAACATGCTACCAAGAAACCAAGAAGAAACCCGGTAAACTTAACAAAGAGACAAGAATCTTACCTTACTTGTTTGTAGCCTTTCCACTTATACTCCTCATCAACTACTCGCCAGACGCGCCATAGATTAACTCAAAGTTTTTTGACCTATTAGTTTACCATATTTGAATCAGTGGAGAATTTATTTGTCTCTTATAATTCAATTTCTTGACATGTCAAGGAGGCATAAAACTCCTCATGGGTTGAGACCCGCCCACGTGAAAAAACAACAATAAATGTATAGGGAGAAGCTTTAGTCAAATAAATCCTGAATGGGGGAATAAGTAGATGAGGTGAATTTTCCATTCTTTGCCTAATTCACATTATCCTATTGATTAGTGAACTTTTGCTGGAATAAAGTTGGTGGTCTGAATATGTCCAGTACGTGTCAAAATAAAATAGAGGGTGAGGATGGTTTCGTATCCAGGAGGGTCACATGAGCAAATCCATCCAATAGGGAAAACTCTGGCCACAGAAAAAACAACCCGCCCCCCACTCTTTTCTGTTTTCCTCTTTTTTTTTTTTTGGGTGTCAATTTCTCTTTCTCCAAAAGTCTAAAGGGACTCTCAAGTCTATTATCCCTATAGAGTCTGAAAAACATCAGTACTCTGTCTTAGACTCTTTCTGTCTGTCTTGTTTCTGGTGCAAAGCAATCATAACTTGGTGGCTAAAATGCTCAAACACGTGCAGACCCCATCTCTATCCTCCAACCTCCCCAATCACTAATACTTCATTTAGCTTTCATTTTCCTTTAACAGATGTAGATTCTTTTTGAGCAATAGGGCCATTGCTTCCAAGATTGATTACGGTGAGAGTTAAAACTTCTGACCTTTCACATTTTCATTTCTAGATCCCAATGATTATATATCTATACCACTGTTTCAAAGTTAACTTTTTCATGGTTGAATAGCATAGCTTTTTTTTTTTGGTAGATAAACACGCCTCTACATTTCTGGTTCTGGTCTGCAAAATATCATATATTAAAGATTTAACTTTAGAAATTCTAATTTGTGTAATCTAGGAGGTCTATATTTCTCATTTATTAGGAGACATTCTATTTTGAACTTTGGAAGTTTAAATTTGTGTAGCCTAAAACTAAGGAACTTGAGTTTGTGTAGTTTATATTTGAATAGTGCATATAAATGAGTTTTAAAAGCTTAAAGTTAGGTTTATGAATATGTGATTTGTTAAAATTAATGTGTAGTCTGAGACGTGAGTATATACAGTCCATAGATTATCAAATTTGTAGTCCAGAATAAACGAATTTGTATATCAAACAGTTGCTTACAAGGATTAGAATCATTCAGATTAATTTTTCTTCAACACTCATATATATGTTTGTATTTGAGTTATTCAAATCTGAAGTCATATCTCATCAGAAAATTTTTGTGTTTTTCTTTTTGTCAACGAATTACAGCTACTCTTGTTATTTTTTGATAGACTCCTACTCTTATTATTTTGATTCATTTCTTCATACTTTGTCATTTTTCTTTTAAGTACCTATTTACTTTTAACGTCACAATTCTTTCCTTAAAAATATAATTAGAAAACAGGAACCCAATTTGACCTTATTGTTTAAGGTGCCGTCGTATACAAGGCTTTATTCAAACCAATCATTTCATTAAGAAAAATTGAAGCCTACTATTGATGAACTAAAAACCTTGCCAACTTTTAATGTAAACTAGGAAAAGCCCATATAACTTTGTGAGAAAGTTGAATCATAATTACAATCTGTACAACTTATACTAAAGTTTCATAAATAATTAAATATTAGTGCATGTTTAGGCGAGCTAATTAGTATATAATGATAATTTTGTTCCGATAGTTATTAGTTGACTAATCAAGTATTTAAGTGAGGTTTAGGTTAATAAAAACTTCACTTTCTAGTTCAATGGTACAGAAGTAGGAAGGAGTTCAAAACTCGCCCGCTTCATTTTATATAATAATGCATGTGTTGACGATAACTTTACCTCAACCTATCCAGTATCCACTTCATTTTTCTTTCTTCTTTTCCTTTTTTTTTTTGATAATATTGAACTTCACCCTCTAAATTACTAGTTTTAGCATTTCTGAGTCTCTCAAGGAATAGCCACTAATACATTATCTTTGTACTAATCCTTTTGAATCTCTGCCAAGATTGCAGATCAGAAGAGGGAGAGGTTCAGAAGAAAAAAGATATCCCCACATGGCTGAATAGGAGGAGGGCACATTGAAGTGGCAGTCTTGAGAAATCACACAAACTTTTTGTGTTGTATCCTCTTGCATTTGTAGTTTTATCCCTACACAGAATTCCAACCCTCAGAAGAAACTTTTTGTGCCATATTCTCTTGCATTAAAGCCTCCTTCACTTCCCCCACAGTATTTGTATACATTTTCAAACCATATAGGACATATTACTATGATTCTATCTAAAAATAAGTCGGGTTAAATCCCAGGTTAGTCCTAAAACTTTTAAAGCTTGTCTAATAGGTCTAACTTTTAACGTTGTGTCTGATATATTTTTTAATTTTCAAAGACCTAGTTACTACACATTTTTTAAAGTTTAAGAATCTATTAGACGTAACGTTGAAACTTATTAGTTGATTTTTAAAGTTACGAACTTATTAAACACATCTCTAAAAGTTTTAGGACTAAACTTATAATTTAAGTAAATAAATTTTGAATCAACTTTATTACACTCTACTTTAAAGGAATTCATGTGGAGGAGGTTCTTGTTCCCTCATTTTCAAGATAAAAGATAATTTTTGTGGTAAGCTTGTTTCTTTGTTAGCTTATTATGACTTTGAATTTGAGGGAAATAATAGAATCTTTAAAGGTGGAGAGATCTAATGAATACGATTGGGAGATTATTAGATTTAATGCTTTCAATCGATTTCCAAGATGTCGTTGTTCTTGTTTTTCAACCAATTTTGATTTTAATTTAAATATCGATTAACTCGCGATGAAGATTGATGTTTTAATATATTAGTGACATTATAAAGACTAAAGGTCTTATCATTATCAATCTGAGTATAATTCAACAGTAATTGACACCTATAAGGTAAGAGATTAAAACTTCTATACTCCAATTTACTTCTATACTCCAATTTGTTGAACTAAAAAAAGGATTTGAACGTTACGGAGATAATAACAATCATTTTTAAGAGAAAATGAAATGAATTAATGTCAAATATCAAGCAAAAAGAGAGAGTCACAGATGGAGAGACGTGTGGAGAAGGGAATCTAAGTAAGGTTAAAAAGATTAGTGTACCTAATTTTGGCTTTTAGGCACTAATTGTTTGATTCTAAAATTTCTTCAACTGTTATTCCTTCTTTTTGAAATGACACTTTCTATATTTTTTTAATTTAAAAGGAAAAAAAAAGAATTGAAGATATCATCTGAAACAATACCAACCCCTCAACAATTGAATCAATGCTTTGAGCACAAACCCCAAAAAGAAAAATGCCAATAATAAAAGTTGAATTGGGACTTCTAGGTAGGAACAGTGAAATTCTCTTTTGCTGTTTTCTGTTTATCAAAAACAAAAAAAAAAAGTTTTTGACAACTAATTTGTTTGGTTTTTAAATTTGACCTAGATTTTGAAAATGTTTATAAAAACTATATAATTCACAAAAGTTTTTTAATAAATTCACAAAAGTTTTTTAATACTAATTCTGAGCTCAATTTTTAAAGAATTGAAAATAAAAAATGAAATTGTTATCCAATAGCACAAATAATTAGTCTGGTTTGTTCCATTTATAATTTAGATTTTCTTTTTAGCATGGTTAAAATTTTCTCTATTTCATTCTTCTTCTTCTTTCTTTCTTTCTTTCTTTCTTTCTTTCTTTTTTTGAACATCTTATTTTAATACTTGTTACATAGAAATTTATTTTAAAAATTATTGTTAATTTTTCATAAAGTATTTAATTAAAAGGTTGATATCATATATCTTTTATACAACCTTATGACTTATGAGTACATATCTATGTACATAGGCTTGCTTCTTTCAAAAACTGTTTCATCTTTTCCATACTTTCTTTTTCTTTTTCCAAATACGTATAAGAGCTTTCATTCAAAGAAGCAATAATTTTTTTGTAATATGGAGCAGCGAGAAACTCTTGAAGAGCCCAATCATCCATTACACTTTACATGCTTTCTTCTTTCAAAGATACTGTACCAGTTTTGGAGGCTCCTGCTGTGTAAAACTGCTGCCTTCTCCCAAAGACATACTCAAGGATACAAGTTTTCAGTCCCCGTGCAGGTTAGCGATCCAGAGGAGTTCTAGCTTGCCTTCTCCGATAGAATTTGGACGAGTTCTGATCGCGCGTTTTCGAGTGCATTCGACAAGTTCTCAGGTTTTCTTCCTCCTGCCTGAGCAAAATTAGGCCTGCCACCCCCTCCCCCACCACACAACTTAGCTATAGGTCCTATGAACTTCCCTGCTTGTACTCCCAGATCGACCACGGTTGGAGTAAATGCTGCAACTAAACTCACTTTTCCTTCGCCCGGACATGAGCCTAGTACGATAGCTGCTGGATCTTGCAGACTGTCAATCAGGAACTCGGCCGCACCTTTCAGTGAATCGGCATCGGTATCATCCATGCATTCAACTAGTACCCTGTGAAAGAGATTGTTCTCTGTTAAGTTCAGATCATTTTTCAATAAAAGAGCATAATGTGATTAAAAATGGATGCACATAGCATGAATAATAAGAGAGAATGGATACATGATGAGGTTTATAACTATTCACCTGATCTCTTTTGAAGTCCCAACCAGAAATGCCTTATTAGCAACGCTTGACGCTTTAAAAACTGCAGTTTTTTCACGCAAATTAGAAATTTCGTTTCTCGCCAACCGCAATTCCTCGAGAAGATTTTCTACCCGGGGTGTAACATCCTCAGCTTTAACCTGCAAACAGAAAAAATTTTAAAGTTCTAATATAATTTCCAATCAAGTGGGATCACAGAAAAGGCTGCCATAGAAGATCAACCAAGTTATGCAACTGTAATAGGTAATGACATTTATAATACAAGAAAATATTCCAGTGACATGACTTGAAGCGTGTAATCGAGAGCATACTTTGAGCATGGTGCACAGACGCTTCATATGGTAATCTCTGGCATTAACATACTCAATGAAAGCATCACCAGCCACGGCCTCTATTCGCCTGACACCAGATGCAATGCCCTGCTCTGAGATTATTTTGAAGCCTCGTATTTCTGAAGTGTTGAAGACATGAGTCCCACCACAGAGTTCCATTGATACACCAGGAACCTCGACAACTCGTACCTGGAAGGCTAATAGATATCAGTATGAGGGATAAGAACATCCTTCACAATGAATGTACAATTGAAACTCTATAAATGAAGTGTCCCTATACCCAAATCTAAATATTTCTTAGCAGATAATTGAGATCCATGTTAAGAAACACATTACGTCTGGTTCACCATGATAAACGTATTTATATCAAACTCAGAAGAGGTTGCTGGTTTATAGATAACAACCATAAGATTCTCTGGTGCAATTTGAGAAGAGAAAAATAAATCCTTCTGTTACCCAAAAAGTAATAATTTCGATGTAAAACTAAAAATACATTACAGAAACTGTGTGAAGTTCAGACCTCTTCTCCATATTTCTCTCCAAACATAGCAATAGCCCCAGCTCTTTTGGCATCAGCAAGAGGCATAACTTTAGTTTGAAGAAGCACTGCATCTCCAATCCAACCATTGATCAGCTCTTCAATTTGCAAGATCTCATTGTCAACAAGAGGTCGGTGGTAGTTGAAATCAAATCTGAGGCGGTCAAAGGCAACCAAGGAACCAGCTTGTGATGTTTCTTGGCCTATAATCCTCTTAAGTGCAGATTGTAGCAAATGTGTAGCAGTATGATGAACCTAGAAAAAATATAAAGAAAGTCAGAGGGGTTTCTCATAAAAGCTGTTCCAAAAGATTAACGCACAAGATTTCTTAGTGATAACACATTGACCTGAAGTACTCTCTTTAAAGGCAAGCACGTGAATTATGTGATTTTAGATGTAGCTAAATAGTGCAAACAATTTGTCTGCAAACTTCTTAGAATGCTACCTTGGCTCCCTGCCTCAGCTCTGCATCTACTGCTGCTTCCACTTCTCTTCCAACCTCTAGAACTCCCTGTTTGATGGTACCCTTGTGAACAAATATGCTGCCTGCAGACTTTTGTACATCTTTTATCTCCACTACTACGTTCGGTCTGTTTTCACCTTCAGGAATATAAATGAGACCGTGGTCTCCAATTTGGCCCCCAGATTCCGCATAGAAAGGTGTCCTATTCAACAAAACTTCTACATCACTTCCTTCTGACACCTGTGACACAGGATTACCATTCACAATAAGACTCTCAACAATGGCATTGGCAGAGAGCATATCATATCCAAGGAACTCTGTGTCAGAGATATTTTCCATGATATCTGCATCTTCTCCAACTTCAAGTTTGACTGCATTATGTGCAGCCTGAGATTGTCGCCTCTGATTATCCATTTCAATATCAAAACCTTTCATATCAACTACTACACCACGCTCTTGAGCAACTTCTGTAGTAATCTCCACTGGGAACCCGTATGTATCATACAACAAAAATGCATCTTTACCAGCCAAACAAGGAACCCTTCCATCTTCTTTAGCACTCGCTAAGGCATCAGCTAGCATTTGTTCAAGCAGCTTCTCCCCTCGCTCTAGTGTCTGTACAAACCTAAGTTCTTCCCTTTTCAGCTCCTCAATAATGCGGCCTGCTCTACCCTTTACATCCTCATCAATGTGGGTGCTTAATGCAATGACCTTTTCTGCAATAAGTGGTGTAAACGCCCCATCAATGTTCCCTCTTCCATCCCCCTTTATTCCAAGCAGCCTACCAGTACGAACAACTCTTCGGATAAGCCTGCGAACAACATATCCTCTCCCTATATTGGATGGGGCGACTCCATCTGATATCAGGTATACAACTGCACGCATATGGTCTCCAATGATCTAGAAGCGTAAGAAGCAGTGAAGTAATTACATAATTTTAGAATGGAGAAGAAACTAAGTGGGAACTGGGAAGAAAGCCTAAATGTTAGTTTCTACTATAGTACATACTTTAAGGTTTGTTTTTGATTGATTATCAGCAGTGTCATACGTCACATTTGCTAATTCTGAGGCTTTCTGTATAATGGGATAGATCAAGTCAGTCTCGTAATTGTTCGGAACCTGCAAGAAATGGGAAGAAGAAGAAGTTGACAGACATGAGTAGCAAATTATTGTAACAACTAGCATAAAATAATATGGAGTTACTTGCAATAAAAGATCTTCTAGTACTAACTTTTCCTATAATAAAAAGTGGGGAAAAAGATAGAAACTTCACGTTAAACATTATAAGTTACTTCATGAGGAGTAGCTATAATACTTTTTGAAGAATGCAAGCCATGCGCTCTAAACCAAGCCCTGTATCTATATTCTTCTGTTTTAAAGGTTCAAGGGAACCATCATCCTTTTTGTTGTATTGCATGAAAACTAAGTTGTAAAACTCCATAAACCTTGCACCATCTCCCAAATCCTGCAAATAATCAACTCTTCAAAAATTTATGGAAGAATGAAGTGCTAGTTTTGAACTAGACCACTAGTTCAACGCCCTTCCATATAATCAACAAAGGGAAAGCAAAAACTACGTACAACATCAGAATACCCCTTTTCAGGTTGGAAATCATAATAAATCTCAGAGCATGGGCCACATGGACCTGTGATGCCACTAGTCCAAAAGTTGTCGTCCTCACCCATCCTCTTTATGCGATCAACAGGAACACCTACCTGGAAGAAAATTAGTCACACACTAAGTATATTAAAGGTTCCCTAGATTTCTAAAATCATTTTCTTGTCTCCATTCATATCTAAGTAATTGAAATAAAATAGTCAGACAATATAATGGGGAGATTTTGAATATACTAATACAATAATATTGTGCCATCAGGGAACTTCTAATGATAAGAAAATGTGGCAAGCACACAATGGCCTACATGGAGAGATGTTAAGTAGGTAACGTATATTTTTTATATCACAAGATGTCATAGGCTCGACCACAAGATAAAGAAATAATCACCATCGTCTCAGACTACACATCTCTTTTATCTAATTGGAGATCCGTTACGTAACTCCTTTGGATTTGGGTTTTCCCCTTCTTTTGTAATTTCATTTTAATCAATGGAATTGTTTTTTATAATTATAAAAATCAAAAATTAAAAATAAAAAAGAGGCAAAGAAAAAGTTTATGTTGCAGCAACAGGTAAGTAAAAAAATTATATTAAAGAACAGAAACATACAATGAAAGAGAAAAGCTACAAGAAAGAGGATAAAATACACTATGCATAACAAGTTGAAAGATTTCGATTTTGCCACCTCGTCATGCCATATTGCAAAAGCTTCATCATCTTCTTCATATATACTAATCCATAGTCTGTCAGCTGGCAAACCAAATCTGAAGGGGCAAAAAGAAACCAAGAGTAAGTTTCTCTCTTACTGAAAGGAAGGTATAGGAACTCAATTTAATTTATTCAATGCTCAACTCCAACCATAATTCAGCATTCATTATATGAAATGTTCTCCATCATCCAATGGCATCAAAAGCACTAAACTTAATGACATGTTTATTGATCATATCACTTATTATCACTATATTTAACCACCTTACTAAGAAGTGTTGGTAGATAAAAGGAGAATGTTTGAGGGGATACAGAACAATAATAAAAGAATGATAATGCACATCCAACTTTCAGGACAAAGTTGCTAATATTCTTGTGAAAGAAATACTAGAATTTTATGCTCAAGAAACTTTGAGCTTGTATGTACTCAACAGAATTATTGTTATCTATTTGATGAGAAATCTGGTCATGCTTCAATTCCAAATGTGTTTAATCCCCAAATATTGTGATATTTCACTCATACTCGATGGTTGTCAGCTCCCATGCCCACTTAATTGCTTCTTTCTTGAAGTAATCACCAAAACTGAAGTTTCCAAGCATCTCGAAGAACGTTTGATGTCTAGCTGTTCGACCTACATTCTCCACATCATTTGTACGTATGCACCTTTGTGCAGTTGTAGCGCAAGGCACCAATCTAGGAACCTGAAAGATAGTTAAAATAAATGGGAGGCTCAATATATATGACAAACAATTATATTTTCAGAAGAAAAACAACAGACTAAAGCATATGTGATAAGCCAACAAAAGAAAGGAAGTTGAGAAAGAAAGAAACAAAAGAATAGCTTCAGAAAAGCTCAAAAGAGAAAATGAAGGAAAATATTTCCAGGAAGTAATCAAAGTTATTCCCTTTTACCCCAAGCCGAATACTGTTTAAACCTTAGTGCCTTATTAGTATCTTTGCTCCTTCAAGTTCCCCTTATTAAACGTCCAGATATAGGAGTCAATACAAGGAGAACATGACACCATTTTCCAGAAGATTTGTGACACAGTGTGAATAATTTTATTAAAATATATATATTCTTTAAACAGGAGTATACTTTACATTTTCACTGTTAATACTTGAGCGTCACTTTTAAGCGATGATATGTTCATTTTAGATTAAAAAAAAATGAAAGAGAATAAAATGTACAATATCTATGAGATGTCAAAGTAATCAAATGTAAGAAAAATAAATAATGCAATATCTTGTAACCAAGGTTTATAAAGGAACTCTAAAATTAAAATAAACATATTTATAATTAAATCAATATCTTATTTTATAACCAAAAAGTGTTGGAGTGTTGAGGTGGCTATAGATATATTCTAGTATAAGCATTTTGCTAGGTTCTCGATCGACAGAGTCCAGGTTTAATACTCCTCTTGTTCTCACTTTTCCATAACATAGGAAATTGGATGTTCTATGTGAGCACTCAGCCAGTCATAAGAAATGGTAACACCACAGACGTCTGATAAACTAATTCCAATTCAAGAACTGTGAGATTGACCATTTTATACTTGATTGTCAGATTTTAGATCAGTATCTGTTGATCGGCAGCATGCCTCTTAACACATCTTTTTCCCAGATTGTTTAATCTAGCAGCTGAGTATAAAATTTTAATAATGAGGTGTAAAACAAAGAAACTCCAGCTGGATCTTGATTTAGGAGACCTTCAAATGATAGAGAAGTGGAAGAAAATTTTAAGAAATTGTGACAATTGACAACAAGAGAGAATATTGTGGTTAATTAGCTATAGAACTCGTTTGTGTGGATAAAAAATTATTTCAAATTGAAAAATGAAATATACAAAAGGAGGGAGGAAAGGCTCGCCCGGGCTAAGGTAGTTATAGGAAAGCCTTCCAATTAGCGCTAAGAAGTAAACCCATATCTACAAAAAAGGTTGGACGAACTGGCCATAAAAATCCTAGCAAGTCCACAATTATCATGACATTGAAAGTTACTATGGCTTTAATGGGTGTAAAACAAGCTTTCATTAATACTAAGTAAGAAAACCAGTCCAGGGAGATTACAGAAAGCTCTCTTGTTGGTGTTGATCATAGGAGGAATTACGAAAATTTATATATGTAAGGTATTTCAAGAGGAGAAAATTATGTTTTATTCTTGACCGCACATCGTTTTGTTAAGATTTTAGATGTTTTGTTCATCAATGTTTTATTCTCTTGTTTCATTTGGATTTTTGTTCTTCATTGTGCTGTCTTTTCCTTTCTTTTTTCACTCTCTTTGGGAGATTGTATCTTTGAAATTTTCTTCCTTTTCATATATCAATGAAAATTTTGTTTCTTGTTAAAAAAAAAAAAGCAAAAACATATCTCCCAGAAATAACAAAAATCTCTACCAGCCCACTTAATATTCTTTTATTCCTCCCTAGACATATCCCCCAAAGAGTGACCTTAACCACATTACACCGAAGAGTCTTTGTTCCATATTTCAAGGGATGGCCAATTAGAAACTGAATATTGCAGTTTTTATCACTATAAGAGAACACCATACGTACACCAAAATAATTCAAAAGTGTCATCCAGCGCCTCCAACCAAAGGATAGAGAAAGAAAGATAATCACAGTGAATTTTAACATTATAGAATCTAATATTAACTTTACTTCATTTGCGCGGCATACCTTTCCAAGGAAGATAGGCTTGAATTGAAGCATTCCTGCAATTGTCAATAATACCGTGGGATCTTCTGGTACCAAAGAAGCACTGGGAAGAACTTTGTGTCCACGGGAAGCATAGAATTGAAGAAACCGACGACGAATAGAATCGCCTGTCACTAGGAGATCCTTGGACTTGTCCTCTACTAATTCCTCATTCACAGGTTTCACAGATGCTGAAACAGTGAAAAGCCAAAAGTTAAGAATCCTACCGACAGTTGATAAATTTGCAATTCCAGTTCATAAATTTTAATCAAACTGACTGATATACTTCTTGTTTTGAGTTGTGTGCCCCGAGCTTCTTTTGGAAGGAAATGTCTGCGGGACTGCATGGTGGAAGGAAATGGGGCCGGATTTCTTGTAATATAGCCTGTAATACCCCGAAAGCTGATATTCAGAACATAATAGGTCAGCTGGAAGAACACAAAAAAAAATTAAGGATCCTAACATAAGTATCATATTCTATTGGGGCATCTATATTTCTTCGTGGAAATACAAATGTGATGGTGATTGAATTTTGGAATCAGAAAATCTCAACGTCAAGAAAGGGGTAACAGGCTAGTACCAAATGAACGTAACCAAGAACACTACTGTAGAGTATGCTGCGTTATTTCTAGGTGAATTATTTAAATTACAGGCGCAAGAGCTCATTTGAAGCAGGTGTATCAATTATCAGGTAGTTAAAGCAAATAGCATGAGGAGGTCAAGACAATCAGAATCAATTGTCATAAGAAACCAAATTAGACGTAGATATCAACAACAAAGAACAGCAGAGAAGTAAAAAGATTCAAAACAGTCAATTGATTTTTCAGCACAAGAATCCAACAACTCAACCATTGTTTGGTGGGTACTCTATGAAACTCGAGTTCCAATCACACAAAATTCCGGCCTCGAAAAGTAAACACGCTACACTGCATTTCACGGATTTCCACTAAGCTCTAAGTTAGAACAGAAATAGAGAAGTACCGGAAGAAGACATAACTTTCCGCCTGGGTGGAGCAGAGGAGGCAGGATTTTTGCGGTATAAGCTTGCACGTGAAAGGGAAGTAAGAGATTTGTCGCCATAACTACAAGGGAGATGATTTGGGAGCTTCAGGCTGAATTCCATTCCGTTTGCTGCAACTTTATCCTGTGAATGTGAATTTTGAAGTGAGGTTTTATTATATATGTTGACACTGAGAGTGCAGAGGGGAAAAGATAAGTTTCATTGAGAGGACCAAACATTTTGGAGCCAACTGAAGAACAGATAAAACAATAATTTTGTTTAGGTTAGAAAAAATTGGAAACGAAAACATAAACAAGAAATTTGGTTTATCACTTTTATACCATTTCGATAATGTTTCTAAAATATGATAAATAATATACATAAATAGTTACATTTTTTAATAAAATTTGAGATAAGAGACGTTACCAAAACAAGTCCGAGCAAACCATCAAATAAAAACAATGACCGGTTAGGAAAAAAAATCAATATATAATTATATTAAAATAAACTAAGTATTTTTAAATATAGCATAAAGTTTTAAACTTTCCAGAATAGCATAATTTAACCAAAATCTCAGTAAAATATACTTTAAAAAATGGTCAAATTTTTCAATAAAAAAAATGGTAAAAAGTATCAACATGAGCTTTACTTATATTTTAAAATCAAAACTAACTGAATTTCAATCCTCCATCTTATATTTGTTGTATTTAGAAAAAAAAAAGTCAAAATTATGTTATATATAAAAAAAGTGTAAAGTAGCCATATTTTTTAAAATACAATATGTTGTTAAAAGTAAATTTTCTAAAGAATAATTAAATATATAGATCAAACATATATAAGTTTCGAAATCTTAATTTATCGTTGAATATATATGTTGATTCGTATTTGAACTGGCATAGAGTTAAGTAGATATAACTCTAAGAATCAAGAGACTAACTTATAATTTGTCTTGATCTATTTTTAGTATATCTGACAATTGTAACCTACGAAGTTCTAGTCATTTCGACTATCTTCTTTTAATAAAATTTAGATGTATAATCTTTTAAAAATACTTATTTTGATAGGGATGGTAAAAGTTTCACTTTTTTTTTAACCAAGTTGGTGAATAATGAATTTCAACCTTCAACTTAAATAAATAGTGAAAATAATATTTTTAATTAGTTAATAATTTTTTAAGAGGTTTAGTTATATATATATATATATATATATTTTAACTATGTTTAGCTTGATATTATTGCTTGACATTATGTAATCAATCATATTATTATATGTTTTATAGGTTTTTTTTTCCTTAATGACTGGAAGATCACACGCACAAATTAGGTAAGTCCAAACCTAGCAGCCCAAGTCGACCATGTGCTCGTGGTGGTCGAGAACCCTATGGTTCTCTCTCGGTCCCTGTACCGCCCGATCCGAACCTACTTTGTCTCGACTCTCGATTCGACATTAGGCCTACGACGAAACGCATAGACTCGTGAGTCCAGATCTCTTGAGCACACTAAGATTAAATCCTAAAAGGATTGACTTCTATAATTCCTAAAGATTAGGATTGACTTCTATAAATAAAATGGTGAATCAAACCCTAAAGGTACGCTACAAATTTATACTATCTGCTAAGTTGAATTGAACTACCCTACTCTTCATATTCCACTACTCCGATTCTGATTTAAGCATCGGAACCTCCTCTGTTTTGCAGATCTCGTCGATCCCTTTTATTCTAAAAGATTGGTATGAATTTGATGGAATCTCAAGAGGTCAAATTTATGCTTCTAAAACACTTTAAAAGGAAATAACTCATAACTATACATTTTGATATGCTTCTACAGTATCTTAAAAAGAAGCTTTTATTATACGCCACCAAGAAAAAAATTGTGTTCCATAAAAGAGATGGGAAGAAATGATTTCTTAAGTCAAATCTGTCAATCTGGTTATACTCACTCTTCATGTGCACAAAGCTTGAAAGTCTCTTTCAAGTACAAAATGTATGTGATCCAATTTGTAGATTAACACGAGGTTTTCCCGATTTGAATCGCTTCAATGCAATCGGATTCCATATATCGGTTTGAAGATGTTTACCTTTTGTACAAGACGAAAAATCTCCGTAAAAAACTCASCGTGTAAGTGTTCATTCCAACCTCAATTATCATGGGTTCATTAGTTTAAAGGCACTAGGGTAAAATCGAAAGAGAATGAGTTGAAATCTCATGATGCCACCTATCTTAAGAATTAATTCAATCTGTGAGATTAATCAAGTTACGCGAACATAAATTGACTTAAACACTCACGAACAATAGAAAGAAAGTATAATTTATTATTAACTATAAAATAATAATAAAATAAAATTATATTAATTTACTATAATAAACGGTAATACGATACAAAATAGGAGCCCACGGCATGAACAAAGTTCAACGGTAAGTGATCGGAGGCTTATTAAAAAAATACAAAGTAGAAGATAAATCGAAAGGAAAGAGAGAATGCTTCAGTACTTCCACCATTAAAGAGCTTCCGTTAGAGTGCTTTCTTCACCGTCTGGTTCATCATATCTCCATAAATATGTCTCTTCTTCGGTACTTCCGCCATTAAAGAGCTCATCTCTTGCCTCTTGCATCTTAAACAGGTACTCCGGTTCTTCCAACAGCTTCAGTATCTGTCGAACAGACGAGCAGTAAATATTGTCAATTTGATCAATTGCCCATTAATGAGACACTGATTAAAATTTCTGTTTGCTTGAATATATATTCTGGTGGTTGAAGATATTTATATCGTTTTCATAAATGAAGATAGATATTCAGTGAAAGATTCCGGCAAAAAGTCACTGCGAGAAGGTTTTACAGTTTCCATTATTGGGCGCCTGGAAGATGAATACAGCAGGCAGAGGCGTGCGGCCATCATCATTGCTCGCATTTCTACCTTGTTGTAGTTGCCCTTCAGATTGGGATCGATTAGGCGATCTCCTAGGCCGAAGCCGAGTAGGGACCTTGCCTGTGAGTCAAAATTATGAACATGAATCTGATTGAGCTTTTTCTCCTCATGGTAATGAGTAATTTGCAATAGAAGTAGTTGTTGCTTTTAGGTTTAAATCGGATTTTGGTTAGAAACTTTCTATTTTGGTGTTTAAATTTTCCAAAATATCTATTTTGGTCATGAATTATGTTGACTCCTGAACTTTCAAAATATCTATTTTAGTTTTTAAGCGCTCAACAGTAATGTAGTCATTGTTAGTACTCACCTTAACATGTGTACATGCTTCAAGTTATATTGTCCATTAGTTAAAAGCAAAATAAAATGAAGGACCATAATAGTTATTTCTTTTTAAAGTTCAGGAACTAAAATGAAACAAAGTTGAAAGATTAGAGACCAAAATAGAACAACCTAAAAGGAAATTTAAACATTTCTTTTATTACCCGAAGTACTAAGCTTCCATGACTGTTCTGATCTGTTTGAATTGCCTCCTTGCCTGTGATGAGTTCTAGAAGTACAACCCCATAGGAGTAGACATCTATCTTCTCATCAACTTTTCCATACATGATGTATTCTGGGGCCAAGTATCCAAATGTCCCAACAACGTTATATGGATTTATGTTGGATTCTGCGTTTTGAGACTGTCTGAGCACTGTTGCCTCTCCAAAATCTGCTAACTAGGAGTGGAAAACCAAATTTAAGTAGTGATTTAGAGAAGTGAAACTGTAAATGTATATTGTATGAGTGTTAACAGTTTGAGATTTGACTGAAACTCACTCACTTGTGGTTGGAAGTTGTCAAAGAGGAGGATGTTGGATGATTTTACATCTCTGTGTATGATTGGAGGGTTGCAAGAATGATGAAGGTAGGTTAGTGCTTTTGCTACCCCAATTGCAATCCCCACCCTCTCCCTCCACTTCCGTTTTCTTAAGTACTGCTTTAGGCTTCCTTTTAGAAGACTGTATACAATTGCCTTCATGTTTCTATCATTACAAAACCCAATAATCTGGACTATGTTCTCATGTTTTATTTCAGAAAAGATTTCGACTTCCTGGACAAGATCGTGCGATGAAGAATGTGAGCTCAGAACTTTCACTGCTGCTGCTTGCCCATCTTCAAGGTTGGCTCTATACACTTTGCTATGTCCACCTTCACCAATCACCATTACAGGATTGAAATTGTTAGTTGCACGGTTGAGCTGCTCCGATGTAAACTCCCTGCTGGTACCTCTTGAATCCTGCAGTGCTAATCTAGGAAACGGTTCACTGGATGCAAAGCCGGGAAATGGCCGTGCTTTCTTGTTGGCTAGGGAGATTTCTTGTTTTTCACTTGCTTGTCGTGATGATGAAGGTAAAGAAGAGGGTAGGGTCAAAGACTTCTGTAGGTGACAGGAATTAGCTTGTTGATAACCTGCAGCATACTTGGAAACTGAGGATTGAGAAGATTGTAAAAGCGCTTTTTCAGAACCTTGTTGAGAAGTTCCCTGCTTTTGAAGTAGAATTCTGCCTAGATTATCCATAACCATAAGAGTGCAAGTGGGGGGCAAGCCTTTCAGGCAGGAACTGAAAACCGAGTAATCAGGTCTGCAACAAATCGCCTTATCAGAAGAAACTAAGAGGAAGAAGGAGAGGGGGCGAGAGAGTTCATTTGTTTCATCCAATACCTTGAAAGGCTACATCCTAGTACCAAAATAGTAGCATAGTTCTCTCGTACTTGACGGGTTAAGTTCGAAATATAAGAATCGGCTTCAGATACCTTAACCTGTAGATCAACCTGGCAAAAACCAAGAGAGTAATCAGTTCAATCCCAATCTTATTTCTTGAGAAAGCCAACATACTAGCACCTGTAATTCAACTCTATTTGGATAATGGTGACAAAATACCTGCTTGGATTTGCAAATATCTTCATGGATGTGGAAACTATTTGGATTGAAACTATCATTTGGCTCCCGAACATGAACAGCCAGAACGTTATCTCCCGGATTGATGATGGTCGTAAGCAACCAAAGAAGAATATCTCTGCTTCCATTGTCAGATTTTAGGCCAAAGATAATTGTTCTCTTCTTCCGAGTCTTGGACCTGATGCGTGACAACATTTCTGGGGTAATGGAGAAGCCCTCTTCAGAAGCTAATGGAAAAAGTTCTTTCTGATTCTGTTTGAGCTACCATGTAAGTAGAATGAACAATAGACCTCATTAGATTTCTCTTCGTGTCGTGTCGATCAAATTGCAACTCTGGCGATTTTTGTTTGAACTTGTCCATACAATATTGAAAGATCTCAAATGAAAAAAGATAACTTGTGAAGTGATGAATTATTCCATCAGAGCTTGAAGAACACCTCTATTCTTCTACCTTATTCACATCACTTTTCTTCACCTCACAGCTTGCCTGTTTCCTTTTATGGTTATGGAATGATTAGACAATCATACACCTATTTGGAATCTCTTTGGCCAATCAAGTTGGACCTGTGGAGATAGTAATTGTCATTGATGTAAGTAGCTTGTGGCTTGATGGCATTGATCAAATAAAAACGGTACGCCCAGTTGCCCACCAGCTGTAGCGACACGTGGGAGTGCCAAAATGGACGTGAAAATGTAATAATTTAAATGCAAGAACGTTACCAAACAAATTCTGAGAAGCTTAGACTAATGAGTTATTATTTGGTGGGTGTTGGTTGAAGTTTGGGTGGTGGCACGATCAATGTCACGGCACGAATGAGAGAGAATAATATTTCTTAATTGATTAGCTGCCCATCATTTTTTGGCATGTATTTGAAAAGGTAAAAGAGTTTATTTTCTCTCTTTCTCGTTATTTTTCTCTTCTATCTATCAAAATTGGACGGTGGACAGCAGGAGACAAATATTTTTCGAGAAATTTCCACTACCCAAACTAGAGATGGTTTATGAAGAAAGAGCAAAAGAGCATATTGGCAGCTCCATCACTCTTTATGGCTCTTTAAAGTGTTCATAAGTGTTGTAACCCAACACAGGACAAGGAAATCCAGACAGTGCATCAATGGCAGTGGTAATTAAATCTCTATTCAATTAGCTATTATCATCATTGTCTCAGTTGGCCAATACCATTCCATTAAAATGGCTCCCCCAACAATTACTCTTTATTGATGGCACATTCATTTCCTCACTTGCCAAAAATGCGTTGCCAAATTTGGAGGCCTTCTATTTAATTCGTATGGTTTGATCAATTATATGGTCTCGAAAAAAAATTCGAGAGTTTTTTAAATTCTCGAATTTAAGAGCGTGTTTGGTATGCAAGATGGAAGGGGCTTAGAAAGTTGGGAAGAAGCTTGTATTTGACTTACTAAGAATTATGTTAAAACATTTTCCTTTTTGGAAAGTTGTTTTTTTAAGTAAACATTTGAAGACATGAATTTGAACTCGAGATAGATGTCTTAATCAGTTGAATTGTGCAAATTGGCTCACAAATTTGCCTTTGTAAGGTACTCGGAACAAAAGAACATAAATTGATTGGATAGAGAGTTATTATTGTCAAATAAATAAAAATAATAAAATAAGAAGTTATTATTATTTTTTTGAAATAGAAAAATATTTACTCTTTACTTTGTTTTCAACCAGAAATTTTCTCTAAAAGGTTGGTTTGGTTGGAGAAACTTGATTGGATAGAGGGGTTATTATTATTATTATTATTAAGATTAAGGAAATGTTTTACTGAAAATAGTAACAATTTTGAATCTCGGACCGGAACTTTCCGGGCTTTCAGTTGGGCCAAGCCCATTTATCAGTACAAATGGGCCCCAACGATAATGGTTTCGAATGAGCCCTAAAACAGTTGTGTATTTGAAAATGTTTTAGATTTTTTTTCTTTTTTATAAAAATGTAATTCGTAAAAAGAGGATTTAAACTCATAAATTAATTATATTTTAAACTAACTGAGTTTCATCAATTAAACTATTACCAACCGAGAACCTATTTTTAAGAAACACTTCATTATTAACCAACACTATTGATAAAATATTAATCAAATATTTTTTTCGTTAATACTTCAATATTTCTTACAACATTATGAGAAATAAAAACTTTATAACATTTTTTCTTAAAAAAAAAAAAACTCTGAATTTGAGTTAAATTGAATTGTATGTCCGATTTGAATTGAATTTTCAACAAAACTCATTAATATTGATAAAGAATATGAAGCAATTGGATGAGTTATTGGCGCATTTAGTATTTACAATAATGAGTGAAATTATAATGTGGGAAATCAAATAATATTGCATGGCTTATCGTGCTGTGCATGCTACAACAATATTTAATATTTATTATCTCCTGCATTAATATTAGCCCACATGACATAACCCATAATATGTATTATATTTCATCGTATTTCTCATCATTATTGGATTCAATAATTATGTTTTTATAGTCACAACGGCTAGGAAGTTTCAAGTGGTTATTGCCAATAAATTCATATATTTGCAGCCAAAGCAACTTTATGAGGGACTGATTTATCAATTGAAGTTGTTTTTTTATGTAAAAATTACGGGTATGTAAATAAATTGTACGATAACTTTAATTAAAAATTGTTATACATCACACGTCATATAGTTGTCATATATTTACTTAACATCGCTCATGATTTGAGGTATTGATGATCGTTAATTTGAATTATGACTTGGTAGATAAGACTCTTAACTATTATCATCATAAAAGTACTGATTTAATCCGTACCCTGCAAATTGTTGAACTCGATCAGGAGAGAGAGAAGAAAAGAAAGAAAGTACCATCCATTTACGTAGATCAAAATTTTGATTCCTCACCCAAGTAAATATAATAATACATTCTAAAAAAATATCAAACTTTTATATTGGAAAAACAAATTAGTTAATCCTTCAAAATTAAGAAAACATACGATCAAGCATGACGTTATTAGAAAAAAAATACTTGAAAATAAGGAGTTAATATATTCCTATTTATTCAAGACTAGTTATTCTTCACCAACATACTTTTTTTTAGTACAATAAAAATGCGAGGACGAATATTTTAACCTTCAATCTTTATACGAGATATTACTAATATCTTTTACGGCCGATTGAGCAATATTTACRTTGACACCTTAACTCACTTAATTGAAGCTTTTATATGAGAAACAATAAACTTGTGTTGTGTTTACGTTTAATATACCGTAGATCATTATCCTTGCATTCAATATTTTATTTTGTTATATAATTGTAACACTTGAATATTATTGTTTTATCATAGGGTAATATTTAAATATCTGATATCTCTTTTGTTTGGTTGGCAAATAATAATAGAGGGTAAATTATTTAGAGTCATATTCAAAGTGTTCCTTTTGCTCATTGACCATAACTAGTCCTTTAATGCATGTGATGCACGTGCTTTTCTTCTTCTACTTTTCTTTTTTATTATTTCATTAATTAAAAGTGTTATCCATTGTATTAAATATAACTTGGATATATTATTTTCATAAAAGTTTAGCCAATAAAAAAATATTGGAATTTTAAATACTAAAATAGAATAAAGGAATACGATTTGGACCATATATAATATCATTAATAATGGGTATTAACTATATTATTGTGCCATTGATATTAGTGAGTTTAGAATAATTTTTTGGATAAGTACTCGTCTAGAACACTTCTTTATAAGTAATTATAAGAGGAAAAAAAACTTTGATGAGTTCCAAAGCATTCATATAATTTTCTATATCACTTTTAATTAGGTAACTAAAAACTATGAAAATTTTGAAAAAAAAAATGTAATCAACAAAATCGCTTTTCATCCTTCAAAAAGTTATACCATACTTACTCCAAGTTGTACTTCTCTATAAGGCACGATTCATTATTAGACTAGAGAGTCGTTATAAAGTCGAGAATACTATTGTAGTTGTAAAGTCGAGAGGATTACAGTAGTTCGTTGAAGGTGTTTGATCGGAAGTAAGTCCCTAAAAGCTATTCTCAAGGAGGCAAATTGTGATTTTAGGGATTCACCATGAAGTCCTTTCATTACTAAGTTTAGTTAATGTGTGCTTTGTTTAATTTTATTAAAGAAAAAAAAAAGGAATTGAGAATTATAAAGATGATTTTTTTTTATGAAGTGTTTTTAGAACTCGATAAATAAATAATGAAGACGAGAATAACTTATCTAGTAAAAAGGTATTAGAAGGTGAGCAAATTAGCTTGAATTTGTAGGGCTTGCACGTCTACCATGTTACATCTAAACACCAAGCAAAAATATTTGTACTTAAAAATAACGTTTGTTATTATTGTTCAAGTAGCATGTGCATATTTTAATGTGGTGAAGTATGACGTAGCCTTCTTAAGTCTTGATTGTATTATTATGAATATTTTTTTTAAAAAGAAAACCATAGTATTATTAATTACGAGTGTGCTAAAGCAAGTATAGTTCAACGGTAATTGACACATATCTCCAATCATGAAGTTGTAAGTTCGAATCTCCACCCTCACATGTTGTACTAAAAAAATTATGAAAGTCAATTCAAAATTCTGCCCATAATAAAGAACAAATCATGTCTTAATGTCAATCTGAGCCAACTTAAAGCATTAAAAAAAATAATGTAAAAGTTTTGATTTTTAATTCAACTTAATCGAATATCTAACTATCGACTTTTTTGAGTACAAACAAATGGAAATAGGGAGATTCAAATTTATTATTTCTTGGTGAAAAAAATATTAATTACTACTCAGTTTAAATTCATGGTAGCCATCTTGGGGTTAAGTTTTAAAATAATGACATTTTAAAAAGAAATTACAAAAATAATGTTAATTTAAAAATAATAACTAAATAAATGTAAATTAAATAAATAAATACAAAAGTAACTTAAGTTTTTGAAACTATTGACAAAAATAGGTTAGGTCAAAGGAGAGGTCAAAACTCGCATACAATGAACGCTACTTCCGTGCAACGTGTATTGTCTATGTAGTGGGTGGGTTGTCGTTGACGTGGAAGTGGCGTACGATGGACGCGCCTTTCGATTGGAAGTCGCAGGCGATGTATGCGACTTCCTCTTATTGAAGTTGCATGCAACGCACGCGACTTCCACGTATTTTCCTTTTTTCTTTCCACTGAAGTCGCAGTCGTTGGCTACACGTGGAGCCACGTCAAACCTTCGGTGAAATCGCAGCTTAGGACCACGATTTCGTCCTAAATTGCAGTCGACGACCGCGATTTGGTGAAATTGCAGCCAACGGCTACGATTTACCTACCCTATTTTTGGAATTAGTTTTAATCTTAGCCTATCTTTCTCATGTGTATTTAAAAAGTAATTATTTAAAAAAAAAATCCGCCATCCTTGAGATAAATTATTACGAAAAAAAAAAGAAGAAGAAGAGGAGAGAGAGTAAATTAATTATTATTCAACAATTGGTAAAAAAGGGTGGGAGATACATGAGCAATGAATGAAGGGACCCACCACGTTGAGTTAGTCCTAGTTGATGTCTGATGACACGGACGGCTGTGATCTCATCATAAAAAACCAATTCCAAAAATTTAATTCACAAATAAAATAATAATAAAGAAAAGGACAAACGCCTCCCTCTTCACTTCACGCCCAAAACTGCTTTATTACGCTCGCCCGACCGCCCGACCCTACTCCGTGGGCCCCCCTGCTCCCTGTGGTCCCCCCTTATCTCCTATTTTCATCCTACGATTTTAATTATTCTTTAACTTGTCTACGTTTCTTTTTCTTCTTCTAAATTTACAAACTTAGGGGTCTATTTTAATCTGTAAGCTTTAAAAATAAATATGTATATGTATAGTTATTTTGATTACGAGCTAATGTAGAATCTCAATCATAATTATTGTAATAGAAATGATTATTCTTGTTGTTTTTTTTATAGAAATAAATCATATTTGAAATTCAATATTCACCCGACATAATCCTCATACATATTATATGTATAAATAATTGAAAAAAAAAACTCAAAGACCAAAAACTTCAGATTTCACAAAACAGATTAAGGGAGGGGTTATATTGTGATGACAATGGAGATATTGTCGATTAAAGCTACTTCCCGAATTTTATTCTTGCATGAATTTCATTCTTGCGTCTTCATGCTAAAATCAACGCAATCTTGGAATGGATTTGTCAAGCAATTTGCCTCGACTTGCATCAGAGTATTCTTGAGTCCGACTCCCAAATTGCAATTAAGATTATTTCGGGGGAGATCGAAGATAATAGTGAGGATGGGGCTTGATTCAAAGACACCCGAACCTTTTCTTCTTTGGGTGAAGTACCCTTCATGAATATCCCTAGGAAAGCAAACTCCATAGCACACAATTTAGATTCTCGAGCTGTTTTCATCTAATTCTTGTATGTTGTGGACTTCTCAAGTTCTCATATGGCTTTTACCCCAGGCCAAAAAAGGGAATTGATTCACACGTACCCCAAGTGACACCTCTTTGATTTGATGAAGTTTATTTACCTAAAAAAAATTCAAATAATTTTTTTTTTCAAGTTCAATAACTAAAGTAGATATTTTAAAAGTTAAGAGACTAAAATAAAACTAATATTAAAATTTATGGACCAACTTTCAAATATTTACTTCTCATATTTATACTTGGTTTAAAAAATTTATCTTAACATTTATAATTTTTAGTTAACTATTTAATAAAAATTAGCCTATGCCAACATGATTATAGGTAAATACACATCTACTCTTTTTTTAAAGATAGAATGTCTAGACATACTTCAAAATGGATAAGATACTACATTATTTTTTTTTACTTATTTTAAAGAAATCATAACTTCAAATTCTCACCTTTCTATTTTTATTTCTTATGAACAAATAAAGAGACGGAGCAATTAAAAGAACTTAACAACAATGTAAAAAATATATCATCTCTTCATTTTTCTTTTTACAACAATTTGAGAATATAGAACATTGAACCTTCAATTTTAAAAGAACAAAGACATGTAAATTACTACTAAACTATGTTTATATGGTCAATCCGTGTAAAATTTTATATTCTTATAAGAAAATTCCAACATAACATAAAAGAAAAATTACATAGAGTGAGGGACTAAACAAAAAATTTAATAGTATGAAAAACAAAAATATGGTAATATACAGCATTATCTTTTCAACCAATCATCATACTTGTGATCCCCTATGGGTAGCTAAACTAGGACCACGGCCGAAGATTTTCATGGATCCAGTACGGCGTCTCTATGTTATATACAATTGATAGTAATCAAGATTGTCGATCTTCAGCCGTCCGATTCGAGGGGTGACGCGGGTTCCCGACACGTGGCTGATAGCCTTTTTGGTCAATTGTAGAGCCTATTGTGCGTAGCGTACATCGAAGAATATCCGGAAAGGAACGCTTTTTGCGCCACTCGACGCCGATGCGGCTGAAATCGGCGAAATATCAACGGTCCTAAATAGCTTTGATTGCCGATTAATTGGTTGATCGGACGTTTTCTAATTAATCGCGTTTTCCAATTCCGCAATGGGCGTGAAAGTGAAACTGATTACGTGAAGAGAACGCTCTCAAAAATTTATTACCCAACGTACTTTTCTTTCTTACTGCAACGCTTCATGAATGTGATTCAATTCATCAAAATTTTATTTATAGTTTTTAAGTCCAAAATTAAAAAAAAAAATCTCAAATAATATTTTAATTGTTTTATTAATAAATCAACTGAATTTTTGTCTCATCATTCTATTTCAGTACGAAAACATGTAGTGGTAGAAGTTCAAACGCACAGTCTTTTAGTTGGCGATACATGTCTAGTCAAATTAGATTAAAGTTGGTAAAAAAAAAAAAAAAACTAAACCTTGCTCCTATAATGTTGGGTTTCATGCTTCAAATAACATATAAAATGTTATATGACATGAACCAAAATGTTTTAGTCTTGTTGCCAGGACCAATCACTCGTTCAATGCCCAAACAATTATAGTTGGCGTTCGATTCACACATCCAACTAATAGTGAGCTCCACTAATAGATATCAAGGTGTAAAGATGAAAATAAACTTTATTCATGGTTTCAAATAAAGACATGAGAAGACGATGAAGACACTCTGTATTAATAAATTTTATTATTTTAAAATTATATTTTTTCCTCTTATTTTAAACCTTTATATTTTTAGTCAAGGATGTGGAATTGAATTATTAATTTTAGGTGTTTATTTTTTAATTTAGCTATGTCACTTTAATTGGGGGTAGTATAGTCTTTTAGCTTCCTTGTAGATTAAGGATTTAATCTTATGAAAGAAAAACAGAATGAATTTGAGTATTTTAGCGTGATGACTAAGGTTTCATCAATTTTGCAATTCTTGATTTAGGTTGCAAATCCGGGATATTCAAGTTAGGTTTGATCAACTTTGAGTAGAAAACCAATTCTCCTTTACCTCTTCGTCTTCGATTATCAAAATAATCATTCATCTAAGATTTTAGGAATTGACAATAAATGGAAGGGTTTTTATCTGTAATTTTCTACACTTCATAACATTATGTCTACATATCCAACTATCTTTCTAAAAAATAATAACACATCAGATTTTTATTATCAAATTTTAGATTTTTTATATAATAAATAAATTAACTGAAAATTTGAATACATCAAGCGTAAAATTACAAAATTTAAAAGATCAATTACCAAATTGATAGATACTTAAAAACATTTAAGGATGTATAATTTGCCAAACTTTTCATATTTCTAAGTTTTCAATTTTTTTATTAATTAAATTTTGTTAAAAATAAAAAAATGGCGTGATTGATAAATTTTAAATATGGATAAAAGAAAACGACGAATTTTTTTTAATATATTATATTACAATAGTAAAAAGAAAGAACTTTCAGAATTTATGTCTTCAATTAAAAACTGTGCAATCATCAGGGACGGTTAAAGAAAAATTATAAGGGCATTATTAATAGCACCACCTGCAATTAATTAGATATAAATCATATAATAAACAACACCACTGAAAAACATAAAATTATTAAACTCAATAATAAATACGTAAACTGCAAAATAAACGCTTCGATAGACGAGCCCACGGCCCTTACTATGAGAACGACCGCTTCATATTCCCATCCCCAAACAAAAAAAAACAACCGCCGTTTCCAGTGTCACAAGTAATTCCCTCCAAATCCAACGGTAAATCGACGGTGAAGGTTCTCCGGGACCCACTTGGGCAGAGTCCACGGTGCATGATCGTGTCCACGTCATCGCTCGCAGTCCAGCCTGGCGAAACGGACTGTGGAATTACGGTGGGCCCACAGGGAAAGGCCGTGTCGGATGCGAAGACCTACTGTTACGGAAAGACAAAGCTGTCCAAACGGCGTCGCTTTTGCTTTTCCTCTGCCTCATCATCTTCACACAGAGAGAGGAGAGAGAAAGAAGAGAGAGAGAGCTCAGTGTGAGTGAGAACCTGAGCGAGGGGCCATATATGCTTCTTTTTTGTTCGCTTTATCAATTATCGCTTCCTCTTCATCTCTCCTGCAAGTTTTTTCTTCTGGGTTTCAGACGACCACGCCATCCATTGTTCTTTTTCTGGTCTTCTGCATCGACGAATGTGCGTCTGAGGGGTTTCTTTTGCTTTTCCGGCGATGGGTAGTGTGTCTTCCGATGACGGCTCCGACCAGCTGAGCGAGCGGTGCGGGAGCTACAGTTTGAGTGCGGATGTGAGCGAGTCCGAGAGTTGCAGTAGCTTCTCCTGCCGGAGGTTTGATGGCGAAGGGGCTTCAAGCTCAATGGCGTCGTCTCCGCATCCTGTTTCCGGGAATTTCTGCTTTCCGCCGCCGGTTTCGTTGCCGGTCATTGGAGGCAAGGATGTTTTTGTTTGGGATGACAAGTCTAAGAAGCGGGACGCTGATTTATCTGGTAATTTTATTTCTCTTGTGGGTTTGTTTTTAGTGAGAAAATGGATTTTGTTTCAGTATCTGTCGCCAGTCGGTCGATCTCTTTGTGTAATTCGACAATGTGGCAAGATTTTAGGCATTGGAGGGTTTTTTTTGCAAGAGTAATTCGATTCCCTCTGTCTTGCTAAATTTCTGAGATAATTGAGAGAACTATTACGATGGTGTTTTCTCCCCTTCTTTTTCTTTCAGAGATTTAGCTGCATAAACAGATCAGAGAGTGTACTGTAGGATGAGAACTGAACTGTGGTTTCTTCTTGCTTCCTGACGGCGAAGCAGAGAAACCATCCATTTTTTTAATGAGAGATCTCATCTATTGTGGAATAGGTTAAAACGGCGGTTTACCATCTTTAGCCTCTGATCTCTCATTTTTATTTTATGCAGAAGTTGAGATGATGAAGGAGAGGTTTGCGAAGCTCCTCCTTGGGGAAGACATGTCAGGGGGAGGGAAAGGGGTCTGTACCGCCCTTGCTATCTCAAATGCCATCACCAATCTCTCTGGTAGATCTTTATTTTGAGCCCCTTTAAGTGATTGTAAATTCGTAACTGTGTATTTCTCCGATTGCGTGAAGTTTAAGAACATTTCTGATAATGTTACAACCATTTTGGTCTGAAATTACAGCTACTGTATTTGGTGAATTGTGGAGATTGGAGCCACTGGCACCACAGAAAAGGGCAATGTGGCATAGAGAAATGGAATGGCTTCTATGCGTTTGTGATTCCATTGTGGAATTGGTTCCTACAGTTCAGCCTTTCCCAGGTGGAGGCACGTATGAAGTGATGATGTCGAAACCGCGCTCGGACTTGTATATGAACCTCCCTGCCCTGAAGAAGCTTGACGCAATGCTTCTCAGCATGCTCGATGGATTTTGCCATACGGAATTTTGGTATGTCGACCGGGGGATAGTTGTGGGTGACTTGAATGACTGTAATGGTTTCTTGCCCGGTGGGAGGCCTTCGATCAGGCAAGAAGATAAGTGGTGGCTTCCATGCCCAAAAGTTCCAGCAGATGGTCTGTCTGAAGATGCGAGAAAGAGGCTGCAGCAGTGCAGGGACTGTACTAATCAAATACTCAAAGCAGCCATGGCAATCAACAGCAATGTACTTGCTGAAATGGAAATTCCTACTGCCTACAAGGAAACCTTGCCCAAGGTATGGGTTTCTTGTCTGTTGACTGGCAATTCACTGAACTTTTGATGTTATCTTCCACGTATATCGATCTGCTGCTGAAGTTCTTTTTGCTGGTTGCTGTTCTCCATTTGCATGATTTAATCTTTTCTAAGAATCTATGTTTCTTGATCTGTTATACATGCTTCAAATGGTCCTGTTAATGTTAATGGGTTTCATATTTACATCGTCGTGCCACCTCTGGAATTCATTGCCGTGCCACCCCTGGAATTCATTGTTCATCAGATTGGAAAACAGATTCATGATGATTAAGTTCCTTTAGTTTTCTATCGTTATGATGAATGCAGAGCGGAAAAGCTTGCTTGGGAGATATCATTTATCGCTACATAACCGCTGACCACTTCTTGCCCGAATGCCTCCTTGATTGCTTGGACCTTTCATCTGAGCATCACACCGTGGAAGTAGCGAATAGGATCGAGGCTTCAGTTCATATTTGGAGGGCAAAAGACCATAAAAGAAGTGGTCACCGCAGTAAGGGAAGACGGCCAACTTGGAGTGGCAAGGTCAAGGGAATTGTTGCAGATTCGGGGAAGAGTCACAACCTGGCCCGGAGAGCGGAGACGCTTCTCGAAAGTCTAAGACTAAGATTTCCAGGATTACCACAGACAGGATTGGACATGGCCAAGATCCAATATAACAAAGTAATCCTTTCAATCCCTTTGGTTGTCTTTATCAACTGGAGTCAAGGGCTTGTCTAATGCCAAAAACTTTCCTGCAGGATGTGGGGCAGTCAATTCTGGAGAGCTATTCAAGGGTGATGGAGAGTTTAGCATTCAACATCATGGCACGTATTGACGACGTTCTATACGTAGATGATGCCATAAAGCGGTGCGTTGAAGCAGAGACAATCTCCCTTTTCAACCGAGGCTTGGGCGGTCTTCCCATCCAGAAACGCATGTCTCCCAGCCCCTTCTCAATCCACCACAGCCCATTTGCCTCCCCATTTGCAACTCCAACATTCTGTTCCTCGACTCCCATCGGCGGAAGCCCAGGAAGAGCATCCCCAACTGTAAAAAGAAGCAATGTCAAAGAAGCAGGCCAAGCTGACAAGGAGAGGATTTGGTCATACGCAGGGAATCTGAGTGGTAGAAGAATCTCTGGGGTTACTCCAGAGCGAGACTGACTGATTGTTCATTATAAAATCTGAAGACATCTTGCTAATCTTAGTGTATATTACTTTAGCCAGTAGAAGAACAAATGTAGAAGAGACAGTTTCAGAAAGAAGAGGGATAATTTTGCATTATATGCTGTGTTTTGTAAGTATATGGTTTGTGTCCAAAAAAGCCAATTTTGGTGGCAGCCTTAGGAGCACGAGCCGTTTGCCAGAGTAAAACTCAATCAAGGAATATTTTTGGGATCAGAATGGGTTCTCCCACACCCAGTGGCCACTATAAAATATTTGGATCGCTGCTTTCGGAAGCAACATAATCATAATTGTCCTGTTGTGAAGCCTTGTTTTGGAGATGGCTGTGGAAATCATTGCTGCCACTCCACTTGCAATTTTTTAGTCCGTTAAGTTGGACTTTTGATTTGGGAGTTGTTAAATCTTGCTTTTGCAATTTGGTATTTTTTCACTGGAGGAGTATCAAGATTTTATAATAGAATCCACCCACACCTTTCATAAGTGATCATGAAAAAAGTTTGGAGTATTTTAAACCAATTGATTTGATTGATTAAAGCTATCACAAATGCATCATCCACCTGCTTTAGGTATAAACCCAAACCGGGTATTAAATTTCTATTAACATTTCAACACTCTATTGACTAATCTGGCAACTGTCTTACTCTATAATATTTGATGTTGAAAAACACATATGAATCAATTTCTAAATTAGTGACCATCATAAGATCTTAACTCATTCTCTCCTGTTTTGCCCCAACCTCTGAGCCACCCATAATGATTACACATAATTATATTATTAATAATATTTTTTTAACTTATTTAAGAATGGTGAAATGCTTATTTATTAATGTGATATTTTTTGAATGATTTACCCAGAAATATCTATTGAAATTGACATTTTAGCGACATTTCTATAAAATTGAAACTTTGGGTACAAAAACATTTTAGCTGTTGTAACTGCATAAATAGGAACTTTGGTTTTTGTTCAAACACAACAAATAATAATCTATACTATACTATACTATGTTACCATATTTCATAGTAATTTTTTATTAGATGGAGAAAGACAACAATTACAAGTAGTACCACATGAGACCAAAAGTTTTTCAGAAGGTAAAAAAAAAAAAAAGGAGAAGCTACTAATACCATTCAATGGAAGATTCAATTTGTCTAATACAAAAAAGAAATTTACATGCTCATCATCAAGTTCAAGATCCTCCACCCACATCCATGGCAGGTTAGCAACAGCAGTAGCCAGAAACTTCAAAGCAACTGTGTTCAAATTAATGAAGTAAAGACTTTATTTATTAACAGATTACCTGGAAACTACTACATAATTTTCAGGCTTCGCCTTCAGCTGAAAAATGGAAAAATATGACAGAAATGAAATACAACCGTGCCACAGATTGAATATCCCGTGCAGGATTAAAGAGGGAGTTCAACATGACAAGCGGGAGATGGAAATATATTCTCCAGTTTCACAAGGCTGCGATATGATCACGCACCTGTTGGATTCCACCATGTTACCGCTTTAGATAAAATTCAAGTATATAGGAATTGGTTTAATAGGTGTAAGAATAAGCTGACAATTGCTGCTAGCTTTGACAACACATTTAGAAATAGGCAGAAACTTTACTTATTTGGGTACCAATATCAAGATGAAATTAGTCTTTAAAATTTGAAATTGACTTATCCTATTTAAGATGCAAAAAATAGAATCGTCTCGAGAGAGCAGTTCCTTCTTGACTTTCTTTGAAGCCAGAACGTATAAAGGATAAGAAATTGATTTCTCATATATGATCCTAAGAGAGTCCACATGAAGCATCCACTTTAAGAGGCAAGAGCTCTTCTGGTAACTTAAAAGCTAGTTCCGTTTTCCCAATTGCCACTGAAATGAATTCTAAAAAGCGGAAGAAAAAACACAAAATCTCCATTAAACACTAGCCGAAAAACCACTATTTTTTGGGGGAAGAGGCAAGATTTTCACATCTTTTTTGGTAATATATTTTGGACATTATTACAACTTTTCCTCTCGTTCTCATGAAACAATTTGTTTGATGAACTTTCAAGAGTGAGTATTTCTTCAACCCAATACTTCTCACATATCCCATTCTGCCTTGACTCAGAAATTATATTTCATCTAGCAGATTTCCCCTCCAAGTAGAAACATTTGATTTCGAAAAGCAATTCCCAAAATTAGCTTAAAAGAAAAAACAACTCATAGGAAAGAAAATTTTGCCCACACCTATCAAATTCTTTCTTTGGTTAAAACTTAAAAGTTATAGAAAGCCAGCTGACTGTTTGGAAAAACAAACTAGATATTTTACTTTAGAATGTAGAGACAAAGATGGTAGATGTCATTTGGTTAATTGGAACGAACTTTCTTGCCATTTGAATTTGGGTGGCATTGAAGAGGAAGTATTAGAAGATGGAACTATTCTTGTTAGCCAAATAGCTTCAGGGATTCTCAAGAGAGGAGAAAAGGGTACCTATCCATAAGGGTGTTTTCAGAATCGATGGGATAGTCGAGGGTGCTGTTCAGGCAGGGAAGTGAAATCTAATCGAAAGCTAGTTACCCTTCTGTGGACATAATAAAAGATATTGGAATTCTAATGAAGCTTTTGACTTCAAGGGAGGGAAAACAAATAGATTTAGATTTCTGAAGGAACATATGGTTGGAAGAGTGTATCCGTAAACTTATATTGCTGAGAATCTAAAAAATTGTAGGTATGAAAGAGTTCCAAGTTAATCAGATATGGAACAAGGAATAGAAGGTCTAGAATCCTTCCTGTAATAGACCCACTAGCAGACAGGCCTAATCCCCGTCAGCCCCAATTGGATTGCCTCGGCAAAAGGAGATTTGAGGATCAAAATGATGTTCTATAAGTAAGTCCTGGAGAAAATTTTGGTGGTTTTAAACTCCAGTGTAATCGTCCCGAAAGGGTGAGGGAATCTTTTGAGGAACTTGGTTGAGTTGCCCTGTGGAGTATTTGATTAGAAATAAATAGAATAATTTTTTAGGATTCGTATAGAGATATAGAGAAATTTAAAGAGAACTTTATTTACCTAAGATTGAACTTTTTTCTTTTCTGATTGGAAACTTATATTTCATTAGAGAATGAAAAATACAAAAACCTCCAAATGAGCTACACGAACACGCTCCAATTTTGAGAAATCGAATAAGTAAAGAACTCCATTTCTTTCCAACCAAATGTTCTCAAAACAACTATAACTATAAGATTAGAGCAATCAATATTAGCTTTCTTTCTGAAAAAAAGGCACCATTGAAGAGAGAGAGAGCATCAAGTCTTGAATCGAGTGGAGAAAAACAAAGCAAACCCCAAAGGTATTAAGAAGATTCCACCGACAATATAGTCACACACTGTTAGTCATTGACTTAGTGTTTATAAAAAATTAGAAGAACTCGTGCAAGGGATACACAAAATAATTTGGAGAGTGCATATAGGATTCTTTGTTGAATCATATCTTTAGTAATGACTCCAACAAAGAAAAGTGTCCGAGAAAACTTTGACTATCTTAGAGAACTTAGCTTAGGAATGCCTCCTCTTAATCCAACATACAGATAAACCTGGATTTAGTGGAATGGAAAGAGGTCCTGAGCATCTCCCAACCGAACTCCTTTCCCTCCATCCACACCAATTGAAGGGCCTCTAGAGATAGTGTAATTTAAATATATAGTATTTTGCATCTTTTCTTCTTTTGTATCCATATCAATTTTGGGGTTTTCTTATAATCCCATTTTCATGGTAGAGAAAGAATCCCAGTCCTTTTTTTTTTCTTCTTCCAGTTTTTCTTCGTTGATGAATTTGTCACTCGTACAAAAGTTCACCGAACATCCTACATCTTAAAACGCTAACCAACAGGATGATCACCAGCTTCAATAAAATAAGACAATCTTCAAAGCCAAGCTACTAGCTAAATCACATCAAAAATAATTATGCAGGAAGCAATTTTCAGTAGGAAAGTGAAACAAGAAGACCTTCATTAAACTAAATATAACAAAAGTCACCGAGAATGAGACCAGATAGAAAAATTCAATGAAGCTATAAAATGAACAATACTTACTCCTGACGTTGATGTGATCCAACCTGGGGGCGGCCAGAACAGCCTTGAATACTCAGGACGATCAGATAAAGGTGATATACTTCCATCATCCAATTCAAATATAGCAATGTCACTACCCTTAAATACATCATCTTCTTCCCCACTGGGGCAGAAGAAACCGTCAGTAAAGAATATGCAGTTTCCTTTACAACCGGATAAACTTGAAGCTGATGCAGAAAAGGAGCAATTTTCGGCCAAGAATAGCATTGTGTCACCCAAGTCATCGACCTCAACCCACTTCTTACTTCCATCACCGCCCAGCTTAAACACTTTAAATCCAACTGTTTTTTCACGCAGAATACCATCAGGAAGTTCACCGCCCAACCCAAAATTCCCTTCAGAGTCTATGGTTAAATACATATCGACCAACAACAGTTCACCATTGGATTCCATCAAAATCTTCTTGTCGCCGCCAAATACAGGTTCAACCATTAAAGTCACATTATCTTGAGATTCAACCAGAAAAGTAGCCCCAGAATTATCAACCGCATAAAACTCCCCCTCGAATAACATCACATCGTCATAAGGCAGCGCATTCTGAGAAATTGTGGTCCACCGACCATCCCCTGACTTAAACATAGCCAACTTTCCAGAAACATGAATAGTAATCAAAACGAAGCCATTCCCCTCGTACTTGTAAGCGACCTTTTCCTTATACAAATCGTCGGCATCGCCCGGTCGATTACTCAAAGGCCAAAAATTAAGGTAATGTAGCACGTATTCCTGACAAAGTTCAGAAACCGAAAAATTCAACAAGTCCAGTACCTTGGGGAAATTTTCCGGCAACGGCTTAAAGCAACACTTAGACAGCGGATTTGAAAGTTTAACTGTTCCGGAGACATCTTCTTCGACCTTGATCAACCAGGCGTCTGAGTGCGCTACAGAAGGAGGCATGGGAGACCCAATCCGAAATACGGATCGCTTGGTGAGAAAGAAACCCCAAGTGGTGTTTGAAATGCCATGATTTGGAAGAAGTGGAAATTGACCCGGTAATCTGAGGCGTTTGGGAGGGACGAGGGATCTCCAGGATGAACAAACCGATCGGAAGCGCATCGTATCGAAAGGAGTTTCGAAACATTGAGCGATGAGGTAGAGGAGATCCTTGGGGAGAAGAGACCACTCAGCCATGGATGGATTTGAATTTGGGAAATTGAGAACGAAAAACGAGCAAGAAAGAAGAACTGGAGTGTCGCTGATGAAGCCCCTTTTATAGTTTGTTGCCCTCGGTGGCGACGGCCGACGGCATCCGGCGAGGCTCCGGCCATTCGCCGCTTTTATAATATTTATTCATTTTGTTTATTGGTTTTTAAAAATGTTTTACACTTTTTTTTTAATTCGAACTGGACAATAATATATGTCTTTAACCATTTTGGTATTTGAATTACAAACTTACTTATGCTAAAATATATACATTTCAATTTAATTTCATATTTAAACATTTTGATTCTATTTTTGTCATGAGGATTTTTTTTTAGCAAGGTACCAAAATTTGAAATTGGTTAATAATAAATTTCGACTAATATTTTGTGAGTTATCATATAATAGAGTAGTTAGACTACTTGGAAAATGTAAATTTTGTAAATTTAAACATAATTTAACATGTATTATCAATAAGTTGGGAGATTGAAATTCTACACAAGTCATGTTTTTTAAGTAAAATAAAAATAGAAAAGTAAAATATTTAATAATTTGTCTAAATTTATTAAAAACTGTAAAATTAGTACTTTTTATATTTTTGTTCATTTAAATGTTTTTTCCTCTTTACGCGAGGTATTTTTTGTGGTTTTTTTTTAATATGTCAATGATATTAATCGCATAAATTAAATGTCAACATAAATTTATAAACTTAGACAGGTCATGAGTTTGAATTTTCCACTAATCCTTGTTGTGCTAAAAAAAAATCAAATAAATTAAATATAAGTTCATAAATGAAATGTAAAAAAGAAAATTACATATAATACAAATACTTTTTAACTATAATTAAAATTTATTTATTTCTCCAAAATTGAATCCAATAAAAAGCCCACCAAAAAAGTCCAGCCCGATTCAAAATCAGTGCAAGCTGCAGCAGCGCTCTGCTAGTTGTGAAGCAGTTGAAATCAACTTCCTTCTCACTATCCAATTTCCAGACCTATTCGTTCGCATGGAGAAGACGACGCAGAGCAGTAGACGAAAGCAGCAGAAAAGCTCGGCTCGAGCAAAGGTATTTGGCGCCAAGGCGCTGCAGCTAAGCGAGGACGATGCCTCGCGCATAGTCGGCGGAATAGTGGAGAAAGGTATTTCAGACTCGCACCAGAACGAGCCCTTCGTCTCACTTGCCCCTCCCAAACCTTCTGTTCTGCCATTTCCTGTCGCTCGGCATCGGTCTCATGGCCCAGTAAGATTCCAGTTTGGCAGTTTCATTTATCTGTAGTGCACCCCATTTCTATGCTTAATTATGGAACTTAGCAGTCGGCGAGAGTAATTTTTATTCTTTTAATAAGTTTGACTATAGAAGCAGGAGGATTTTTTGTTTTATGTCAATATTGTGTAATATGATTGGAAGAAAGAGTATTTGAATATTCGTTAGTAGTTTTTCCAGTTGTAAATGGATTAATTTGGAGAAATATTTAGACTCATTTTGGATTCCCTATCTTATTAACAGTCCAATCTGATTTTGCAGCATTGGGTATCAGTAACTAGCAAAAAGGGTGGTGATAACATTAAACATGATCGGCAGGAGAATGGTGAAGATGATGAAAGTTTGATCGAGATTGAGTCTATAGCAAATTTTGCTAACCCAATACAAAGGAAAAATAAAAATAGCTTAGACTTTGGCAGGTGGAGAGAGGTTGTCCGAGGCCACAACCATGATGCAGCGAATAAAGAGGAAAAGAAAGTTGCAGGGTTAGCAAAAAATGAAAACCTAAATCGTGCTGGGGAAGCAATTAACACTGTTGATGATACCATGATGTCATGCAAGCCCTTATCAGCTGATGTGCTTGCACCTATTCTTATGAATGATGAACATAATTCATCTGGTTTTGTAAATGATCCCACTGGAATGAGGACAAAGGATTCTGGTTCTGATTTCGTGAGTTCAACAAATAATGCAGAAATAAAAGGGCTGGATCAACTATGTCTTTGGAAGGACTTTCAAGATGTTGATGATAGATCAGGACATGTTTCAGAGAGTGTTGAAATTAATGAGGGAATGCCAGTTGACGGTACTTCATTGCCAGATATGGCTATGGGGCTGCACCATTCAAATCCAGAAATGGTTCCTTGTTTTGGGTCCAATATCAAGGGAGAAGATGCATTCTCGACACTGGAGAGCCAGATCAATGCAGAGAACCGTGCACGGATACAAAGAATGTCACCTGAAGAGATTGCCGAAGCACAGACTGAGATAAAGGAGAAGATGAGTCCTGCACTAGTGAAAGCTCTGAAAAGGAGAGGTGAGGAAAAGTTGAAGAAGGGATCTTCAAAGCCTGACGTCAGCAAGAATTCTGAGTTGGATAATCTACAAAAAGAGGGTACATTTAATAGATATGATTCTCTCTGTGTAGAGAATGGCGTAACTTCAGCAAATTCAACCGTAAAGGACACAAAGAGTGGGCTTCAGAATGTTTCAGTGCAGAAATTTGACTTGGGTAGTAGCACATGGAGTGCTTGGAACGAAAGGGTTGAAGCAGTAAGGTTGTTAAGGTTTTCCCTGGAAGGAAATATAGTTGAAAGCTGTTCTTTCCAGCAATCAGAGAATGGTAAGACTTGGCGGTATTTTGTTGCTTTTTCTTTTCCCTGGAGGGGGAGGAGGGGCGATGGTGCATTTGATTAATAGAATTTCCATGGTGCTTTTGTTTATGTTTTCCATGATGTCTGTCATCTCCAATTATGAGATCTTGTGCATGAGCTAGATTTGGGCGTTTAGAACTTTTCCATCAGTTCCAGTTCCATAGAGGACGAACTCTATAGTTATTTAATGGTGATAACTGATCTAATAGTTCAACTAGCTCAAGTATCTTTTAACATTCCAATTGATAGATGGGCTGGGATATTAAATGTCTAGGAACAAAATGTTTATGTTTGTTTCTTAGTATTTATTCCTATGATTATGTCTAATAACTGAACCAAATTAATTTATTGTGAAAGCAATTTTTCTCCAATGTCACGATGTTGAGAGGATTTGGATACCTATGATGGTTGGCTTGCTATTCTCAATTTTCAAAATTGCATAAGAATGAAATCTTGTATGTAAAAACTCATACTCCGTAACCTTACGATGAATCTCATCAACCCAATGGCACTGTAGTATTATAAACATTTAAGGTACATAACTCCCTTTTGGAGTATACAAAGACCCCCTACCCAACTGAAAGTTGCAAGAAAACAGAACTTATAGAGAAACCCAATTTTTTGGGAATTTACTAGAACATAATCCAACTTAGTACTTGCTAAAGGATAGTGTGGACCTTTTTGTCAATTGTCATTTATTTTGAATATTTTAATTTCTTTCAGAAGAACCAAAAAGTATTCTTGTCACTTTCTTTTTATTTAGATCACACGTGAGTCTTGTTTTCTTTTCATTTCTAAAGCTTTCTATCATCACTAGAATGTATAAAAATGTATTATGTCTACAAGGTATACATTTTATTCTCTAATATTGATTAACTCCTCTATATGTGTCATGGCACAGGTGATCTTGCAGTCCATGGGTACAGCACTGAAAATGTTACTTCACGAGATTTTCTTCGAACTGATGGGGATCCTAGTGCTGCAGGTTACACGATTAAAGAAGCTGTGGCACTGACAAGGAGTGTGGTCAGTTTAGTTGCTTCATTGTAGTGACAATTTTTTTCCACCATAAAAGAACTGTTAGTTTTTTCCACTTTTGAGGTCTTATTTTTCTTGTTGCTTAATAATGTGTTGCTAGAGAACAAAGTTACTTCATTTTTTTAATTTCAAATCTTCAACATGTTTATAATTTTAAGCTCCTTAAATCTTCTTTCCTTTTTACTCTAGCTTCTCGTTTGTGTCAGATACCAGGTCAACGTGTCCTTGGGTTGCATGTTATTTCAAACGTGCTTGACAAGGCATTGCTTAATACACACCAAAAACCAGTTGGGTCCGCAATGGTTAAAGATGGTATCTCTATTGATTACAATGCAATTTGGGCTTATACCCTTGGCCCTGAACCAGAGCTTGCTTTGTCACTTAGGTGAGACTCCCTGAGTGCTTGTATTATTGACATTCATTTTTCCTTTTTTAAGAGTCTGCGCCTGCCCCAATCATTGACATTCATTTTAACTTGCTTTGGTATACTCATTGCTTGGCTTGGTTCATGCTACACCTGACTGTGTTGCTGCTACCATATTTTCAAATTTGTGAAAATTGATCCATGGTTTGTCATGGGAAGTTTATGTTACTCTAAGATGTGGTTAATTCATCATATCCTCATTGCTTTACATCTTTTCTAAAATCATCTCTGATTTTCAGTGTCCCAAGTCACTAAATTTTTTGTTTATGTGTAGGATATGCTTGGATGATAATCATAGCTCTGTCGTTCTAGCTTGTGCTGAAGTTATTCAGTGTATATTGGGCTGTAATTTGAACGAAATCTTCTTTGATACCTTACAGGTAGGATGTTTATAGCATGGAACTTTAATAAATTTTCTCTCCAATTTTTATTCTCAGTTAAAGTCTATTTTCTTCAGAAAACATCAACTTATGAGATGGATCTCTACACTGCTCCTATATTCCGAAGTAAACCAGAGATCAATGTTGGTTTCCTCCAAGGTGGATTTTGGAAGTACAATGCTAAACCTTCTAATATTCTTCCTTTCAGTGAAGATGTTGGGAATGTTGAAGATGGAGAGAAATATACAATCCAGGATGATATTGTGGTTGCACAACAAGATATTCTGGCAGGTTTGGTTCGAATGGGAATCCTTCACAGGCTTCGCTATCTTCTGGAGGTATACGTTCTCATTATCTAGATTTTGTACTTTTAATTTGACTATTGGGGATGACTGTCGCACCTGAATGGATCTCAACAGTTTCCCTTTTATTAAATTTGCATGATTAATTGATTAAGAAAGTAAAGATGACCTCAATGTATGGTGAGAATTCCCACTGAAGTTGGTATATTGATTAAAGAATAGCTATCTATTGCCAACACTACACAGGTTAGAAAGATTATAAGTTTATAACTATTGCTACTAATGAAGATTCTACATTGTGGCTTCTAATAAGTAAACAAATTATTGCTTTTGTGACTCTTTAAGGCATGACATGTGAAATATGTTTTTTTTTGGCCCTCTCTCTAATCGCAGCATGTTTAGTATCTACAATTGTTATGATTTAAAAAATGTTATTTCCATTTTTTACTTTGCGTTTTTGCTTCAATTTCCAATATGTGATGATTTTTATGGTTTCAGGCGGGCCCTTCAGTAGCTTTAGAAGAATGCATACTTTCGATACTTATTGCAATAGCAAGGCATTCCCCAACGTGCGCACAAGCAATAATGAAATGTGAAAGGCTTGTTGGGTTGATTATCAACAGGTTTACAATGAGCGACAAAATTGATATCCTTTCCTTTAAAATAAAATCTGTTGTCCTTTTGAAGGTAATTGCTAGTGCTTTGATGTATTCCAATAATTTTCATTTGTCTGTTGTTCGAATAGTTCGTTATTTCCATTATCAGACAGTTGCAGGAACTGATTTTGGGGTTTTGCCTCTGTTTTTCACACGACAGGTCTTAGCTTGTTCAGACAGGAATAATTGTGTTGCATTTGTAAAAACTGGAGCTTTTCCAACTATGATATGGCATTTGTTTCACTATATTACCTCCATTGACCATTGGGTCAAGTCAGGGAAGGAAAAATGTAAACTTTCATCAGCTTTGATGGTTGAACAATTGAGGCTGTGGAAGGTTTGCATTCAGGATGGATACTGTGTATCTTACTTTTCTGATGTTTTCCCTGCCTTGTGCTTATGGTTGAGCCCACCAAATTTTGACAAACTTGTTGAGAATAATGTCCTTCGTGAATTTGCAACCATTTGTACGGAGGTATACCATGTTCTGGAGGCTTTGGCTAGAAGACTTCCTAACTATTTTTCACAGAAACATTTAGACAGTCAAGAGCTAGGACTTGCTGGTAATGAATCTGAAATTTGGTCCTGGAGTTGTGCTGTTCCGATGGTTAATTTAGCTGTGAAATGGTTAGAGTCAAAGAGTGATCCATTCATATCCAAATTATTTGCGTCACAAAAAGAGATTAGGAGTGGCTTTGAGTTTGAAGGTATATCGTTGGCACCATTGTTGTGGGTTTATTCAGCTGTCATGAAGATGCTATCTCAAGTGTTTGAAAGGATTGTCCCGCAGGATATTATGTCCCTGGAAGGAAGTGGTCAGATTGTGCCTTCACTACCAGAGTTTATACCACGAGTTGGACTTGAGATAATTAGGAATGGCTTTTTGAGCTTTCCAGGTGCATATGATAAGAAACCCGAAACCTATCCCTTTGTAGGTAACTCTTTTGTAGAGGATCTTTGTTTTTTGAGAGAACATGGTGAATTTGAAACGTCTCTGGCTTCTGTATGTTGCCTTCATGGGTTGATGCTTAGTATTATGAATATTGATCGTCTGATCCACTTAGCCAAAACCGAGAGGCATGGTTTTCCTTTCAGAGATTACAACGGCTCAAGGGAAGGGGAAATTTTAATGGTTGGGATGTTTAAGGCATCCCTCATCGAACAGAGAAGCGTGCTTAACCTTTTTACAAAGGTAATTGCTTTGGAGTCTGACTCTCTGCAGTTAATAGAGACCTTTGGCAGAGGCGGCCCTGCACCTGGGGTGGGAACTGGCTGGGGCGTGTCTGGAGGTGGATATTGGTCTCCTGCTGTTTTATTAGCTCAAAATGATGCAGCATTTGTCATGTTCCTAATTCAAGCATTTCAGACCGTTCCAACTTTAAATATACTGACTGCTCAGGAATCCTTGACCATTCAAAGCATAAATTCTGCCTTGGCAATATGCTTGGTTCTTGGGCCAAGAGATACGTGTTTGGTCGAGAAAACAATGGAATTTTTGATCCAGGCTCCTATTTTGCATCATTTCAATTTCTATATTCAGAGTTTTATCCAACTCAATGGAAGAGTGAAGCAATTTGGGTGGAAGTATAGTGAAGACGACTGTTTGATCCTTTGTAAAACATTAAGTTCTCACTATAAGGATAGGTGGTTATCGCCAAAGGAATCCAAATCCACAAAGAATAAGAGCAACTTTAGTGACAAAATATTTAAGAAAAGCAGTAATTCTTTGGATACAATATATGAGGAGGAATCAGATGAGACAAATAGGATAGCGCAAGATTGTACTTGTTTGGTAGTTCAGTGGGCTTACCAAAGACTTCCACTTCCAAAGCATTGGTTTTTAAGTCCAGTCTCAACTATCTGTGATAGTAAGTATGTTGGTCTTCAAAAATCTTCTGATGCGCAAAAGATTGTGCAGGACTCTAGTGATGTGCTTGAGGTTGCTAAGAGTGGACTCTTCTTTATTTTAGGAGTTGAAGCATTTTCCACCTTCCTACCTGATTATTTCCCTTCACCTGTCCAGAGTGTGCCATTGATTTGGAAATTGCACTCTTTATCTGTTGTTTTACTCGCAGGCATGGGAGTTTTGGATGATGAGAAGAGTAGGGATGTTTATGAGGTTTTGCAAGACCTGTATGGTCAGTGTCTTAACAAAGCTAGGTATAGTAGACTCTCTGAACGAATCCAGGAGAAGAATGCAACAGATTTACCGTCACAACCAGAAAATAAGAGCAATTTAGAGTTCCTGATGTTTCAATCAGAGATTCATGACAGTTACTCAACATTTATTGAGACTCTAGTGGAGCAGTTTGCTGCCGAATCCTATGGAGATATACTATATGGACGGCAAATTGTACTATATCTTCACCGATGTGTTGAAGCTCCTGTGCGGATTGCTGCCTGGAATGCACTAAATAATGCCCGTGTTCTCGAACTTCTTCCACCTCTTGAGAAGTGCTTTGTTGATGCTGAAGGGTGTCTGGAACCTATTGAGGTGCGTTCCATCTTCACTGCTTTCAAATATGAGTATCAAACACATCTTTACCCGTTTTCTGCTTTCAAATATGAATATCAAACACATCTTTACCGGTTTTGGGTCCAAAATTATGCTCAATTACTACTTCAAGTCCAAAAATATAGAATACAATTCTTTCTTCACGAGATTGTCTTGAGAGTGGGAGGGACTGTATAAGTAGTGATTGTGATTCTTTTATCCATCCTCCTTAGGGAAATTTGCTAGAGTAGTTAAAAATAAATGAACAGAGGCAGTATTGGAGAGTTTTGGCATCAAATTTTCACGAGATTCTCTAGAAAGTTGGTTGTAGTAAGAAGATTGACATGTTTTTCATCGATTTCATTTACTGGAAAATCTAATCTGGAAAAAATGGTTCCTTCACAGGATAATGAAGCCATTCTGGAAGCCTATGTGAAGTCATGGGTTTCAGGTGCCCTTGACAGATCTGCAAGCCGAGGTTCAGTGGCCTATTTACTAGTTCTCCACCACCTCTCATCCTACATATTCCACTCTAACCATGTCGCCAACTTGTTGCTGCGTAACAAGCTCTCAAGGTCTCTTTTGCGAGACTACTCTCAAAAACATCAGCGCAAGGTATTGAAGTTAATCTTGATAGTTCTAAATTTCAAGTAACAGCCATAACACATTGAACCTAGTGATATTATTATTCCGTTATGATATAACTTATGAGTAAGTAAAAGTTTCCCTCTGATGATATATCATGTTAACTGATGCATTCTGATCAAATACTTAATCGCAGGAAATGATGTCAGATCTTATCTTATATACTGCACCAGCGACGTATCGTGTAGCCGGACAGAAGGGTGTTTGTTCGTCGATCAAAATGAGCACTGTGGAGAAAAGGCTCGAGGTGTTGAAGGAAGCTTGTGAGAGGAACTCCTATCTTTTGACAGTGGTTGAAGAGCTCGGGTCCGCTGCAAAACACAAACTGTCCGCAATGTGCAGTCAGTTAGCCTAAAAAGCTGGCAAAATATATGATGCGTAGAGAAGAGAAGATTGGAGATGGAAGTTCTTGGTAATGAGGATTGAAGGGGGTGATGTGTTCCCTGTTCTCAAACTTCAACCATGGGTTGGGCAGCCGTATAGATCCTTGAATGGGAAAGTTTCTGACATTTGTACATGAATTGTGTAAATTAAACTGAAATGCAACAAAAACGATGGTCCTAACTTGATTTTGACATGAAAGTTTGTTTGATAAGAAACATGTAACTCAGTGAAATGCATATAACTAATCTAGTCTGATTGAATATTAAGTCTATTTCAAATTAATTATGATTCTATTTAGTTTATATTGTCAATACTATTAAACAAATATTGATGTGGCACAAAATTAGTACGATGTAGGAGATAGTTAGACGAATTGTACACTATGTTGATTAATGGCAATAGTTAGATAGGAAAAAACAAATTGCAAATTATCTACTTATTGTTTCAAAGGGTTTGAGGTTTAAATTTTGACGTTGTATTAAAAAAGTTCTTCAAATTTAGAAATTAAATAGGGCATAATATCTGGGATTAAAATCTTAATTTCCCATTTGCGTTAAGATATTTATCAACAGAATTTTTTCAGAAGTTAAGTAATGATCCTCAAAAAAGAAAAAGAAAAAACCAATCAAGTAATAATGTATTTTCGTAAGGCTCGAGAATAGATGTTGAATTGAAACCTGAAAATGCATGGGAGTCCCACATCGGAAAGGTTTGAGAATGGGAAAGCGCGATATGGCTATAAAAGGAAGCAGCGGGGAAGGAGGAAAACCCATCTTTGCGCTTGGGGCAATGACGCAGCTAGTGAGGTTCTAACCGAGGCGCGTCAATTGCTGGTTGAAAACTATTTCCAAACCCCCTCTAGGGCCTGGGTTAGCCCCAGGCCTTCGAGAATTTCTGGAAGGGCTCCCCTCGGGGTAAAGCCCTACAATTTTTTAGTTCAAATTCTTTACAATCCAACTCACTCTTTAGTATTCGTTTGTTTATTTTAAAAGCAAAAATGTTATTTTGGCTCAACAATCATTAGTAACATCTTGCTATTCAATATTTGTTAGCTTATCTATTTTATTCAACATTTGTTAACTTATGGTGAGGAAGATGAAGTTGTCTCTTAGAGTTGACTCTTCTCAAATTTGGTCAAAATTGGATTGTAAATTGTTCTTCAAAATTGTAAATAGTAGTTATTCTCAAAATTGTAAATAGCTCAATGAAAATGGCATACTCGCTTCCACCATGATTGCAGTTGATTCGATCTATTAAGGACTATTGAGGAGTATTTTTAAAAAAGAAAAAGAAAAAGCTATCAAACCCTAATTTTGAAAAATGACGATATTTTTTAAGCTTGTTTAATCAAAAGTTAATATTTTTTTAAATTAAAAATTGAGAGCAAAATGGTTTGTTTTGTTTTTTTTTTTAATACATCAAAATGGTTTGTTTGGAGCAAAACAAACAGATTAATTTGTTTTCTTCTTGATTCGATAATCTCAAATTCTTGGTTGGAAATTCGATAATCTCAAATTCCCGCATTGAAGTTGCAGAAACGTAATTGAGCGACGGAAGATGAATCAAAATCAGATAAAGTGGAGTGGCTCCACTTCGCCATTAATGCTCTTCTTTCTTAGCATATCTTTTTGCGTCACGATTCCACTTTTCTTCGAAAGCGGATGATATAGAAAGACAATTCAGACAACGAGAGTTGAGTTGCGGGGGAAGTGGACAATGGCTCTTCCAACAATGTTACTCTCATCTTCCAATCTCTATCATCTCTCAACAAAATCCCCCAACCTTATCCTCCCACTTCGCTGTTCTTCTTCAGCCTCCGTTTCGGCTCGATCCAAGTCCATCCACTTCGATCTCAAAACTTATTGGGCCAAATTGATCTCCCAGATCAATCGGAGTCTGGACGAAGCCGTTTCGGTTCAGTACCCGGCGCAGATCTACGAGGCCATGCGATACTCCGTCTTGGCCGAGGGAGCCAAGCGAGCCCCGCCGATTATGTGCGTCGCCGCCTGTGAGCTCTTCGGCGCCAACCGCCTCGCCGCTTTCCCAACTGCCTGCGCTCTCGAAATGGTACGGTTTCTTCACGTTTCTGGTTGTTTGGGAGTGAGGAAAGACTGATCTCTAAGCGTTATTAACGAATTGGATATGCTAGTGTATTGTGGGTCTTAGCTTTTGAATGGGAAGTGGTAATGATTTTTACAGATTCCGATTCCTCTGTTCTATCTCCAGGGCATGTTTGGCTAAAGCCTGAATTTGTGTGATATATAATTGTGAAGGTTGAGTTTGTGCATGCTGTTTATTCTGATGAATTATGAACTATAGAAAGTTAGCTTTTATGAATTAAGTTTAGATTGAATTGAGAGAGGTGAGTTTCAAAAACTTGAGTTTACATAGTGATATGAGTTAGTTAGTAGCCTGAAACAAGCAAGTTTATGGATTAAATATAGACTTGGTTCATAATTTTAGGTTAAGTACTACTAGCTAACTTAAAACACTTTTTAAAAGTTTCATGGTGTTTAATGGAAGTATTTGATTAGTGTTTTGCTCAAAAGTGCTTTACCTACCAGCACTACTCTTAAAAGTCGCATCAATCTCACTCTAGATCTCAAAAATCTCTCAAAATCTTTGTCTGAGTTGAAAATTGGAAACAACTCGATTTATTTCTGAACATTCTTCAATTCCTCATCTTTTTATTGTATCATAAAACTGCCCTCTCTAAAGTATAAATGATGGGAATCTGTTGGCTGCCAAGATCTGTTCATATAAACAAACTAGTTCTTTGAGTAGCTACATTAGTCTGAATGCTAGGTCAATGGTGGTAAACAGGTTCATGCAGCCTCATTGATCCATGATGACCTTCCCTGCATGGATGATGACCCGTCACGGCGAGGGCAGCCCTCAAACCACACAGTCTACGGTGTCGACATGGCGATTCTTGCCGGGGATGCACTTTTCCCACTCGGGTTCCGCCACATCGTATCGCACACTCCGAATGACCTTGTCCCAGAGGCTCGCCTCCTCCGCGTGATCACCGAGATTGCCAGAGCAGTTGGATCGACAGGCATGGCAGCTGGGCAGTTCCTAGACCTCGAAGGAGGCCCCAACTCCATTGAATTCGTCCAAGAAAAGAAATTCGGGGAGATGGCCGAATGCTCTGCCGTGTGTGGAGGACTAATAGGTGGAGCAGACGAGCACGAGATCGAGAGATTGCGGAGGTACGGGAGAGCAGTCGGGGTGCTGTATCAGGTTGTGAATGATGTTATGGAGGAAAAGAGGAGGAAAGAAGAAGGAAGAACGAAGAAGGGGAAGCGCTATGTGGGGATTTATGGGATTGAGAAAGCCATGGATGTGGCAGAGGAGCTTAGAGCCAAGGCCAAAGAAGAACTTGATGGCTTTCAGAAATATGGCGATTCTGTGCAGCCTCTCTATAGCTTTGTGGATTTTGCTGCTGATAGAGGCTTTTCCATTGGTGATTCAAGTGAGTAATTTAGGATTCAAAAAGATCATAAATTACTTAACATTATTGTCTGGTAGTTTACACTCTTCATTAGAAATTTATGAATGCATCTTCACTTTATAGATGTAAGTATAAATATATGTTAAAAAGTGGATTAAACCTTAGCCATAATGAGAATCCGCTGCCTCCAAAACATTTATCAGAACTCCCTCATATATCATAACTATGATGCTTACAAAATATTAATATCCTTCCATCTTGTTAACTATTTTTTTGGTTCAACAACGGTGGAGTGGGGATATCAATCTCTCTACTAATGCATTTAATCTGCGTCTTTGTTTACTAATTCCTTGATTTTGTATGGAAAAATATTATCAGAATACTTGCATATTCCTAACTAATTAAAAATGCATTAAACTATAAATAAAATGCTACTAAAATTTTTAATGAGAGAAACAAATAGAAGATGAGATTATCCGGGAGTAGAATGATTAGAAAATAGGCTGTAGCGTATCAATTTCTATTTTATAAGCAAATATTTGAATCTTCGCCTTAACATAAAGGCATCCAATTGATTAATTAAAGAAATTGTAAATTTTTAAATTTTGAGATAGGGTCAATAGTTACACTGCATTAATGAAAAATGGTCAAATGTATGATAAATCGCATATGGCTATTCGATTTTTTCTCTCTTTTGGGTTAGTTTCTACCTAGTTATTTTTTCCATTCACTCTATTGCTATATTCAGGTTTTATAAAATTATTTACAACGTCATCCTATAAATTGTTTTGTTTAAACAACTTCAACCACTTTCAATTTTAGCCAACATGATCTTAGTTTAGCAGCAATTGATATCTGTCTCTCACGAGAGGTTATGCATTTGAATTTCTCATCCCTAATTATTGTATTAAAAAAATTTTGATCTTAGTTTAATAGTAATTGATATCTGTCTCCCACAAGAGGTTATGCTTTTGAATCTCCCATCCCTAATTATTATACTAAAAAAAATATTTTAGAAATCATTGGATTGATTTTGTTTCTCTCTTCTAGATTGTTTTACAATTATTCTCAAATATAAAGGTATGCCATTTGGAATTTGGCTATTGATTGAAGGTGCAACGACTACTCTTTTACTATAATATGATTTTCTTCCCTTTACATCTTTTTACCAAACTAAAGCCACCATCGCCTATGATAACTTAATTTAGTGCCTTTATTATTATTATTATTTACAAATCCAAAGTTCTAGATCTTTCTTTTGTAACAAAACACTACTTTGAGATTATAATATTTTTAATTTCTAATCTACATATTAATGTTTTAATCATCTCCTTCTTTTTCCTCCTTGACGAGAACCTTAAAAGTACTATTGAACATATCAGACTTAACTTTCAATATTTTTATTTTACAAGTATGTTGAATAATACTCTCAGTTAACTTTCTAATACTATATGTGTATCTATTCTCAGTTATTAAGAGTTTTTTTTAGTAAATTAGGTAAGGGTGGAAATTTGAATCCACGGCCATTTCGTCGGAGATTTATATTACAACCAGTTGAATTATGCTTACGTTAGCAATTATTAAGAGTTGGAGTTGTCCAACTAAATTAGACCATTGAAATGCTCCATAATTCAAGTATTAGGGATTTAGTTATTACATCTTTTAAAATAGAGAGAGCTAAATTGTTACGTGTACCAAATTGTTACCAAAATTAAAATATACTTTGATATGACCTGAGTTTTATTCATTTTATCTAATAATAGATGTCTGTAACAAATATTTAAAACTTTTGCAAGGTGCTACATCTATTAAAGGAATATCCATAATACATAAGTGAAAGAATACTATTTTTGTATGAAGTATTTTAAAGCCACGAGAGCACTGACCTAAAGTAAACAATACCGTGTAATTGTGAAAATATAAAAGAACGTCAAAATTAATCTAGATTTGTCGGTATGGATTAAGACACCAATGTCTGACTAAAAAGTTGTGAGTTCTAATTCCTACCGTATATGTGCTGTTAAAGAAAAAAGAATCTAGATTTTTGTTAAATAATAAATAAATCAAGGCTAAAAGTTTTAATTATTTATTACAACAGACGTATCCAAATCCTATTGATTTTCCTAAATATTATTATTGTTGGGAATTTTGTTGTCCCATGCAGAAGCCAATTGTCACAATCACCCTTCACTCTTCAGACATTCCCATTCCCACCTCTCCCCACTCCTCACTGTCCTTTTTGTCTTTTTCCTTTTTTTATTTAAAAAAAAAGTATGTTTCCTTTTGTTTGCATTAGGTTGTATTTGGACTGTCACCATTTTCTCTCTCTCTTTTTTTTTAATTATTACTAATACTTAATTGTCATTATCCCATTCGTCCTTCTTTCTTTCCTTTAACGCCCCGCGGCGTAATTTTCTCACCCATAAAGTCAACTTTGACCGATAACGACATTCCTCTCAGATTCTGACACGTTGCCCTCATCTTAAAACCAACGGCTCCGATCCACCGCTTTCACACGGTGTCCCGCACGAATAAAACCAGGAGATTTTTGCCTTGCCACGTGTCACGTCTGTCACGTCTGTCACTGTTATTTAAGATGACCTATCGAGTTGCAACACGTAATCGAATCGTAGAGTCTGAAACTGGATAAAATAATCTCCCGCGCGAAGATCTGTGTAATTCCTAAAATGCCCTCTTTCTTTCGGAAACGGACTTCCCAAAAATATTGTGTAATCTTTGTCCCCCCAAAATAAAGTTAATAAATTTTCGGTTTTGCGATTCTTAGTTAAATATGGAAAAATGTTGGATTTTATTATTATTCTTTAAAGATATAAAATGTGATTAATCATCTTACTCTTTCTTTTTCTCTAATAATTTCAATAATACATACCAAACCAATAATACACAATTCTTTTTCTTAATAAAATAGAAAAATTATAGCTAATAGCATGATTTAATATTTAATTTCATAAAATAGCAATAAGTTGAACTTTCTTACAAATATACTACTAGTTAATTATTGATTTTCTTTTTATAATAATTATTCAATCATAATGAAAATTAATATATTATATATATCCTATTTTGTAAAAAAAAAGAATAGAATTATATAAATAATCAAATCGATATAATTATAGATTCCAAAAATATCACCAACATTCATTAACCGTAATATGCAAAAAATAGTATTGTTTCAGCTTATATCAATGCGGTACTGGTTTGAAGTGGCTTCGACAATCAAAATTAAGTGTGTGATAATAATTGAGATTATAATTTGATAGAGCTATACTAAGACGAACAAATGTTACCTTAAACGGCTATACAAGATTAATATGTAGGTATAGATTCGAACCTCGTTTGAGGATATATACATTGACGAGTTAAACTATGCTCCACCTAACCTATTGAGGTTGGATTAGAGATCTTACTTGCACAAATTTTGTCATTTTAGAATCATGGTCTATTGTAATGACTTGCTCAATAATTTTTTATTTTTGTAACAATATTGATCAAATACATCTTTAAATATTAAAAAAAAAACAGAAAATATTATTAAAAATAATTCAATATTTTGGAAGATAACCAAAATAAAAAAGAGAGAAAATATTCTTATTCTTATCATGAAAAAAGTTACCTTCCTTAATTATATGGTTTAGGGTTAAAAAAAAGTTCGAAACTATATATTTATTCTCTCTCTCTCTCTCTCTCTCTCTCTCTTTTCCGGCGCCACATGCGAGGCTTGCAGATTCTCTCTCCTCTGCTAGAAACGTCTGAGCTCTTATTTTAATGGCGGAAACAGTACACGCGTCAACAAATTTTCCCTACTGATCCCTCCAAATTTCAACTCTCGACGCCATTCTTTCATTATTTTTTCTCTCTTTTTCCACTTTCCCACCGCAACATTTGCCCAACATTACTGCCAACTCCTATTTAATCGCTTCAGACATCCGTCCGATGGATTTCTCCCTCAAGTCATTCAAATCCCACGGCTCCTACAAGTATGCGAGGAAGCTTTCTGGGGGTGGAGGAGCAGACGATAGTCAAGAACAGCTACCGATTCTTTCAGATCAGGACCCGGGTAATCTTCACCAGCAACAGTCCATGGCGGTGTCTGATGCTTCTGACCGGAACGAGGTCATCGTCAAGATCGATCAGCCCGACTCTTTGAATGCGACGTCAAGAGTAATGGAGGCGGTGAACGCCAGTGGGAGGATTTGGCGGGAGTCGAGCTACGATTTCTGGAATGATGGTGATGGTAGGCGAAGTAATGCTGAAGGTTCTAATGGCGATGGTAGGAGTGAGGATTTCGAGTTTAGGCAACATAGGCAGGGTGTGGAAGATCCGCCTTCGAAGCTTATTGGACAGTTTCTGCACAAACAGAAGGCGTCCGGGGAGATGTCCTTGGATATGGATATGGAAATGTTGGAACTACCGCAGGATAAGACGTTGCCTCCGGTGGCGGAGTCTCCGATGCGTCGGAGCTCGAAGGAGTTGAAGGTCTCGTTCGAGTCTATCTCAGAGATTTCTGAAAACGATTCGATGCGAAGACGGCATAGGGACTCGCCGGCCGATGAGGAGTATAAAGGACAGCAACCGCCGCAGCGCGATCGTCGAGCATACGGCAATGGTCACGATGACGGTGGTGCCGAGGTTGTGAGATGCACATCCAATTCATCTTTTCAGAGAGACGTATCATTCCAGAGAAAATCTAGCTTGCTTAGGGCTAAGACTAAGTCCAGATTGTTGGACCCGCCGGAGCAGCCGGACCGGAGGTCCGGCGTCCGGTCCGGCCGTGTACCCCCAAAATCAGGACAAATCCGCTCCGGATTGTTGTCAAAAGCCTTGGACGAGGAAGACGATGATCCATTCTTGGAAGAAGATCTACCAGATGAGTATAAGAAATCCAATCTTGGTGCTCTGACTCTGTTACAATGGGCGAGTTTGATTTTGATCATCGCTGCCTTGGTTTGCACTCTGTCAATTCCCTATTTGAACCGAAAGAATCTATGGAAGCTCAAATTATGGAAATGGGAGGTCATGGTTCTAGTTCTGATTTGCGGGAGGCTGGTTTCTGGGTGGGGGATTAGGATAATCGTGTTCTTCATCGAGAGAAACTTTCTACTGCGTAAACGGGTTCTATACTTTGTGTATGGGGTCAGAAAAGCAGTCCAGAATTGTCTTTGGTTGGGACTGGTTTTAATTGCTTGGAACTTTCTGTTTGATGACAAAGTTCAAAGAGAAGTCAAAAGCAATGCCCTAGAGTATGTGACCAAAGTTCTAGTATGTCTTCTGGTGAGCACCTTAGTTTGGTTGGTGAAGACCCTAATGGTGAAGGTGCTCGCCTCCTCTTTCCATGTGAGCACATATTTTGACAGGATTCAGGATGCTCTGTTTAACCAGTATGTAATCGAGACGCTGTCGGGGCCGCCATTGATAGAGATTCGAAAGAACGAGGAAGAAGAAGAGAGGCTTGCAGAAGAGGTTATGAAGTTGCAGAATGCAGGGGCCACCATTCCCCCTGATCTGAAGGCCACTGCCTTCTCCACTGCAAAGGGTGGGAGGGTGATTGGGAGTGGAGGGCTGCAGAGAAGCCCCCGCGGAAGAAGCGGCAAGCTCTCTCGGTCGCTGTCGAAGAATGGCGACGACGGTATAACCATTGATCATCTGCATAAGCTTAGTCCTAAGAATGTGTCTGCTTGGAATATGAAGAGGCTGATGAACATTGTTCGACATGGGGCTCTTTCAACTTTGGACGAACAGATCAAGGATTCAACTCATGAGGAAGACGAGTCAGCAACACAGATAAAGAGTGAATGCGAGGCAAAAGTTGCTGCCAAGAAGATTTTTCAGAACGTGGCCAGGCATGGTTCCAAGTAAGTTGCTTTTTTCTGATGGGTCTTGCTCCTTTTTTACTTTCTTGTGAAGCACTTGAATTTTAATGGGTTTTCTAAAAATCATGTAAAAAGATGCCCTCTGAAAAGGATTGACAAGAACAGAATATGTTTACTATGAGACATGATTGGATAAATTGTCTCTTGATAGAAAATTTACCTAAAATGGTGTCTTACCCATAAAATCATCTCTCAGAGGGCAATTTACCATAAATTTGGAGGAACTAATTGGAACCAACCTATTTTGAGAATTTTTTTCCCCCTCAAAACGACTTTATATTTGCTAAAAAACACTTCTTGACTTTTAATTTGGTACATACGACAAGTTGGATGATTCAAGCTGCTGTAAATTGTAATGCGGCTACTGCTTTAAATTCCTCAGCAATTAACGAATCCCGAATCACTTATGCATTGTTTATAAGCATATTTCTCTTCGTGGGAAAAGTAGTTTAAAGACCAAACTGAGATGAGAATAGTTCAACAGGTCTTCTATATTTCAGATTACTGAATCTAAATTATTTATCTAAGAAAAACAGATTCACAAGGAACAAGATAAATGCACACTGTAACATTCATGGAAATCGGCGCATGATCAAGAGAATAGAATTAGCTTAATCCATTTGCTCCTTGCTCTCAACTATGGTTCTAGAAATGCTAAGTAGCAAACTGAAATATTGTTTGAATACATGTAACTGGGATCTTGAACCATGATTGTCATGTTTTGCTCGGATACTCTTGTTGATTCATTTGTCCATCTTGATTTTCTATGCCAATTCTTACTCTTAATTTCTTGCAATTTTTTTTAATCTTTTATTAGATACATCTACCTAGAGGACTTGATGCGTTTCATGCAAGAAGATGAAGCTTTAAAAACCATGAGTCTCTTCGAAGGAGCATCTGAGAGCAGGAAAATAAGCAAGTCATCCTTGAAAAACTGGGTGGTAAGCAATCTCTTATCAATTTACACCAGTAACTTACTACTGAGCATTCAATTATGGGATTAGCAATAGCATGGAACAAATGGTTCTTGAAATATTCTTCAGTCATTGATTTTTCCTCCATCTTCCTTGGGACCTCATTTCGAGGATTAACATGTTTCATGTTGTAAACAACCTGCCAACTTGAGCATAGCTCAGCGGTAAAGGCATATAACTCTTTCTCTTCAGATTGAAGGTTCAAATTCCGATACCTCACATCCGTTGAACTAAGCAAAAAACATGTTTATAATCATCGTATCGGTCTTGTTTCGTATCATATTGGGTTTGTTCTGATGATATTGTGCATCCAACTGTTTCAGGTCAATGCCTTCAGAGAGCGGAGGGCCTTGGCTTTGACACTAAACGATACTAAAACAGCTGTGAATAAACTTCACCGTATGGTGAATATTTTAGTTTCTGTTGTTATCCTGGTTATTTGGTTACTGATTCTGGGTATAGCCACCAGCAAGTTTCTCCTATTTGTAACCTCTCAACTTGTGCTAGTGGCATTTGTATTTGGAAATACTTGCAAGACTGTTTTTGAAGCAATCATCTTCTTATTTGTGATGCATCCATTCGATGTTGGAGACCGGTGTGAAATCGATGGCGTCCAGGTATTTCCCTTCTCCAAGTAATTTTGGCCGTACATCTACATTCCCATATGACAATCCTTGTTCTAAACAGTATTCCATGAATTTCAGATGATTGTAGAAGAAATGAATATTTTGACGACCATCTTTCTACGATACGACAACCAGAAGATCGTCTTTCCGAACAGCGTTCTTGCAACCAAGGCCATCCACAATTTCTACCGCAGTCCCGACATGGGAGACGCTGTTGAATTCTGTCTTCACATATCTACTCCGCCCGAAAAAATTGCTGTCATGAGACAGAGAATAGTAAGGTATGTGGAGGAAAAAAAAACAGCAACCACTATAACTAAGTTCGGTTTAACAAAAATTCAGACAGCCTCATTTCCCAACTTCTCTCTTGCTTTATCTTTGCAGTTACATTGAGGCCAAGAAGGAGCACTGGTGCCCTGCACCAATGATTGTCTTCAAGGATGTGGAAGAGTTGAACAGGCTAAGAATAGCGATATGGCTTACTCATAGAATGAACCATCAAGACATGGGAGAGAGATGGACAAGGAGAGCTCTCTTGGTTGAAGAACTGCTTAAGATTTTCCAAGAGCTTGACCTTCAATACCGTCTTCTACCGCTCGATATTAATGTCCGTACCTTGCCTCCGGTGAACTCTACCAGGCTTCCAGCTACTTGGACAGCCACTACAAGTTGAGTGAGGCAGACAAGGAAAGGAAATCGACCAACGATGCAGGATGCTTACGGTTTGTAGTATCTAAACGAGGCTTTTTATTTCACAGCAAGCGAGAGATATGCTATTGTATGTATTTTATTGTGTGAGTGAGTTAGTTACCAATTTAATGCTCTTACTTCAAAATTCTCCATTCTTAAAAGGCTGTATATTCAACTGCGAGCTAATATTACTATTGTACCTTTTTTAGATGTTGATGTTGATGTTGATTTGCCCCTTGTAAGGTTTGAACTTCTTCCACTGCAATAATAATGTTATATTCATCTTAAACATAACCAATTCTTTACAGCTTTCCCCTTGGAGACGAAGCAACCAGTGTTCTTTCGGTCGATTCTCAAAGGACTTCCCGTCCGAACCATAATCTCTTTAATCAGAGCTTTTAGAGGAGACTCTCCTCTAACAATACTGTGGTTTCCAGATCCACATATCACTATAACCTCTGCTGGAATCACAGAGTTTTCATCCTCAAAGTTGAGTTTCATCTCCTTCATCCACTGCAACATGATCACATAAGCTGCACCTACATGTGCTCCATGAAAATCCAACTTAAGCTCCATTGAATCCCACACCATTACTTCTTTCAAAACAGATGAGCCAACCAACTCTTCGACCAACAAAGCTTCATTGCCATACAGAGCCGTGATCAAGTCTTCGATCGAAAGTGGAAGATCGGCGGCACTCATGTCTTGTAGCATTGACATAAGCTTGGGACATGAATTCAAGACAGAATTGTAAGTTCGAACAGAAAAGGGAAGGGAGGAAGTTTTCATCGTTTGGAGCCACAGAAGCATATCTGCAAGCTTATTGTGAGCTCCGTATGATGAAAGTACCATGTTAGAACAAACTGTGTCCAAATCAATATCATCCTTCTCCATCTGTTCCAAACTTCTCTTCATATCTTCAAATAATCCCAACGTTCCATAAGCGTAAATAACAGACCTATATTCAAATGACGATGGTGCAATTCCTTTGGATCTCATCTCTTTCACCAAACTCTCGGCTTCCTCTGGTCTCTTCATGGCGCACAACCCAGAAACTATTGATTCAAAAGCTCGACGTCTAACATAAACGGAGGTCGAATTATGAAGAAGCTCGAGAAGGGAATCGTAAGAGTTATCAAATCCTCTCTCTGAACCGTGCTTGGATTGAGATTCAACAAGTTGACAGTAGAAACTCACAAGCTTTCTTTCTTGAAATCCTAACTTTGAAGTTGCCTCGGAAATTAGGGCTTCCGAGTCAGTGAACTGCCCATGTTTATCGAGGAAGGCAACAAGGTCAGCGACTAGCCTGGAATTCCATGTGAACCAGGATGCTTCTGTAATTCTAGAATACAACTGCAGGAATATAGAGAAAAATTAAACGAGAGAGGTAAAATTTGGTTGAGTAGATAATTCTCGCATGAATTCGATGAAAAAGAAGACCTAAAGGAAGCGAAAATCTAAGATCTGGAAATACATTTTTCGGCTCGATCTTCTCGAAAACAGAGAAACAATGAAATGATACGATAAAGAAGAAGAAGCAAGGCGAACTTACAGTGAGAGCGACGAAGCAGAGTGCAGGTTGAGGAGTGTGAGAAGAGAGGATACGGGAGAGGACATTGAGAGCAATAGACCTGGGAGAACTCGCTACGAACTTTCGGATCAAGCGATTGGTCGCCGATTGGTCTCCGGCGGCGGCGGTTGTGGCCAAAGTGGAGAGGAACCGGTGGCTCTGCTTGGTAAGTGCAGTACATCGGACCGGCAGCAACCGCCGTAGCGTCAAGGAGAGACGAACACTGCCTCCGATCACGAACGGCGGCGGACACAAGCGGAGTTCCATAGAGAATCGCATCTGCAAAACCAGAGACTCGCCCCCAACTCGGTGAGTCAATTCTGTAGTTGACCTCAAAATTCCTCTGCACCTATTCCAACTATTATCTATCAAAGCAATTTACTATTATTATTATTACTATTATTGTTGTGTTGTTATTTTGAATTCGAGCCAGTTTTATTGTTAATCTATGGAAGTCTAACTAGAATGTATAATTGAATAATATAAAAAATTAAACCTTTTTAAATAATACAAATTAAATTGAAATTTTACTCAAATATTCTAAGCCTCATAAACTAAAGTGTTCGTTTTGAAATTTGACGTATTTTCTTTTTTCATTGAAGGATATTTGTTAATACGTTGAATTCATTCAAGTTACTATTTGGTTCTTGTAATTTTGGCTTCGTTTTAATTTGATTTTTGTACTTTCAAAATATCATTTTAATTCCTATACTTTTTAATTTAGTTCATTTTAATTTTTATACTATCGAAATAAATATATTTATTTTGGTCAATAATTTATTATAACCATTTACCATCATTATTTGAAGGTAATATATGTATACAAGAATTCTGTAATATATTACATGAATTCTAGAGCCAAAAAATGTACAAAGTAGAGTTGTTTTTGGGGATGGAAGCATTATTTATAGGAGCCCATCACTAATGATCTTCTTCACTTGAAATTGATGGATTTTCTTTTATCGTAAGGCTCAACACAAAGGCAACCAACTGCAACATAAAAATAAAATATACACTCATTTCTAGTGAATACATGTATAAGACTAAGGCTAAATTACAATATATATATCGAGTTTGCATTTTATTTTAAAAATATTCCTATCTTTACAAAAATTTCAATACTATCATTGATCTTTCATAAACGTTTCAAAAATATTTTTTGAGCAACCATTCGTTAATATTTTGAATGGAAAGTTTACCGGATAAAACATGGAATGATGTAACGCGAAAGTTGTCGTGACATAAAATAAAGGTATTTACGTCATTTTAGATTCTGCCACGTCAACTTTCTTATCAAAATGTTAACGAAAATATTTCACTTATTTTTTCTCATGTTTAATTTTCTCACCGTATTAAGTCCGATGCACAAAATACTAAACCCAGGAAAGTCAAATGGTGCATCCTCGGATAGGAAAAGAGCTGCAAAATTTGAAAATAACAGTAATAATAAACTCCATATAAACAAAATTAATGAAATCAGAATTAATTGTACATAAAAAAATAAAAATAAAAAATAGTCAAATTATGTATATTTCATATATACCTGCTAGAGGGTTGAAAATTAATGGAGATATTGCATAAGCAAAACTTTGAATGCCAAAAAGACATCCTTGAGCTTTCCCCTAATATTGAAAAAATTAGAAACAAAGAAGAAAGGAAAAAAAAAAGGTCACCATTTAGTTCAAAGTTCAAATAATAAAAATGTGTAACAAATATTTACCTGATTGTGAGCCCCCACTTGCTTTGATGCAATACTACAAGTCTGTGCAAGTGTGAAGAAATATTTCAAAACTCAATTTTTATAATATGTTTGGGATGTTTTTTCATTACCCTGAGTGTTTTTAAAGTATTTTTAAAAGAATCGCTTAATTAGTTAGTTTCAAACGAAAGATTTGAATGAAACTTACCGTTGGAATCGCGCAAAAAGAGAGAAGAAAAAGTGCACATGAAGCATAAATAACCTATAATGATTGGAACGGTATTCAAAATCAATAAGTAATTTCAAAGAGAGATAGGATAATACGATTAAATTACAAGTTTGGTCGCTAAATTTTTTCGCTCTGTTTATTTAGTTTGTGCACTAAAATTCTACCAACAACTTTTAAAGTTGTGTCTATCTTAATGTCAATAGTAGATTCATGAATATTCAATTTTTTTTATCTAATAGATTTCTAGACTCTGTCTCGTCCTTTTCTAAAGTGGAGGTTCATTAGATATATATAAGAAAAGAACAATATCTCCATTAACATGAGATATTTTTGGGTGATACGAAAAATAAAGTCATGGGATTAATTATACTGATGTTGATGTAGAAGATGATCCCTTGCCCTTAAAAACTTATTCGAAATTTTTTGAAGTATAGAGAATTATAGATAACTTAAAGGACTAAGTATAGACCATTAATTTAAATTTAACTCAGTAGTGTAATTTCAAGTTTAAGTTGGATTGGAGGTAGAGGAGTTACCCAAAATGACCAAGCTATGCTTAAAACGAACGACTGCACACCAAAGAGAGCAAATTAATAGTGAGCGATATCTGAATCTAAAAGGCATTTTAAAAGAATAAGGGCATATTTCGAAGTACTTTTGTCATTTTTTAATATCACTTATTTCACTGTCAAACATTAAGGTATATTTGGAAGTGATTTTGGTCATGTCAAAATCACTTTAATTTAAAATCGTATGTTTGACAATGATACAAATAATTTTAGAAAATGACAAGGTGATTTTAGCTATACCAAAATTACTCACAAACATGTTATAAGTAAGTTAAGTCCCTACATATGTAAAGGTTGCAAAGAGTGCTACAGAAAGTAATCGTTCGTCCCCTATGATAGCTGACAAAGAAGACGCCACTATCATCTGTAAAAATTTATACAATAATTATACATGCCACCTTTATAATATTTCAATAAAAATCAAAATTTAATATACATCACCTTTTACGCGAAATTTTCATATGATAATTTTTTTTAAATAGCATAAATATAAGAATCCGTGTATAATTGATATCGATATATTAGTGATAAACTTTATTTATATATATATATATATATGATAGAGAAATAGTATATCAATATATACTTTGTATTAGCACATGATGGTATATTTGATCACATAGACATTATATCGGTATTAATTTTTATATTAAGTATATCACTTGTAGATAGGAAAATAATATAACAATAATATATGAGAGAAAATTCATCATATTTGGATATTATTTTTCTATGTGACAAATTTATAAATATATGTACCTGTGAGATGGTCCCCAAAGCCCCAAAAAATATCATTAAGCTAGCGAATTGGTCTTTGTTGGAGTGAAAACGGTCCTTTAAGTAGTACTGCGCCACCAAAACCATATAAATAATTAATTAATTATTACAAATCATAAATTTATGGAATAAATACAAGTTCTATGATTAACTATTTTGAATAATTCAAATAGAGATCACATAAATCTGAAACTTCTTAACCCAGTAAACTTGGGTTTGTTATCCCTTTGTATTTAGCTAAATTGATTTTAAATTTTTATTGGACTGAACTTCAATTTGAAAAAAAATAATAAAATTAACCCTCACTCCATGTAAATAAAAATATTTTCAAAAGCTTAAGCCAATAAATTGGATAAATTTAATTCATATATAGATATCTCAATATATTTCAATAATTTAATTATCAAAATAACACCAAAGTGACCGAAAATCTTAACCCGACCATAAAAACCAACGCCCCGCCAAAATAATTCAGCCAAAAAGGTAAGAATACTGCTACTCATAAATCTCCAATAATATAACATAAATTCGCATAATATTTAAATTGATAAAATCGAAATGATATCTGACTCGTAATTTTAATAAGTTTGAGTTAAAAAGTTAGAGTCCAGACATACGATAAACAAACTCACTTATCAAACATGCTCCTAAAAAAGATATTATATAAATGGGATTAGAAGGGTCAATCATCTTAAAATTAAGATTTATTTTTTGTCGCAAATATTCACTCTTGATCGAACATTTCTAAAACTTTCTAAAGATGTGAATAAAAAAAAAAAAGAAAAGAGTTAAAGAAATTGTACCATCAATGAGGCTTGTAACCAACCCAACGTAAGGTTATTGAAGAAACAAACCATTGCCGTCCTTGAAAATGTCGAGCTACCGCACAAGGAAAATAAAAATAAAATGAGAATGGAGCAAAAAGACAATTACGAATTCCGACTTTAATTTTAAAAATTTAAGTCCTGATTTATATTTATTTTCATTTTAGTTCTTATGATTTATTCAACTTAGTCAGGCAAATAGAATACATAAATTGGATCGCATAATATTTAATAAGATAAATTGAAATTAAGTTCAGACCAAATTCGTAACTAAACCAAAGTTTTAATTACCTGCTACGGAGCAAGCGGATGACTTCTTTGATAGAGGGAACTCTTTTGAACGTCGTCAGAGCTCTTCTCGACAATTCGGGAACATCGACATCGCCTTCTCCTTCTGTCTTGGAAATTGGCTGAGATAACTCATCAATTTCATATGGAATACTCTCTTCTAGAAAAACCCTCATGTACACCGTTGCAAGTAATGATGCACCCATTGCAACCTACTTTGGAACTCAATTCATTAGCAATAATTTTCATACGCTTTTCAGTGAAACACTTTCCTTAACCATTTTTTTAAAAGCATTTCAGTGCTTTTTATCCATTTTAAAATCTTATGAATTATATTTTATATATTATCCAAAAATTTAAAATTTGCTTTTTAATTGGTTAAACATATTTTTTCCACTCTTTGCAATTTTAACTAAACACTGTTATTTATTTATTTACTTGGCTGGTATATTTTTTAAATTTAGAAAATTTCAATTTAATCACTTATATTTTAATATTTTTCCAATTTAGTTCCTTAACATAAATTAATGTTAAAACTAATTGATGATAAAATTAACGATGGAAATTTAGAAAAAAGAAAAATAGACGTCAAAAAAGAAACTTCAAAATATTTTTACGAAAATTTAGGGGAAGAATTAAAAACTCTCTTAGACTACATCTTTTCCTCTTCATAAATTTTTATTAATTTACTAAATATTATGTCACGTAAGTTTATAGACAGATAACCTTAAAGGTTGCGTCAATAGGAAGGAACCTTGCGGCAAAGCTCCCGCACAAGAAAGATGCTGAAAAAGCTCCAGATATGATTCCGAACGCCGATATTCGCCGGTCGGCCGGAATTTTGTCTGCCTGAGGAAACAACAACAATAACGACGGCGGCAGTTTTCGAAGTTGGACCAATCTTAAACGGCAGGATCAAGATGTAATCGGAGATTTAAGAGTAAGTACCGTATAGGCGAGGGCGAGTGAAAGTAACGCGCCGTCGCACAGCATGGCGGTGAGAGTCTTCATCACATAGTACGCGTAGAAGAAACTGGTGCTTCTTTCATACGCCAATATCGCTAACAAGTTTTAAATAATATAAAATATTTATTACACTCACTTTCACATATAAACCAAAAAATTCCACTTTTACCCCTAACTAAATTTATATTAGTGTTGTAATATTTACCTTATACTGATTCACCTACTAAATTAACAAAATAAATAACGTAAAAAGAAAACTTAAACAACTAGCTAAACATAAAATTAAATTTTATTTTAATGCACAAAAGTTGACCATTAAATAAATTTCAGTAAAARTAAAAATAAAAACTTATTTTTATTATCAACATTACAGGCACAATACGTGTCAGTGATATCTTAAACAAAAATCTATAAAAAGATAAAAATTGCAATACTTTTTAAAATTTAAGATAAAATTACACTACAGTGGAATCCAATGAAATGGAAAAGTTATAGTAAATTTTCAAATACCTTGTGAAGCTGGATTAAAATAGATTTCTTCTATTAATTAATTATTAAAGACAAAAAGAACAGGTTCCACCTTTGAACAAAAAAACAAAAAACAAAAACAAAAAAGAAAAAATCGAACATATCTTTMAGGCCTCTTAAAATTGCAACACTTCCTAAAGTTTGATGGGATTAAAAGCAAAGTATGGTCTTAAATATCGAGCAACATGTCGACATGTCGCACCCCTCAATATCGATATAGATTTTTTTTTTCCTTTTSAGGTTTCCTATTTTGGATGAAATAACCCATAAAATGAAACTAAAAAAAAAACAGGCGGGAGAGGAAGAAAATTTAAGGAAGAAAAAACAAAACTCATAAGAGAGTCCATGGAAATAAAAGAAAAATACAAACTAGTGCATCTGGGATGAAATTGACAGCAAGCTCTAGGACAAAGGGGAACAGGATGAATTTGAAGAGTGAGAGAGAGAAACAGCACTCCAATTTAAATCAGTTGACAGCTCATGTATTGGAAGAGGTTGTTTGGGATTATTTTCCTTTTATCCGTTCAGCATTAATTGACATATGCTTCCAACTTCAATTAAATTTAATTAACAAAATCATATCTCGTGGTTGGAGATATATATCAATTATGGTTGTCTGGACTCTTCAACATTTTCTTAAATTAACAATTCTATTAGGTATAAAATTGATTTTGATTTTAAAGATTTTTTAATAGGTCAGAATTAAAAATTAAAGGACCTCTCAGACGTTTCTAAATTAAGATAATCTTAAGACATAACTTTAAAAATGGAGAAACTAAGTAATAATTCAACCTTAATTAAAGGTATCCAGTATATTAAAGCATGTGGAAACTCAATTATATTCTTCCTGAGTGGGGGCTGCTTTTATAATTTTCAGAATTATTCCAAATGTGAGGCCAAACAATATGTACCGGGACAAAAGATATATGCTTGTGCAAATGGACCACCACTAAACAAAAGTTAGGAAAAAGAAATGCTTTTAACTTAATTAATTTGCTTACTTTATATGGTTAAGAAATATATTATCGATTAAAACAACGGTACCGGGAGGCATAATGGAGAGCGCAATGGACACAGTCAATAAACTTTTCCTTCCATATTTGTCCGATAGACTACCGATCAACGGTATCACAAACATCGCTCCAAATCCAGTTATCTGCCAAAAATCCGAGCAAATTTAAACAAATTTAGAAGATATTTTTCCCTTATTTCGCAATATTTCTTAACTTTTACTGTTTTTTTTGTTTTATTATCTGTTTTTCAAAAAAATTAAAAAAAAAATAATAACAACAGAGCCAAATATTTCCAAAAAATAATAACACAGAATAACTCTAAAAGGCTATTTCTTGAACGGTGGGAGAGGGAGATTTTTTTTTTCGACGAAGAGAGAGAGAGAGAGATGTGTTGAAAATGTTTGGTAGATCCGCCAAAAACCGATTTATGAAATTTCAAATTTGTATCAAAAAATTATGTAGTAAAAAAATTAAAATGAGGAAATTAAAGCATTGTAGGGCAGGGCAGAAGTAGAATTAAAATTTCCCCCAAAACTGGAATCCGAAAGCCGAAGAAGAAAGTGAAGCAAAAGAGAAACGAAAAGTGACGATGAGTACCGCCTGTTGGAAGCCGGCGAGATAAATGGCGAGGGAGCACTGGTCTCGCCCTGGACACACAGATTCCACCGTTACGTCCGTCATCGCCGGAATCACAACGCTGATCCCGAATCCGGTCAGCAGCACCGTCACGAACAGCTGCCCTAATTCTCTAATTAACTCCATCCCCTCTCCCTCTCTTCTGGAGCTCTTCTCGAGAAACTAAATAAATGGAGGGCGCGGCGCACAGAAGAAGGTGCGCACTGCTAATTAATTAATAAGATTCTACAAACTCACCTCACACCACAAATATCTCTTCTCCTTTTTTCTTTATTACTTTTCTCTCTTTTTTGAATGCGGCTTTTTGAGAGAAATATAACGACTATTACAGATTTTTTTTTTTTGAAAAATATAATAAATTATCAAACTTTTAATGAGAAAAAATTCAGCAATCATCCTAGCCGCGTGAAAATTTTTCAGATCACTCGACCCAAAATTATTCCAAGCCAGATAATTTGTATAGATAGTACAAATTATTTAGATATTTATGGAGTAATGACCATTATTCAATTTTTGATAAAGTTGGAGGGATCTTTTTTGATAACTGGTTAGTAAAGAAATTGGATAATTAAATATTGTCCTACTTCCGAGTCCATTGATTACTGGAAAAAGTTAATTCACATAATAATGTGGGGCTAGAAATTATGAAAGGAACAACAGGAATTTCAGAAGAAATCGACGAGTACTTTAAATGCCCTGTGAGAAAGCTATGTGTGGAGTGCTTTGGTCCAACAATATTTGATTCCCAAAAATATTTTTAGGAGTATAGAGATAAATATTGAGATGACTTACATTTTTCGTATTAAAATGTTTATTTATTTTGCAAATTAAAAATGCATATAATTGAAGTACTCTTTACTAAAATTAGTTATTTTAAAAGTTTTTCTCAAATGCACGATCTTAATGGCTAAGGGCTATTTGTTGGGATCAAATTACTTCTAACTATATTTTTTGTGTCAGATTTACTAAATCAATAATATACGTCTGACATATTTGGTTTTGAAAATTATTTTAGAGTTCCGTGATGTAAATAATAGTGAAAAGTCAGTGTTTTCAAATTTTAAATTTAAAACTTTAAAATGCATAATAACATTTAAAAAATAAAATTTTTAATAAATATACTATATATTATAACTTCTTTGTCTTTGGCTAAAACTATAAATATTATAAATCATAACTTATATAATATTATAAAATAACTATTTTACAAAATTTATAATATATATTATTTTAGATTAAACTAAATATTTAGTGGATTAGTTTACAGATACAGGAGTAAACACTTTGAACAATTTTTTAAAATTGAGTTCAATTTATAAATTTGCTACCAAACACAAAAATACTAAAAACATGGAATATAACACTGTTTTTCATTAAATATTTTGTTTTCATATCACCAATCAAACACATCTTAAGACAATTTACTTATTGCCTAAAGATCAGAGGTTTAATTCTCACCTTTGTACTAAAAGTATATATATATAATATTTATCAAAAATACTTAAAACAATTCCCTTGTAGATTTTATAATATATACTTTTTTAAAATATAATTAAAAAATCATAAAATTTATAAAAATAAATTTGTTTGAAGTAGATAATTCAAAATTAAACTCAACCGTAATGTAAACTATATTAAAAAAAAGTCACAACTAGAGAAAATGAGAAATTGTTACATCTTTAAAGTAGATATCAGCCGGGAATTATTGTATTCAATCATTGCACAAAAAAGTGTACTAAAAAAATTCATTGCACTAAAAAGGAGGCCGTTTTTTTTTTTTTTTTGGATGAGTAGGAGGCCGTTTTATTCGTATGCTTAGTTAATAAATTATTTATGCGACTGGTGTCGCTCTCCACATCAATTACGCCATGGAGTCCTCTTGGTCTCTTCAGCCGGCATTTCTCATGAAAAGGTTCGTTTTTTGTTTTTTTTTTTCAAATTTATTATCATTTTTTTTTTCTCTTTTGAGCTTTTACCTCTCCTTGCAGAGGAAAGCATGGTTTCCAATGGACAAAATTAGGGTTCGAGAATTTCGAATATCCCCTGGTTTTCCTCAGTTGCATCGCTTTTCGTATATAATCATTGTCTGTTCATTCCGGAAGTTTACAGAAACTAAAACTTGTGGAGAGTATTGATATCGTAAATCTGAAAGGACGGATTCAAGAAGAGGGGAAGGATCGTTCCCCGGAAACATCGAAGCTTTATGTTTGTAATTAACACTCAATCGGAGGTCAAGAAAGTATAACAATCTTTGGGGGTTGGGGCTTTACATTACAAGTTCGTAATATGTACAAAATTGAATCAGGTTTTCCTTGGGGGTTGTGAAAACTATTGAATATCAATATAGATTTACAATGCACTTTCTGTAGTAGCTGCTTTGAGTTTTCTTAAAAGGCACTAATATACAAGGGTATCTGTAATCTTGTGTTGGTTCAAGATCAAAGTATGTACCAATAAGTTCATAAAAATGTATCTACTCCTTCTGGTGTCAAATGAGATTTCCTAAATCCTTGTGTCATGGTGTCCTGGACAAGTAGGCCTACACCAAGTCGTTGGTTTTCTGACTGGATATTAAGGGATCAACACGGATCATTAGGCTTAGAGTGAAGCCAACCAGCTGCAAAATAGAAGATGTTTTCAGTGAACACAGAAAGCAAGAAGAACCTTGAAGAATTAACACAACAGCCGCCAATCCTTTTAGAACTTGAATAATATTTGGAGTTAGTTCATCTGTCCCTTAGAAATAAACCCAAGTATGAGATTAAGGGGGTGGGGTACTGTTGAAAAATTTAAATCTAAGGTATCATCAAAATGGTGTGTTGCTGCAGTTTTCTTAAGAACTTTACGAGTTTTTTCTATCTTGGTTTGCGAATCTTCTTTGCTGGAACGTTTGCCTGGCTTGTATCATTACAATCTAAGCATAAGAAGAGGTAAGAGCTGGTTTATAACTTCCTTACCGAAGTTAGCCCAATGCACATAATACTGAAGCCAGGGAAGTCAAATGGTGCATCCTTGGAGAGGAAAAGAGCTGGATGGATTGATGAAGTCATTAAATGGAGTTCCTTTAGTAGTGAAACATTTTACACTTAATCTTGAGAATTGATATACCTATCAAGGGGCTGAATGTTAATGGAGATACAATGTTGGCAAGGGAATTAATGCCTGAGATGCATCCTTGGGCCTTTCCCTTGTGAGGAAGAAATATGTCATTTAAATAGAGATGATGATAGAGGTTCAACGAACAAAATATTGAGAAGCTTCTTTTAGTGTACTGACCTGCTCACTTGGTCCAACTTGCTTAGATGCAATGTTGAATATCTGTTCCAGCCATAAATTTGTGTGAATGCCACGGGTTTTTCACGAGCAAAGACAAGCTTAATGAAGAAAATAAAACAAGGAAAACTTACAATTGGACTGATGATAACAGTAAAAATTGAAAGTACTCTTGAAGCATAAGGAACCTACAGATGTTAAAATCATCGTGGTTATTGGAGAATAGACAGTTGACACGTGACAGGTTCGGGAGATGGATAAGCAAATATTATTAAAGACTCAGAATCAAGCGACTACCAAGCACATATTACCTTACCTGTATATATTCCATAAGTTTTAATTATAAAATAGGTAGGAAAAAGAATACAACTATATTATCTACATTATGAGCTGAAAATGGTTATTTTTATTTTGAACAGGATAAGAATCTAGCTACTGAATGGAGTGCAATTACCCAAACTGACCAAGCTATGCTGTAAAGAAACATCTGCATTGAAGTGGGTAATCATCAGCATCATGGGGATGGGGAGAGGTCAATGCTTTGTGCATATAATATTATAAAACATAGATTAGACGAGAATTAGGTGCCTACACTTGTAAAGCTCGCCAGCAGCCCTATTGAAAGCAACTTCTCCTGTCTAATAGCTGGTGCCAGAAGGGGCATCAAAAGAAGCTGCAAAATGGCACAAATTTGAAAGAGTAAGGGCCATAATGAATCTTGCAAAAGATAGTAAGGATTATAGCTGTTCCCATTAGTGAAGGATACCTGTGAAGTGGCTCCGGCAACCCCATCAATCATCATCAAGTCAGCAAACTGGTTTTTGTCGAAGTGAAAACGGGCCTTCAAGAAATACTGTATCAAAGGAATATTTTTAAAGTTAGAAGGTGAAGGTGAGAGGTTTATGGAAATTGATGATGAGAAATAGTCCTAAAATTGTTCAAATTATTTCACTGTGTCAATGTCTATTTAAAGAAATCATTTTGTGTATTAAAGTGGAACGCAATGACTGGCCAACAATCAAATTAATATGGAAACTCCACTTCCAAACTTGACCAAGAAGTGCACCATTAGTGATGCTTGCATCCCCTTCTCTGCCAGACTATTGAAGAAGGAAACGCTTGCTACTTGTGAAAATGTTGTGCTGTAGATGAATATTGTTTCATTGGAGTTGGTCATGTTGCAAATATTGAAAAGAGAAATCGAAAGAAACCATTTTAACAGAGCATCAAAATTACCTACTCCTGATTAAGCAGATAACATCTGCTACTGGAGATATCTTTGTAAATAACTGATTTCTTGTTAACAATTCTGGACCATTCTCATCATCACCACCTATGTTTTCCTCGATGATCGGCTGGGTTAACTCGTTTCTATCTGGAATACTTTCCTTGAGGAAAGCTCTCATGTACACTAGTCCAAGAATTGACATGAAAGCAGCCACCTGCACACAAGAACACAAAGTAAGCACAATATGGATTGATAAGACAAAAGAAAGCAGACTTTAATATGTTCAGAAAAAGGCCATGGAAAACCTGAAACACTGCAGCAGTTGAAAGGAGCCTAGCTGCAAGGGTTCCGCATACATAACCTACAGATTTGACCCCAGATAGAATTCCAAACGCTGAAATCCTTTGATCCTCTGAAGTTTTGTCCGTCTGAGAAGGAAACAGGGGAGAATAAAGAGAGCAGCAATTCTTTTATATAGTAATTTTGGGCTCTATGTAGTAGAAATGATGGTGAATACCACATAAGCAAGAGCAAGTGAAAGTGTAGTGCCTTCTGAAACCATGCCTGTGAGAGTCCTCGTGATGTAGAATGCATAGAAGAAGTTGGTGGTTCTTCTATATGCCATTATGGCTGCACAATCATTCAAATCTTGCGTCATGGCTGGTGATTTATGATGACTTAACTGATGATATTTGTTGACTTTACATTCATATCTTCCTATTCTCACTGGTAGAATTATAGGGAGGAGGAAGAAGCGTTAATGAGATTTGAAATTAAACTTACCTAGTGGTATGATTGAAACTGCCATAGGAAGAGTCAGCATTGTTTTTCTTCCATATCTGTCTGATAAATTCCCGATTATTGGTGTCATCACCACTGCTCCAAGCCCTGTAATCTGGAGATAATATCTGACTGATTAAATAATTGTTTTGTTATAAAGATAGATATCTCCATTTTAAGTTCCAAGATTGTTCTTTTATTAGATAGATCTCCATGTTAAGTTCTAAGATTCTTCTTATAGAAAGTATAGAAGTGGGATCCATTTTAACTCCATGGAATCTATACCAATTCTACTACTTTACTTTTCTTTATAGGTCTTACGTTCGAATCTTGTGGAACGTAATATCCTAAAAAGAAAAAAAGATTCTCCATTCTCTTACTCTTTTTTGCCAATTCTTAACAAGACTAGCAGCTTCGACTATTTTAGTCCATTGGTTAACTTTTAGATGTCCTACGACTATATGAAATTGGAAGACAAAAAAAAAAAGTGAAACTATGAGAAACCAACCACTTGTTTGGAATACTTACTTTATTATACACATAAAAATCACTGTCCATGTATTTCTTTTGAACATTTAATTTTTTGAAAAACATGTCAAAAACCAGTTTCAAAAAGTTGATGGGTGGTGTTAATGGAAATGAAGTATATATATGTAGATAGGATTTGGGCACATACCAACTGCTGGAGGGCAGAGAGATAAATGGCGAGAGAGCAATGATCTTGTCCAGGACACAGAGCCGCCATGGTTAGGTCTGTAATACTCGGAATCACCATGAACCCCGACACGCTTTCGATGAACGTCGTCACGAACAGATGCTTTAAACTAGTCATCTCCTTGAGGCAACTCTCTTGCTCTTGGTAAAAAAGCAAGAGGTCCCATGCAATGTTATATAAAATAAAAGGTCAGTTTCCTCTGTCATTTGGTTTTACTTTTAGGCAACCGACCATGGACACAGATAAATTGATACTAAATATTTCTCTCTTGACTTTTCTTGCACTTTCCTTTGTCTTTTCTTTCTTCTGTGTCTGTTGTTGCAGTTAAAAGTCATGCACCGCCCAAATCTAGGCGGAGAAAAAAGTGAAGGAATGAAAAGAAAAGGCGATCCACTAATTGATTAATTAAAGTGGGAGGATGGCGTAGCCTCTAAGTCTTCCATGAAGGGGAAAATTTTACTGAAACCATCTTCATATTGGTCTAACCATGGTTAGTTCGTTACATATATGGTTAAAAACTGCTTTTTTTTTTCTTTTTCTTTTTTTAGTTTTCTGGTTATGTCCATATGGTCATCGCATTAATAAACAGTTCCAAATATATCTATTGACATTTTTTTGGTATTTAATTTTTTTTAAGCTTTTAAAAAATATATATTGACATTTTGATCCCCATCATATTTAAAACGTTCTGGACATCACTTCTTCCACAGACGGAAGTCTTCAGACCTAACTTTGCGGCATCGCCGTCGCCTCCTTCTTGTTGCGAAAATCGGCCGAGACAAACAGCGACGGGAAACAAAATACAATCCGATTCGATTTCGTTTTCAATTTCGGTTTCGATTCAGAATGAAGGGAGCTCAAACGAAAGAAAGCTAATGGAGAACCTGAAAGATTGCGGCGATGGAAAGGAATTTTTCATAAAAGTTTGCGTATATGAAAGAAGCTGAATAAACACCGGATGCGATTCCAGACGGTGAAATTCGCTGTCCCGCCGGAACTAATTTATCAGCCTAAGAAAAGTAATAGAGCCGCCGGAAAATATGGCGGTGAGAGTCTTCGTCGCATAGTACGCCTAAAACAAACTGGTACGCTTCTATATGCCAATATCGCTGCAATTATCAATCGAATATTAGTTTGTCACAAATATAGTTTTAAATTAACTAGAGCTAAATATTATACTAAATAGTCCCTAATCTTTTCAACTCATTCTCGATTCTTTTCAAATTCTAAATTTTACGCTTCTTTGAACTTGAGATTGCCGGTAGGTTTGAAACAAAGTTCAAATTTGATGGAACTATACAATAATCATAACTTAAAAATCAAAGCATAAAACCTAAAAATTGATTAATTAATGGATTGAAAAGTTGACTGCAACTATTTATTGTAATAATTTGGTGAGCATAGGTCGAACAAAAAGTACAAATAACTCTCTCGTAGGTTTAAATCTCTCTATTTTGTTTGAATTACAGTATTATTCTTAAAATAAAAAAATAAAAAAAAAAAGATTGACGAGCTTTAGAAACAAATCAAAAGATAAATTTTATAAATAAAATAGTCAAAATTTATGAAAATGCCCAAACTTAGAACTAGAACAAAGTTACAATATGATCAACTATTATTAGTCAAATCAATCAATTTGTGTGTTTTGTCTTGTACTATTACACCATTGACATTAACAGTTGCATCATTGCTCTCCACAGATGTGGGAAAAACATCATTTCTGTGGAGATTTTGGTGACATTTCGATTGATAGTTTGATACCCATTTGAACAAACAAGGATCAATGTAACATGATTAAAAAGTGCAAAATCTCTTAAACATAGAAAGATATCTTTAATGATGAATGTGGAGAATTGTTAACTTGCAATTACACATTATTTGATGATCCTGTTATTGTTGTCTTTTTCTCCTTTGAAAAAGGAGGAAAAAAAAATTTCAAAATCTAAATTCGAACTTTGAGCTTTTGCGACGCCACAAAATTATCGTAATTGTTAAACATTTCGTTGGCAAAAGGTATTCTGACATTTTTTTTCTAATCGTAACGATCATCAGCGAATTTTGTAAAATTAAAGTCATCGGCGACAAAATTGAAGAGACCTATACACACGCTTTTTTTTCGAGAAGTTGTACTTTTTGCTTCTCTCTTCTAAATTTTCAGGCTAAAATGTACCAATTTTTGGGTTAAAAGGCACTTCTAAAAGTTCAATAACGACTATCCATCTCAAACTTTAGAAAAATTAGTATCCATTATCTCACCTATAAAAAGCGAAATATTTGAAAAGTCCAATTAAGACCAATATATTTATATATGAATTAAGCAACTCTAAAGTTCAAATAAGTAGTAATAATCAGAAAAGAAACCAATAGAGCTTACAGAAGTCACTTGTAGAGTTTGAATATTACCGTATTTCTTCAAGAAGGCCAACAAATACGAGAGAGTTATAAAATAAGATCATGATAAAGAAACAAATTTGCATATTAAAAATTTTAATGAGTAAAAATAGCTAAATTTGGAGGAGTATATCTTTGTCTTTCATCAAAGAGGCAATGAGTTATATATTTGTCCAGTGACATAACATCTAGACTTGATTGATGTTTGACTCTTTTTTTCCTTAATACAACAAAGGTGGATAATGAATTATAAAGTGTCTTAGTTAAGCATCTACCTTTAATCATGCGTAGAATTAATACATGAAATTATATAGATGATAATTAATTACAAGTTTATGCTACATATAAATCACACTCCAAAGGAATGATTTTAAGCACAAGTGGTAGATTTTCATTTTTTTTTAATTACCCTTTTATTATATTGAACCACGTTTTTCGGTTCCATTAAAATGAGCTGCACAATTTAACCTAGGGAAAATATATGAAATTCTAAATTAAAAAAAAAAACCATCTACATGGGAGTGCTTAAAACCCTTTTCTTTCTTTATTTATGTTATTTTTTTTCTTGACAAGGCTTAAAACCATTTTTTAAATATGGGATAAAATTTTCAAATTTCTCCTATCAAATAGCATATAAATAATAATAATAAAACTGTTTAAATACTATTTTAGTCCATATACTCTCAATTCTTATGATTATGATTACAATTTTAACGTGACATTTTACCTACTAAATTTTTTTGAAATGTAACCATAAAGTTGAATTAAAGAGTTTTTATGGGTATTAAATTTACATTACACTATACTAAAAAAAAATTACATTACACTTTTGTAAATAAGGCTTAAATTGACCATTTTTTAAAGCACAAGAACCAAAATAAACGTTTAAAAGTATAAAGACTAAAACGAAACAAAATTTAGGAGTATAGGGATTAAAATAAAAAATACAATTATGAAAATAGTATTTAAACTTAATAAAGAATCCAACAAACACCACCAACCTAGGGGAAAAAAATAAAGCACTAACAAAAAAAATGGTTTGTTTCATCCAAGGTAATGGAATGATCATTTTCATACTAAATTAGTATAAAATATTTTCATATTACTATCACTAGTATTTAATAATAATATAGAATTTAGTAATAAAATAATAGAATTAAAAATTAAAAATTATGAATGATGACATTTACTTTAGGATTAGGACTAAAAATTCGTGCCCTTGAAATCAAGGAAGATGGGCCCCATTGTCGGCAAAGACTAAAACTTTGGGCCCAWTGGGTTTTCCATCGAACTGGGCCCAGACTGATTTCAAATCTAAGTACGTCATTTCCGCGTTTGTTTTTCCCATTAGAGGAAAAAAATAGTTAATTAAACCACTATTTCCAAACTTTTCCCTTTTTGTTTTTTTGGGAAAAAAATAAGCTTTATCATCTTAAGAATAAAAAATATTTGGTAAAAGTTGAAAGATGGTCACAATAGAAGTAGAAATAAAATGAAAAGGGCAAATGAGAGATTAAAAAAATGAGACCAAAGTAATCTGATTAATAACTTTTTTGAATAATTATTATAATAATGTTTAAAAATATATAATGTGTGTCATAAATAATAATCACTTTTTATTTTAGTTAAGTTACTAAAACAGACTAACCAATAGAAATTAAGAAAATTTACCCTTTAATTTTAGAAAGTTCTATTTTGTTTTTTGGATTTTTTTCTTCTAAATTATGGTATCAAATCAAACTTTTTAATCTCCCTCCTCCCTCCATGGTTTAACCATAATTTTTTTCTTTTATAAATAATTATTTAATATCAATGGACCTCCCCTCCCATCTCAATCTCATACAAAATTTATGGATTAAATTTTTTTTTCCCTAGAAATTATTCCTCTCTCTCTATATATATAAATTGATGCCAGTGATTGAATATCTCACAAAAAGTTAATAAAGTTTCATTTGCGAAAGAAAAATAGTTAATAAAGTTTGAGTAAAAGTAGAATATCCTTTTGTTAATTATCTAATAGACGAGTAAGAGAGTAGAACACGTAGCCGCACGTGCGAGAGTTTGTCTCACGAGGAATTCAGATTCAGGGGCCAATGCGTGTGCACGTGGTGCGTTGCTGCAATCGATCTCACCGCGAGTAGAATACGATCCGCGTGACGGTTGTATCTGTGCATAAGTTATAAGAAAACTAACTGCCGTTTATCTTTAGAAAATGAAATACTAACTGCCGTTAAAAACAGAAAATAACTGCCGTTTATAAATGCGTCAAGTACATGTTCCATACGTCACGCGCGTTCCTCGGACCAGGAATTTGCTACCACAGCCGATCGTCCACCTGGCATTTAGGGTGGGGTCCACACCTTGCTGATTTCCAACTCTTGCCAGAAAGACACTTGTATTGTACACAAATTAGTTAAATAATTCTTTTATTTGGCTATGTTTATCTATTAGAAAATAATTTTTTCTAGTAGCTTTTTTCACACATTTAAATATATTATTAATTGATGTTTTATTTTACTCACTCTATATTATTATTAAATATTCTGCATAATTGGTCCATTATTCTTAAATGTTCCGGTTCTTTGGATGTGATGTTATATATTCAATCGTAACTTTTAAATAAATTTTTAATGACTTTATTGGTTTAATTCTATTTTAATTTCCTCGAAAGATTTTCATTTTAAAAAATAAAAATATCAAGGAAATTTATTTGGCAAGGTAATTCTTAAAATTAAAATTTCAATAAAAGGCATAAGTAGTTTTTTATTTTTTATTTTTTCGGTCTAATTTCATCTTATGCCATAAATCACATCACTATTATTTAAAAAAAATTCATTTTTTTAGCTGCATGGGTAGATTTTTTTTCTTTTTTTTTTTTGAGTTCACATTAGTAGATATTTAATGTATTAAACAATGGGGAAAACATGCCCCATAAAGTTTGATCCTACCTGACATTTTCTTTATTTATTTTTTAATTGTTTTATTTTTTGTCACGAAGTCTTGGTTGTACCATTCAAAAATATTGACGTGTCAGTATGCTAAAAAGAAAAACAAATATTTTACCAAACAAATAGGAATAGTTTTCAACCATTAATAGGCACCCACGAATCATCATATTATATTATGATATTATGAACAAATCTCAGTTTAAAATTTTAATTACACGTCACCCACCGAAAATAAAAGGCAAAATTACACAAATTCATTTTTTAAAGCTGAGAAAACAAAAACAAAAAAATAAAAATAAAAATGGTCAATTCCTATCCACCAGTCAACTGGAAGCTTCGTCCGCGGCCACTCCGATCAGTCCCACCTCCTCACTCC